GCAAACATCGCCCCGGTAAGGGGGGTTAAAGGGCCCCTCTAGCTCTATCCACAACTCTTTTTAAAGTTTACTTTGAAATGTAAAGGATACAAAATGAACTGTCCATTATACTTGGAGTAAATGTATGTCTGCTCTATGCATTGACGATATTTACATCACACCTGTATGGCGTGGGAGTACAGAACAGTAATGACTCCGTGTGATTCATTACGCTATAATGGTTCTACCATTAATCTATGTCCCCGAGTGGTGAGTTCGCATTGAACATTCAGACTGCGCGTTACAATTGGGGCTCTCTGATGACGTGCGTTACCGTTAAGACTCCGCTTTTGTGCAAACATGTTAACAACGCCGTTCAGCGACCTTTGTGCGCGGATGGGTCGCATGGTGAGAGTAGAAAAGTAGAACAAGAAATGAACAATAAATAAGCACATTCGTGTGCCCCCTGCGGCTGATCCGCTAAGCAATCAAGGAGGTTGGCTATCCGGGAACAGGATCCTGCTTTCACACGCACGCACACACACCGATCATGCTGCTCAGATGGAAGACGCTGACAGATGGAGAGAAAACAAGCGGGGTGGGTGGGTGGGGGAGGGCGAGTGGCAAAAAGGTTTCGTAATTTAGGACCCAAATGACGTTCGAGAAATTTTGAAATTAATGCCCTGATATGAATGCACGAGCACGAGGAATTACTAACCTTGTACGCAAAGGAGTGTCTTTGAGCATGGAATGAACACACTGTGGGTAACAATAACGTTATATTCATTATCCCTATTCTACATTCCAGTCATTCTCAATCGACCAATGGATGAAGGCCCCCCCACGCCTTGTCGATTATGTAGGACTTTTTTGACCATACTTCACCACGCTGGTCAGTGCGGGTTGGTGAAAGGGAAAGGTGAGGCGATTAAGCCAGTTCCGACATCACTCGCCACTGATGTATGAAATTAAACTCAGGCCACCGGGTTTGTAGAGCAGTGTGCTAACCACTACCCCACCACTCAATATACTACGGTGCGCATTATTATTTCTAAACTTGAATAATAGGCGACCTGAACATGTCATTTATCTTTGTGTTATTCATCTTATACTGTTTATAGTTGACACGCTCTGTACATCTCTTTTGTCTCAATCCACTACGAGATTGGGACGAGTTGGTAACCATGGTGTGAGCCTTGACCAGTTTAGATATCACTAACCAATGATGTAAGCCGTGTGCTGAATCGAACTCAGTGATCCAACTTTCTAGTCCAGTGCATAATCCAGTGCGCTACGGCTCCAATACATTTCTAGATGATGATGTAGAGTTTTAGAGAGTGGATTAAAACAAAACACAAAAATGTAGGCGCTTAAAACATCATTCAACATACTTGTGTTTGTAATGTCTTAATGAGGGTTATCATGTAGCTTCGTTGTACCTCACAAGCCTGCAGATCCGATAATAATAATAAAGCATAACGTAGATGAACGGAGGCATTTTAAAGTGTATTCTTGGGTCTTTCGGTAAAGTCACTTAGATAGGTTTCGGTAAAGTCACGTAGATAGGTTATTTTCTTTGAACCTATCTACGTGACGTTACCGAAAGACCCAAGAATATGAATTCCTGCAGTCACGAAAGCTTTAAGTCAAGATTTTAAAGTGTGTTAATATGTTGCATTGGGTGAACGCTGGCACTTCATTATTAAAATGACCAACCAATAATTATGCTCGGAATGTACTGGAACCTGTGGCGATCGTTCGGGGGCTATCTAGAATGTCCGTTTTGGTCGCTGGATATACAGTATCGTGGACTTTTTCCATTTAAGTACATCACGCAATGCATACAAGACATACAATAGGACATTGCATTAGACCAACACGCCTGACTGGCAAAACAAAGTAAAGACATTTTTTCCATCCTTAACATATGTTGATCTAAAAGAAATCCAACCTCACACCAATATTAAATCAAGCCGGACCTGTATGCCCCGTCACTAATGTACAGGAGCTCTCCAATATATTTTGCTCCGTTTATGAACGTCCATGACCCCCCAGGTGTTTGTGTCAGTTTCATAATCTGGACAATGCACCATTCTCTTACGACCAAAGTTAAATGTGCCACCACATGGAATCGTGGAGAGAAGTTTGGTGGATATTCTACATTCTCAACATTCTTACAATTCGGTAGAAATTGTATGGCAGTTTGAGCTTGGTCAATGAAACTATATAAGCACACTTGATAAGATGGCGATTTACGAGTTCCATCCCTCTAAACATCCACATTGTCCATCGTAGCGTTGGCGACACACATCGCCGCCAACGAGAGAGTCCACAGTTGGTCGCAAATATCTCGAGTGTGAACATGTGGGACATTGTTTCAAACACGTCTGCCAACTGTTGCTGAAATCACAATGCTTTATTACTTTTTTTGGTTACTAAACACTTTATCTTTCACATATAAACCCACACACAAAGTCGTCCATTGCCATCAAGTCTGGTAGTCATGGCATTCGTCCCACACCAGCAGTCTTGGAAGGTCTCAATTGAGATACTACTCCCACATAGCCAATGACCAGCATGGACGGAGTTCTCCCTTTGTTGATGGATTATAAGGTGGTGTAGTCCAATTTGCGCTTATTGGGGCACACAGCATACTGTTGGAGCTTGTTGAGATCTGCACCAGAAGCCATCGTGTCCTTTCCGAATGAAAGTAGAGCCTCTTGTACGTAATTCCTTCCCATGCACGGACTATGTATTCATACGCTCATCCTCAGTGCTGAAATGCGGTGATGACTTTTAACTCGTCCGCTGATGAGAAATGCTGCTTCATGTCAGCCAGGGCCTGGAATCAAACTCAGTTTCATTTGGACGACGTCCCCCTGTAAATATAAACCTGTATAACTTTCAGAGCTTAAAAATAAAATGGCTGACGGCGATAGTGGTTACCTAAGAAACAAATGCAGTTACATTTGCGTGGCGTATATTATATTGATGGCTGCTCAGATGTACAGTGAGGGAAAAAAGTATTTGATCCCCTGCTGATTTTGTACGTTTGCCCACTGACAAAGAAATGGTCAGTCTATAATTTTAATGGTAGGTTTGTTTGAACAGTGAGAGTCAGAATAACAACAACAAAATCCAGATAAACGCATGTCAGAAAATGTTATAAATTGATGAGCATTTTAATGAGGGAAATAAGTATTTGACCCCCTCTCAATCAGAAAGATTTCTGGCTGCCAGGTGTCTTTAATACAGGTAACGAGCTGAGATTAGGAGCACAGTCTTAAAGGGAGTGCTCCTAATCTCAGCTTGTTATCTATATAAAATACACCTGTTCACAGAAGCAATCAATCAATCAGATTCCAAACTCTCCACCATGGCCAAGACCAAAGAGCTCTCCAAAGATGTCAGGGACAAGATTGTAGACCTACACAAGGCTGGAATGGGCTACAAGGCCATCGCCAAGCAGCTTGGTGAGAAGGTCACAACAGTTGGTGCGATTATTCGCAAATGGAAGAAACACAAAAGAACTGTCAATCTCCCTCGGCCTGGGGCTCCATGCAAAATCTCACCTCGTGGAGTTGCAATGATCATGAGAACGGTGAGGAACCAGCCCAGAACTACACGGGAGGATCTTGTCAATGATCTCAAGGCAGCTGGGGCCATAGTCACCAAGAAAACAGTTGGTAACACACTACACAGTAAAGGACTGAAATCCTGCAGCGCCCGCAAGGCCCCCCTGCTCAAGAAAGCACATATACATGCCCGTCTGAAGTTTGCCAATGAATATCTGAATGATTCAGAGGATAACTGGGTGAAAGTGTTGTGGTCAGATGAGTCCAAAATGGAGCTCTTTGGCATCAACTCAACTCGCCGTGTTTGGAAGAGGAGGAATGCTGTCTATGACCCCAAGAACACCATCCCCACCGTCAAACATGGAGGTGGAAACATTATGGTTTGGGGGTGTTTTTCTGCTAAGGGGACAGGACAACTTCACCGCATCAAAGGGACGATGGACGGGGACATGTACCGTCAAATCTTGGGTGAGAACCTCCTTCCCTCAGCCAGGGCATTGAAAATGGGTCGTGGATGGGTATTGCAACATGACAATGACCCAAAACACACGGCAAAGGCAACAAAGGAGTGGCTCAAGAAGAAGCACATTAAGGTCCTGGAGTGGCCTAGCCAGTCTCCAGACCTTAATCCCATAGAAAATCTGTGGAGGGAGCTGAAGGTTCGAGTCGCCAAACGTCAGCCTCGAAACCTTAATAACTTGGAGAAGATCTGCAAAGAGGAGTGGGACAAAATCCCTCCTGAGATGTGTGCAAACCTGGTGGCCAACTACAAGAAACGTCTGACCTCTGTGATTGCCAACAAGGGGTTTGTAGTACTAAGTCATGTTTTGCAGAGGGGTCAAATACCTCTTTCCCTCATTAAAATGCAAATCAATTTATAAAAAGTTTGACATGCGTTTTTCTGGATTTTGTTGTTGTTATTCTGTCTCTCACTGTTCAAATAACCCTACCATTAAAATTATAGACTGATCATTTCTTTATCAGTGGGCAAACGTGCAAAATCAGCAGGGGATCAAATACTTTTTTCCCTCACTGTATAGGGCAATACATCGGCATGCGATATACAAATGGATCGTGGTAGTTCTTCACGAGTGTACATATGCACATGTGTGTAGCCGCTTGCGAGTACACATTTGGAAACCCCCGTCGAACCCGGATACATAGGAATATGTGCTATGTACACGGTTTATGAGAACACTGCCCTTTGTGGGCATTGGCGCTCATCCTTAACAAAGCATTAAGAGCTATGTGCTAGTCTGACGGTACAAACAAAAGACTAATGCGGGATTGGTAGGTATTGGGGTGGTGGTAGCTACGTTGTGGAAATACAAACTCACCCCGTGCCCTTGTTTGTTCTAGAGAGGTAAGGCTGTGGCGACGTGTCCGGGTTGGAATCCGTATAAATAGACCGCGCCTCGATCACTTCGGTACTGAATCGCTCCCACGAGGGACGCGATTGCACGAAGGAGGACGAGGAGAGACAGACGATCTTTCAGCAGCTCCACCGGAACGATCTTGAGACACGCACTCATTTTGACATCATCGTAGCTAGGAGAGGGCAGAGGAGTGTGTGTGTGTGTGTGTGCCCACGTGGGTTCATCTCTACGCCATGGCAGGACCATCGGCCTGGGTGTGCCGCACGTTGATCGTGCTGACAGTGTTACTGACCGATTTGTGAGTATGCTTGACCTCTTCGTTACTCTCGCCCTCTCGTCTGCCTTCCCGTATTGTTCGCATTGTGCGCGCACGTGCTCAATGGCGCTCGGCGTTTGCGTCACAGACGCGGGCGTGACAGCACAGCAGGTGGCAGCGGCATATTCGGCTGGTGTCATTTCACAGGGCAGTTGAAACAAATGTTCGGTACGATTAAGTAACATTTCCATGTAGTTTAAGTAGCTATTTTGGACATATTTTGGATATCTTATTGACCAACATTTTGACGAATGTATATGTACATTGTCAGTGCAGGTTATTTTTAATTACGTTGGGTATAATATGTATATAAGCAACACGCGCTGACCAGCTCGTGAAGTAGATAACATGATTCCATCTTACGACAGAATTTCAGGATATTTTGAAGAGGCCTTCATCATGGAGGCACAGAAATATATTAAATCTTATTCTTGCGTAGAAAAAACAGTGGCTGTGAAGTTTATTTTATGCCATTTAATTATTGTATGCCAGTGGTTGATAATTGTATTCATTAGCTTCATGGTCACAATGGAATGTACCGTATTCGCTTCAAATATGATCGGAGTTGTGTTGGTTAGTACATTTTACACACTTATTGTAAGTAAATGAATGAAAGTGACCAAATAATCCTTCTAGCGATTGCCTTTCTACAGGTTATAGTTTCCATGGAAGAAAATCCGTTGGGCAAAATCGTCAGATTATAGACATGTGGGACAATAATTACACGATCAACGGGATATATAGTGGTGGCACAGTGCTTGGCACACACCACAATGAACCCGACGACCTGAGTTCGATTACCTGGCCACGGCTAACATCAGTGAAGAGTGATATCTGAACTGGTGCTAGGGCTCTCCTTCACCAACCCGCATTGACCAGCGTGGTGAAGTATGGTCAAACAAACCCCCATAACCGACAAGGTGTGGGGAAGCTTTATTCCAAAAGTGGCTTTACAAAGAGCTGTACGTTATCATTTGATAAACATATACAATCAAGACAATAGTTAGACGTTTACAATATTAAGGAATAGTTCTGAGCTAATATATAAAAAGAGTTTTTATTTAATTTCAATGTATTTTTTTATTATTTAGGCGAATACATGCTGCTATCACAACACTTTCCAATAATCTAAAATTGATTAAATTAGTCGGTACATCTACAAATATCCCAAGATTATTATATCAGAGGTCAATACATGCGAAATAGAACTCAAAAGCTGAGTTGTTGCTGTAGGGGATGGAACTACAACTCTTCTGTCAGTTTCACCATGAGCCTTTCAATACTTTCCAACAAAAATGGTCTGTTAACATTTACGGCAAAATGATATATAACTGTATAAACGTTAGGAACCTATGTAAAACATTGGCTAATGGATATTTGTAACATATTCGAAAGCCCTTCTTTAATAAATTGGCTGATAAATCTGAATTAATGGTAATGTGAGATTAGACATACTGTATTACATTACACCACAACCATACTCCAGGATGCAGAGAGATGGGTATAGCTTGAGGAGGCCTTCATCCAGCAGTGGATAGACAACGGCTGACCACTGCTAATGATGATGAATAACAGCCCACGGTTTGCTATCGCTCTTTCCAGCAATGGCTTAGCTACTGAGTGTGCGGGCAGCAAAACTGGGCCAGGACTCCTGGACAGGGGGCCCAATTTCATTTCTTGAACCAGGGCCCATGCCAAGCACTCTATGCCCGCTGCCCTCCAGGCGAACAGGTGGAAATGCCCGCGAGTCTCCGCGGGCATTTAGTGAATTACTCGAACGATCGTTTAGATGACGAGTCACTCAAATGTCTCTTTCAAAAGATACTGACGATGAAATGTTGATCATATATACTCTGTCTTCCCTCCTGCCAGACCTGAAAAGTCTAAAGCCGACGATTTCTTCAAATCATGCGAACCACTGCGACCCCCCGAGAGCGGATACCTTGAATGCGCGTCCGACTCACAAGGCCAATTGTCATGTACCGTCTCCTGTATGAAAGGATACCACTTACAGGTAAATGTCGGGGCGTTTAACTTTATTATATATGTAGATTGGAATTGCCCAATATGGCATGGATCTCGATTTAAAGCTTTCGTGACTGCAGGGATTCATCTTCTTGGTTCTTTCGGTAAAGTCACGTAGAAGGGAAGTAAAATAAAAATAAAACATAATAAAATAATTCTCACGACGTTTCGGCCACAACGCAAGTAGCCGTCTTCAGGTGAAGAGGGCTACTTGCGTTGTTCAGGTGAAGACGGCTACTTGCGTTGTGGCCGAAACGTCGTGAGAATTATTTTATTATGTTTTATTTTTATTATTTTATTACTTCCCTTCTACGTGACTTTACCGAAAGAACCAAGAAGATGGCATGGATCGTTTGTGCACTGCGATATGAACCTGACGACCCGAGTTAAATTCACAGCCACGGCTAACATCAGTGGTATCTGAACTTGCTTCTGGGCATTGCCCCGCTCGTCCCCTTCACCAACCACGCATCGACCAGTGTGGTGAAGTATGGTCATTGAACCCTCACGACCGACACGGCGTGGGGAGGCCTCTTTCAAGCAATACATTGACCAACCGCTGTGAATTTTATCAATATCCAGACATAAACAATCCTGTACCATTTGTACAGTATATGCAGTATATAATATCGTAACTTGTCCGTCCATCTAACGATTAATTAATTTACAATAAATCAACATTTTGTCGATTTCCTCAACATATTTAGAAACATCAGTTAGACATAAAACAACCAAACTTTTGAAAAAGTCGATTTGCAAAACATTTGATAATGACAGTGGTCAGATAAATCATTCGCGTTATTTAATCCTGTGGTCACCAGTTCAATCTCCCGTAGTGGCATTTGTGTGTGTACTCTCACCACTTCCGAGACGTCTGACCAACGTGGAAGAGTAGACCAAAATACCCTCTAGAATTGCCTCTCGAGCTCACTGTCGTGCAGGCCTCTCCACCAGCAGTGGAGTGAGGAAGACATTTCAGGGCTGCACCTTTACCTTCAACAACAAAACCTCAACACATTTGTCAAGAACACGGCCTTAAATAAACAACATTAATAAACGACGTTTCATGCAATGATCCTTCTTCGGGACATTGCTTGTAAGGTCGCCTATTATATGTTTTGCTTTTAAGGTCAACGTTCTTGAAGGTTGTTTCGTTCCTTGCACACCACGGCCACATCATCGTCAATAGTTACTGCGTCGAGTGCTGACATCAGACATCTGCACTTACAGGGCGGAATTACCGGCGTCTACAACTGTCGAAGCGGAAACTGGACGCCTTCGGCAGAGATGCCGAATTGCATCCGTGAGTACCCGGCAATTACGAAACTCCACTTCAGTTCTCTTGCGGGACCCGGCATGGCCCGTCTCCCCCCTCCCTGTCTCCCAGTCTCCTCTGTTCAAGTCGTCTGACGCCGCATGCATCCAATCGCCACGAGAGGGCTCTAACAGAGACGTGTCACGGACGGGCCGTTAATTGGTCATGAAGAATTACATTTTAAAAGATATATTATGTGTTATGATCGTTGTAGCACTGGCTATACATTACAATTGATTTTGGTACTGATTGAAACTATTATTTAATCTAAAAGTCAACGCATGCAGTGGTGGTATATTGAATTAATGCCCTTAATTATAATGCTGAACTACTGTATAGTGGCATTTCACGATTTAATTACTATTTCTAAACTGACCCGACGTGGCAACGTTTGGTCAAAATACAGTAAACCCACCGATCAGAACCACGTGGGGGAGGCCCTCATCCAGCAGTGGATTGGCAAACGGACCGAATATGTACAATTCAAATAATAATTATGCACTACAGAGTAAAATTAATTCGGCGAGCAGGATAGCTAACACGACTAGACTTCCCCAAACCACACGTGGTCACTGCTCCACATGGCCCCCACGACACCTTCCTTCCTCGATCTACAATCTCTCCAGCAACCGCGTACATTTTCGTGGTTGTGTTGTACAGCTCTCCGATGCGTTTTCTGGTTGCTCCGTTTGTCAGTTTTGCATGCTGGGAGCTCCTTCAGGAACTCGATTCAGTTCCTGTGGAAGCGCTCAGCACGAAACGTCAGACACCGCGACATTTCGTCGCGTCTCCTCCGCATCCACCATGCACCGCCACCACCATCATCATGATCCCTGGCCCCGCGTTCCGATGCCCGAACCCTTTCGTGCCTTTTCCCACAGTGAATCGGATCGTGTGCTCCACACCTGATCCGCCGCTGAACGGTGCCGTGAGCTGCGTGATGGAGGTGACGGGAGAGCAGACTTGCCGAGCTGACTGTGCCCAGGGCTACAGCTTTGCGATGGCAATCGACCCGCCACTCATCGCCTGTATCGACGGCCACTGGAACGGCAGCTTCCCACAGTGCTACCGTGAGTCACCATCCGAGCAGTGTGCTATAGACACATACACATACGTACACTTGTATACTGAATGTGGGGTGTCGGGTGCCGAAATTGCGTCCGGGTCACCCACTCGCAAAGACTCAGTTATAATAATTTCAAATTGGAACCACAGATCAGCTGACACCAACGACACTTGTCCAAGCTCTGTAGTCCTGAATATATTGAAGCAAGGCCGTAATTATAATATATATTGGGGGGGGGGGACACACCCCCCCCCCCCCAAAATATATGTGTGTGACAAATGAGTGCTGGAGTGTGCATTGCAATGGCCCATTGATCTAATGTAGCACGCACACGCGTAGCTTACTACGTGCTATCTACATTGTGTGATTTGGTGCCCGGTATGACATTAAAATAACAAGCGCTGGACAAATATGGAGAGGATCATGTGGGTCAGATAATGGACGTAAAGGCACCAAATATAAACATATCATAGGTAATCTGATGTGATAATGGATTAGGGTTTCTGGAAGTTTTGTGGTGGTTAACAAAAGCAATGTATCCTATGCGACATTGAAGATGTGTTTTTTAATGACAATAATAAGCAACGATGCCTATCAGCGGAATTACTCAGATGTCAACTCAAATTTCAGTTTGACCCATGACTGAATCACCCGTAATGTGCCCGATCTCGTCAGATCTTGAAAGCTTAGCAGGCTTGAGGCTGGACAGCAAATGTAGGCAGCAGGGTGGTGAGCAGCAGACGATGCAACAGTACTTATATTTCTATGCTACAGCTACTATGCTCCCCCTGCCTTCGCTTATACTATGTAACACGATTTTTGTTCCTGGGTAGTAAGTGTTCTTTTCTAAATGCTTATGCCTCAAAAGAATATAAAAAGGCTATTATTCCCCACAAACTTTGCTTTTGTGACCCGGACTTTACGTGAAGGAATATCACTGTCCTGGTCACAAAAGCAAAGTTGGTGGGGAATAATAGCAATTAGGAAATAACACTTACTTCCCAATAACAAAAAAATAATACATTTGTTACACAGTGTTATTAATGGAGTGAATTACGCACTGACCAACGTGGTAAAGTGTGGTTAAATAACATCCACACGGCGATGGGAGGCCCTCATCTAGCTATGGATTGGACTCTACATGGACCACACAAATTGTGCGTTATTTTGTATGTTTTATATCCGCGTGTGCAGTCAATTGACCCGTATGATGTATCCCATTATCTCTACAGCGGAAGACATCGCGAGTCCTTCGCAAATGAACACGGTCTACTTCGAGCCAGGTACGATGAGACTCAGCACACGGTGTTCACACCGGCCTATTAAGGGTAATGAGGAGCGGCGCAGCTATCGATTGTGCAGGCGGTGAAACTGCACCGGGAACGCACGAGCCGGAGGGGGCCCAGTGTCGTTTCCGACACACGGAACAGACAGGCCCCAGGCCGGGCTACAAAGGGGGTGGGGGGGGTGAGGAATTGGACAGGGGACCCAGTGTCATTCCTTCCATCGGGGCCCATGCCAACCATGGTACTATGCCGCTGGTAATCAGCGCCGTCAGTGGGAACTTTAGCGTTAGCAGACGTGCCACCAAATCCAGTCACCCAAGTCCTCATTCTGGCCATGGACAACATTTGTTTTACAAGCCTGACTCTACCGATGAGACCCTAAAGGTCAAAACCGGTCCAGAGTTTGTTTGCTTCGTTAAACAAATGCTGCTGGATAATACTGGTTTAGAAAGCCAATAGGGTGATAGACTGAACTATGTTGTATGTATATGTGGAAACACAGAAGGGAGCTCTGCTTAAATAATACACTTTTAACAACAAATGCTACGTTTCCACGACTATTTGAAATCATATCCAATCCGTGCTAGTGCTATCTTGGAACAGCCTAGCATGGCTCATTTCTTGTCCTGACGGTCAAGAAACCTGTGTCCCTCCAGCCCTGCTGCACCATGTCCCCTCCCCTCTATTGTGGAGTACAAGCGTATCATTTGCACATGACCCGCAGGCAATCCCGGAGAGTGCGTGGCGTGGGGTCTCAGCCATTTCCGCTCCTTTGATGGGTCCCTGTTCGAGTTCCGCGGAGGTTGCTCCTATCTGCTGGCGGGAGACTGCACGGACCAGACCTTCTCCGTGGTGCTGAGAACTGTGCGGCCGTGCAACTCGCTCGCCAACTGCAAGAGGTCCGACACCACAGCAGGAATGGCCTGCGGCATTTAGTTTTAGTAGACATGAGCAGTTAGTGGACATTAGCAGTCACTGCACCTTTAAAATAGGTGTATACGTACGCACACACATCCATGATTTTATGAAATAATGCGCAGATAGCCCGATTACGGAGCTTCAAAGAGCCAGACTTTAGCACCTTTCACATTTCTAGAGTTCATTAATTGTGCCCGAGGCTCATAGAACCATAATTAAGGTACCTTTATTATTTTACGAGTACACTGTTATTGAATGAGACAGCGGAGTTCCAAATGCATGATACTCATTCCTGATTCATCATCATCATCATCATTGACCTCCCTTGTCTGACGTACGATGCACTCTCGCAGGAACTTAACCATCACCATCGGGCTCATCGCCCTCGACCTCAGTGGCAGCGAAGACGGCCCCGTGGCTTCCTCGAGCTCCAGCCTCATCTCCATTCCCACGTCGTGGAACGGCCTCCTCATCGAGCGCATCGCCGATTCCATCCTCGTTCGCAGCGGCCTGGGCTTCACCGTGCGCTGGGACGGCGAAAATGCCATATCAGTGATGGTCACCAACGAGCTCAGTCAGAAAACGTGCGGTCTTTGCGGCCTGTTCAACAACGACACGTCGGACGACTTGACCGGGAAGAACGGACGGCTCGCTACCTGCCCGCTCGCCTTCGGAATGAGCTGGCGAGCCACGGAGCCCGGCGAGGGTACGTGTAATGAACAGAATGTGTTTCTACTGGAAGAATCCGATTAGCTTTAAAGCCCTTTTTCACAGATGTCCAGTAGAGGCGGGTCAGAACGTTACAACATCAAACAATACGAAAAACACGATAGGAGTGCAAAGTATAGGAAAGATAAACAAAGCACATTTTTTTTTAAATATACAAATAAAACTAAACACATTTTTTTATCTTACCAGGTATAGCCCACTAAGCTATTAACTTATTTTTCATAAACGACCTGGCCACAAATGATAGCTCAACAAAGTGGTTTATCATTTGGAAATTTATAGCAGCATTATCTGCGATAAATAATCTAAATGCAGTGGCAGTAGCTGTCAAAAATGTGCGGGCGGTGCTATTGCAACACTGGGGAAGGAGTGAGGAGGGTGGAAGTTGGTTAATAGGGGACTCCATTTCACTTATTGCACCAGGGCCCATGCCAACCATGCTATGCCACTGCGTAATATATCACAGGGCGTGGATAATTAATGTATTCTAATTATATTCTTGTGCCAACCATACATTGCATGTGTAGACTCCTGCGTGTGAGAAAAGATCATGATTTTATGGTACGCCTGTTACATTGAGGTTCATAGTAAACACAGTATTGAACAAATGAGATACTAGTAGCATAACTTGCGGCTGCATTTTGCGAATCTGGAGCGCCTCTAAAGCGAGACTGTGAGCGTAATGATGTAATTAGGCAAGAGGAGCAGCGATGTATAGCCTAGGTGTGACCGTGCGAAACGAATCAAATATCGGGACCCCACCTGACAGATTGCCACATCCCCTGACCTGATAATATAGTTACGCCACTTCTGTCGATTCAAGCAAGACAGAAGATAAGAGATGGAATGAAATCCACTGTTATAACGTACCAGCGTTACTACATTTAAGCTCGCCACCTTCACCAACTCACAGTGACAAGCGTGATCATCAAATAACCCGCACGACATACACGGTGTGGCTGCAGCCTACATCCAGCAGTGGATTTTCAAAAGAGATGCGTGTGCACACATATACATGCCACGTCTTTGATACGTGTAGCTTTGTTTAATATTTTTTTACGAACACTGCACTTGGGACGTCAAAAAATATGTACCCACGCAATCGATAATGATAAATGTGGCACTAAGGACTTGCATCATCAGCAGCCATGATCAATCCACTGCTGGATGAAGGCCTCCCCAAACTGTCCACCATCTGTCAGTCATGTGCTGCAACAATCCATCTTATCTCCTGCACACAAGGGGACGTCATCGCTCTATCTCTGCGGTGGATGTATTTTCGACAGAGTATATTATTATTTTTGAAACGTACATTTATGAAATACATTGCTACCTTGCCCTTTCAGATGACAGCTGCCTTAAAAGCTCATCGGCCGTGAGCATGTGTCAGCCAGATACGCTTCCAATAGCCTATCTGCAGTGCAAGAAGATCCGCCACAATCAGTTCTCCAACTGCACAGACGTACGTATTACCAAGCACGCATCACACTTTACACGAGGTAGGTTAATCCTGCGTTATAGTGAGAAATACTAGTCAGATGCATGAATGTTACTTAATTGATCCACGTTTACGTTTTTGGGATTTAGGCCACGTGGTAGTTTTATGGCAAAATTATTGTCACGAGCCCTCCACCATCAGACAAGATTGTCACGTGTACACATATTATTTGTACGGGATAATGTGTTAATCAAATCCTAACCAATAATAATCCTCCTCCTCCTCCTCATTGGTGACTTTTCATGACTGAATTTAACATCAAAATACGACGACGTTTCACTAAAACTGCGTTGAGCTTTATCGGGTATGCTGCCAGGAAATGCCTAACGAAAGGAACCTCTTCTTCATGACACTGCATATCCCGTTGAACTTGTGAAGTGAATTTAAGATCGAAAATGAAAACCAGTGGGGATCGCGCAAGCGAATAAATCATTAATTACGACGATAAAAACCAAGACAACGCTAATTTCAGATGAAGTTCGAAAGACGATGACAAAATTATAGGATTTATCCGTTCTGGCAATAAAACAGGTGTTAAGCTGTTGATAGACGAAACAGATACCTATTGTAAGGCATCAAGTCTTTATTAAGCACACATACTTGTGACAAAACATGCAAACACGCTCTGATATATGCATACATTGTCTTTGAAGCTGATTGGCCTACGCCAGAGACAGCCTTCTTTATTGACTTGTCTCAGCAATCTTAGACTAAAGACACTGTGAAGATTATCAGAGCATGTCTGTTTGCATGTTTCGTGACAAGTATGTGTGGTTTAATGCACACTTGATGCCTTGCAATCGGTACCTATTTGCTGTTTGAAGATCTTAACACCTGTTTTATTGCCTGTTCTCAATTTTACGTCAGAAACTAAACCACTAAAACATGTATCAGCCACCAACCCTCCCAGGGTGGGGGGGAGTCTCTCCCGAGGCGGGGGTTACCCACTCGAATGTGCAGTCAAATTACCTCCTATAATCACACAGAAATGTCTGTCCGTCCCGCGTGTGACGTCACACCACATAAGGCCCACCCCCCTCATTAATATTCATGAGTGGGTGGATTTTTACACGGACGCAGAGGAAGGTCGAGCTGAATTAAATAATTTATTATGCAAAGTCGCTTCAAATATGACGTTTCTTTACAGAAAGCGACGGTGAATAAGTATAACCCGTAAAAACAAAGTTTTTCACTATAAATCCTTTATATGCGTAGCAGCGAACTTAATATAAAGGATTTAAAAATATATTCGCCTGTGGAGGACGCGGGGATCGATCCCGCGACCTTTGGCATGGGAAGCGAGGGTGCTACCAACTGCGCTACTCCGCCACGGCCTGTGGAGGGGTTACGCTCTGGGCTCTTACACTCTGACGTTCAGCCAAAGCCATGAATGCGTTCTATTTGAATATATGTAAAATAATTTTTTTTTGCCTAAAAAGTGTAAAATTTTGGGAATTTTTTTTCACGAACATTAATTGTCACGCACAACGAGTCTGTGTGGAAAATGTCAGCTCGATTGGATCACGGGAAGTGGGTTAAAAAACGACCGAAAGATTTGCACGGTCCTAAGCAAGCAAGCAAGCACGCAAGCAAGCACGCAACTTAATATAAAGGATTTAAAAATAAATATACGCAGCACAGTGCTGAATCTATGCGTGACGTCACTCCACATGAGCCCCCCCCCCCTCATTAATATTCATGCCCACGTGGAAATTTCCACTAACGCACAAGAAGGTCGCGCACTCCACATGCCGCACCCCTCCCCTCATTAATAATCATGAGCGAGTGACGTCACTCCAAATGCCGCACCCCTCCCCAATAACCATGAGCGGGTAGCGTCACTCCACATGCCGCACCCCTCCCCAATAACCATGAGGGGGTGACGTCACCCCACATGCCGCACCCCTCCCCAATAACCATTAGCTGGTGACGTCCCTCCACATCGGGCAACCTCCCCCTCCCCCCTCATTAATAATCACGAGCTGAACAATTTTTTCTATTGAATATTTCAGATTTACTGCAATATACACCCGCAAAAAAATCAGCCTAGTTGTTGGGATAACGAAGCAAAGTTGGTGGCGACTCAACACTGGTTTTGTGGCCGCCTCTGGTTTGAAGGCTGCCCCCTTCATTTGACGCGTGTTGTCACGACTATTCTCTGCAGGACGTGAGCCCGGAGCCGTACATGCGCGCCTGCTTGGAGGACGTGTGCCTCTGCTTGCTGAACAACCGAACCGACTGCCACTGTGCCTCCTTCGAGGCGTATGCCGGGGCGTGCTCGCGTCGCGGACACAGGCTCAGCTGGCGGGCACCGGACCTGTGCCGTGCGTCTTTCTCACGCCTTTCCCACCTCCACACACACACACCTTGCTCTCACGTTATAGCCCCCAACCACCGCCAGCGAGTCGATGGAATAAACCTGCGATTCCGTTTAGGTTGTTGACGAATGCTTGTAGGGGTGACGGGCATCCATTATCTCACTATAAGCTTATTTTTATTGAAAGCTTTCGTGACTGCAGGGATTCATATTCTTGGTTCTTTCGGTAAAGTCACGTAGAAGGGAATCAATAAAATAATAAAAATATAAAACAATTAAATTCTCACGACGTTTCAACTGATTGCTTGCAGTCTAAACGTCGCTAGAATTTTATTGTTTTATTATTTTATTATTTAATTGTTTCCCTTCTACGTGACTTTACCGAAAGAACCAAGAATATAAACTTATTGCGAAACTCTACTATGAATCCGAAAGGGGTTCGATCCACTTGTTTTCCTTTTTCACCCACTGAATGTGCTATCGGCGTTACGTCACGAAGACAGAGGTAGCCATTTAGATCGATCGCAGTGCGTTGGGGACCCTCCCATGTGTGAGAAAGGCTGACAAAGGGTGACACAACACAGCAGAGACACTTCTGAGATCAACTCAGGTGACCTGTGGTGCACACAAATTATTTGCTGACAACTGCGCTGCCAGTGGTGAATAACAAAAATAACAACAACAAAAAAGTAACACGTTGATCAATAATACTGTGGTCTTAAAATGACTAAAAATATCTAAAACAGTTGACTTTTCGGGCAATTACTCTTTTTCATAGAACACCATGTGCTCATGAAGAGTTTTCTGGGACATACAATAAGCATTGATTTTTCACATGCTCTGCTACGTATAACAGTAACCTACATACTTTTTGAGCTATTTCTTTTTTTACAATTTTTATTTTACCAGGTAAAGCTCTACATAGCTCTTTTTCAGAAGCGATCTGGCCACAAATGATAGTTCAACGAAGTGGCTTATGTGAATATTTATAACAGCTAAATCATCTAAACGCACAACCACGGGGAGACAGACATCATAGACATGCAAACTCCAAACATGCGTGAGGGTCGGGATTTAACCTGCGACCTCCAGCATACCACCACATAGCTGAACGTGTAAAACTATACAGAACTACAATCAACTCACAACACTCACAGACACCTGCCTCGATTCGAACCCATGATCACAGTCGTGTTAGCTCAGCGCTCCGACTGACCTCCTAAGCCTCCTAGCTAACTTTACCCAGCCAGGCACAAAGTCTCGGTGACAGCACTGACCACCAACCGAAAGCATTTTTGTTCTCTTTAACTCACTCTTTGCCCCCCCGCCCCCGCCCAATTGCATTGCACAGACGTTGAATGTCCTCCGTCCATGGTGTACGACGACTGTGGGAGCGCCTGCCCGCACACGTGCAAGAGCGCCGTGTTCACTTGCGAGAACCAGCAGTGCGTGGAGGGCTGCCACTGCCCAGACGGTACCCTGCTGCACGACAAGACCTGCATCACGCAGGACCAGTGTCCCTGCTCGAGCTTGGGCGATGAATATCCCACTGGCAGCATCATCCTCGTCGACTGCAACAACTGGTGAGCACGCAGATGGCGCGTTTTGCTGGCTGGTTCCAGCAGAGGGCTCAACAAACGCAAAGGTCCCACAATAATGTTGCAATTCGCATTTGGAATACCAAATTGCGTAACTAACGTTGGGGCAGGGGTGCCTTGCCCCCCCCCCTGGTGGCCAAAGCTAAGAGTTGGGGCCTTCTTGACAACCACCATGAGAGATGTTTTCAACAACAAACGTATTTAAAACGCGGTTTAAATGTATTATATGAAAATGCTTTCATTTACGTTCCACTATATATTTTTTTATTTAATTAGAGCAGTAAAGTTTGGCTTCCGCAAATTGCGCAAATCAAATATTGGGGCCCCACCTGACCAATTGCAGCACCCATCGAAGCTGATAATTACTATATTTACTACGAAACTGGGGATACCGTCGCTCGATATTTAAAAGGGAACTTTATTATCCCCACTGATTAATTAAATGCATTAAAGAGCTGTGTTGGCCGATTGTAGGCGGTGGTTTGCCCGTACTTCGTTCATCACGCTGTTTAGTGCGGGTTTGTGAACGCGGGGTGGCCAGGATCGGTTCAGATACGTTGGTTATTTTTCTTCTTCTTCTTCTTCTTCCACCACGGCACCTTTGCTAATTGTAGACTAAGGTGATTCCAATCAGGATGGTCTCATAACAATTCTACTTTACTGTTGTATATAAACTGTCTCAACTATGAACAACACGTGCTACATCATTCCATCTCCCGTGGTTCACACACGCACTTACACGTCTCTACAAATATCACTCGCCAAAGATGCTAGCCACGGTTGGGTATCGGAACTTGGATCCTCCCTGGGTTGATAGCACTGTGCGCTAACTACCGCTCCAAAACCAAATTGGGCAATTTATATACCCACAGTCCGAAAAGTTTTGAATGTATAACAAGCTGTTCCATTTTAAATGTATACGTGTTTAATCTGTTATTTGACTCAGGGGACCAACAGATGTAGGCAATGATCTGACGACTTGAATCTCTTTCTTTCCTGACAGCACGTGTGTTGGTGGAAACTGGCAATGCACGACCACTCAATGTGAAGGTATGTGTCGTTACAGCCGTGTGTGAATTAGTCTCCTTCGTATGTTTGTTTTGTAGAACCTGCTATCAAATACAATTATATGTCTGGATACCAGAATGTGAGTGAAATTGACCTGACATTCGACACCTTTGCAGAGGTGAATTCACGTAAAAGCCCAGATGTATAGTATGAGCATTTACATGATTAAATATACATGCAGGTACAGGAGTGTTTGAAATGTACTGCGGGTATAGCATTGTCTTATCATGCTCGTGTTAAGTAAACATTCATACATGAGTATGAGTACTGAGTTTATTCTAGCTTTCTACAACCACTACGACAAAACGTCATTACCACCGTTATTTACTCTGAATAACATTTTGCAAGGCAGAAATCCCATGGATACTAGCCACCGTGATGACGATGATGGTGGTCCCTTGTGTGTGGTGCAGCCACTTGTAAGGTAGTGGGAGAGACGCACGTGACAACGTTCGACAAGCGACCCTACGAAGCGGCAGGGCTGACTCTGGGATGCGCGTACACCTTGGTGGAACCCTCGGACCCCTCTGCTGAGGCCTACGCCATAGAGCTGGAGGGAGCCGCTTGTGGATCATCCGCCAAAGTGGTGCGACACACACTCGTGAAAACAGAACAGCCAGCTGTGTCAGTACTAGCTCGGGGAAGCAAGCGTGGGAGTGAGGAACTGTAATTCAACTCAAGGTTAATGCCCTCTACAGGTGCAAAATGACCATTGAATTTCACAGAATACCCACCACGATTCAACATCAGCTAATCCCAAGGTTTAATTTCCCCTTCGACAATTTCCAGGACATTGCTCTTAGTTGTCTTCGAGTAGGGATTATCGATGTAAGGCATTACCACTAGAGTACAAGGTACGCCTATCCATAATATTCCGATATTTGTGGAATCATATGAACAGGTTTTTTTTATCAAAAGGGGTCAACATAGTGATAGTTACATAACACTGCATTGATAAATAATTACACAGCAATCTATTATTACACATCTCCTAAATGTATGATTACATGAAAACATTTTATTTTCATATATTTTGCAGTTTAAAATCCACTGACAACCAGTACTCATCACCCAAACTCCAGGTGGAAAATAAATATCTTTACAACAAAATTATGACACTTTAAATAACTTTTGGCGGAAGCGTGTCTACTCGCCTTACTCCCCTTCCAACATGTCTTTTTGAACTTTCTTCACGTAGTCAACAACATCTTCACAACAACACCAAAAACAAAAAAACCCCACTTCATCCCATTGTGCTGTCACCTTGTGAAAGAATCAACTTCACATCCTAATTACGTCTGGGAAGAACACATCAAACCAACTCGCCTCGATGCACGCAACCCCTGACCTGAATCGTGCCGCCCCATCACCACACAGTGTTCCCGCGCCGTCAACATTCGTGCTGGTGGACAAGCGCTGCGCCTCCAAGGGCCTCTCGAGTGTCTGCTCAACGGGTGGCGCATCGGGGAGCTGCCCCGGAAAATCCCAGGTCTCCTGGTGGAACGTGTCTCTGGCCAGTTTGTCAGGGTGAGTACGGTGCCAAGTATGAGCTCTGTGGGTGGCTCTCTGTGAACACCAGAAACATGAAGTGGCCGACAGAAATGAAGAAGCCTCACGTTGAGGGGTGGAAAGCAGTTTGGGGGCGGAGGACACTGGCCAATCTCTGAGCCACTTATACATTTATCAATCATCCTAATGCATGACCCTGCTGTAAAAAAGTCTTGAGACTCAGTTAGGCTTCCCTAGATAAATAAAGGACATTTTTATATTCAATATGTACTACCAGATGCAACTTTATTTATTTATATAATTTTATATATGACCTCGAAATCAAACATCAAATGACATGACTAATCATTAGTTTATTTTGGGTTACATCATGTAGGTATAATGTACATTTTTAACTATTACCCTCCACCGGCCGACAGCAAAAATAAAGAAATATTATACCCACACAATCTGACCCAACAGAAGCTAATTATGAAGCCTACTTATAAAATGAATCAAATCACGTGACACAGATATTATATATATCACTGGTTATAATGTATTTCATACACATCTGTGTCACATGTATATTTACACCAGAATTGTCCACATTGCCACGTGGGAGGCTTCATCATCGGCCAATGTCAATCCGTGCGGTCACCATCCGCTGCTACCATCGATCTCATTAGTGCACATGCATTGATCTCATCCCTCCATATCCACGGTGGTCATCATCTTGTGGGCGCGTTCTCTCCGATGCCTGACATTGTATCACCAGTCCTGTCTATCGGCTATAATCCCGTCCAGTGATGTATCCTAAAACAAGCCCACTTATTTTGATTCATTGTCAATTAGAGTCTCTGATTTGTGTTGTTCCCCGATGATCCGTGTGTTCCTTTTTCTGTCTCTCATAAAGCATGGATCTCTCCATGCCTCTTCGTGCACTTTTCAGCTTTTAATCATCTTTCCTGTTCACGTGGGGATTTCTGACTTGCATAAAAAAAAACACTGTCATATCATCCCTGCAGGTGACTCTGGACAACGGCCTGCGCATCTCTTGGGATGGCGTGCGGCGCCTGTACGTGACGGCTCCGCCTGAGCTCGAAGGCACGGTGGCTGGGCTGTGCGGCACTTTCACCCGCGACCAGCGCGACGACTTCATGACGCGTGCGGGAGATGTCGAGATCGAGGTGTGGGCCTTCACCGCTCGCTGGAAGGTGGCGCAGGGAGCGACCAACTCGTGCCCCGATGCCAATTCGCTGGCGCTGGCGTCTCCGTGCAACACGTACGCCCAGCTCAACGCGGCCGCCCAAGAGACTTGCAACAAACTGATGATCGACCCGTTTAACTGTACGTATCCTCTTGACATCTGCAAATATGCCGAACAGTCTTTGCTCCTCTCGGGACACTATGATTCACACAATTGCTTAGAACAGCATCCCGATTGAGTGGAAGTGTATGGAATCTGTAACTTATTTTACTTTAAAAGCATCCACTGTGTCGTAAATGCATTAATTCAACGATGTAAAAATTATGTTAGTGTTAATCACAATAATTCAGATTTATAAGTTGCCCTTTAACAATGAATCTCAGGTAATTCTCTTGTGTGCGAGCAGGATATGTTTTTGCAAGGACATATTCTGACATGTACCAGCTCATCCATTTTACAAATAATAACATTCATTCCAATAAGCGTCGGCACCTAGCTCTGTGTGACTTGGTCGCAGCGCTGCTTTGAACGCAACGCTCCGTACAACTACGTTGCTACTCTCTGTTTTCTTAGTTTGCCACACACGTGTCAACCCGGATGCTTTCAAAAAGGACTGCACATATGAGGTGTGCACAGCTGGGGCTCTGAGAGGCGCCGAATGTAAGACATTCGCAGACTACGCGTACATCTGTGCTTCTCGAGGAGTCGTCCTGGCCAACTGGCGTCTACTTCTAGATTGCAGTGAGTATTCTGTCATTCAGTAACCTGTCTACATAATGACATACTGCGCACGACAGTTGTATTGGCTTCATATCGATGATCACACATAGTTTATCAATATACAGTGTTTATATTTTAAACTGTAAATGTTGTGCTGGAGCAGTCGCGTAAACGATATGATCTGATGCTGTGATGTCTCGTCAATTCTCCCTCAGCCGTGACGTGTCCCGGTGACATGGTGTACCAGCAGTGTGCCTCTTCGTGCAGGAGTACCTGTGCCTCGCTGAGCAACCTCGAGGTGCCTGCCATCTACCTTATAATATCAGCTGTACAACATGTTACCCCTTCTAACTAACACTGCGAACAAGATTAGTATGCATTGAAAGCATTCCGATTAACATGCCTGGTTTAGTGCCAAACATGGGGTGGAGCGGTGGTGCAGTGCTTAGCGCATTTCTCTATTAACCTGGCCAGCTCTGTTTCATTCCCACCCGTGGCTAACATTAGTGGCGAGAGATATCTGAATCAGTCCTCGATCCGCCCACGCTGGCCAACGTGTAAACGTACGGTCAAACAACCTCCCATGACCGACATGCTACTGGGAACCCTTTGGAGAGGAGCGGATTGATAAAGGGTTGTACAAGGCCAAGCAGAAGAGAGCTCTCTATTACTGGATGATGAAAGAATTCTGTTTAGTAAATAGTGGGGAGAAATAAAATAAAAAATGGTATCAAGTCCTGAATTGTAACTGTTGCCGGTAGAGTAATGACAAAAACTTTATGTTTATACAATGAATACAATTTGAGTACAGAAGAATCAATAAAGACCAATAAATTATATTAACCTTTATAACCAATCACAGGGGGCGGATGATGATAGCGGTCAGTATGCTATCAAGTTACCTGGCTTCTGCTGTCGTTGTGCACGTGTAAGCCTCCTGTCTTGTGCGTGTTGTGGGAAGCAGGAATGTCACGAGGAATGTTCGGAGGGCTGCAACTGCCCAGATGGACTTCTCCTTGATTTCGATGGTCTGAGCTGTGTGGATCAGAGCCAGTGCAAGTGTTCTTACAGCAGCACAAACTACGCGCCAGGCAGCATTTTGCAAATGGGCTGCAAAAACTGGTGAGCATCGTCAACCAGGCAGATAGCAATGAATACCATGAATATCGATGTTCAGTTTGGCTGGAAGTTCATAAAATTCGGTCAATTCTCCTGCATATGATGCTGAGCAATATATTTTTCGACCCAGGTCACTTTCGTAAGAGACTTGGAGCCTCAATGAGTTCTGACCTAGTAAAATATCGTCTGCCTATACTCCTAACAACTATGTTTCACAGTTAGTTACTTTTGGGTTAGATCGTGTCGGTATAATACCAATTTTCATGTATACCCTCCGCCACCCGAAATAAACATAATCAAATGAAGTTGTCACGTGGGAAAATAAGCCAAATGATTTGGTTTTTCAGCGAACCATAATTGTGAAGATCAAGCTAATTTTTTACTATTTTATGATGAGGTTTCGCTGGACAGCATCATCAGCTGTTGATATCTCACCTCTCACGTGTTAACACGTGATAATGCTGGATGCAATCTCCAATTAAACGTCGTATAAAATTATAAACAAATAACTTGCTTTCCATCATTCTCCCCCCAGTTCGCTGAAAAAACATATCATTTGGCATATGCCCAATGTCACAACCTGATTTGATTGGCTATGTCGGGTGGCAGAGGGTATAGCTGACAATTCGCATTAGATCGACAAAGAATCATAATCTTTATTTAGACTGGAGGAATTCGAAAATGAACCATATTAGTCTTGAAAGCCTACGGATAAGATTTACGACTAACTCATAACATTTAAAGTTAAAATGCGAAAAATATATATTTTTACGGTGGTTTCCCACTCAAACGTGGTCGAAGCAGTGCTCGCCTTCTCTTTGTAGCTCTGAGTCAGTCCAGTGGCAGAAGTTCCACTTTTTATATGGCAGGGACGAGACTGTTCCTAAACAAGCAACTACTGATGACCAAATTTCGATTTAAAGCTTTCGTGACTGCAGGGATTCATCTTCTTGGTTCTTTCGGTAAAGTCACGTAGAAGGGAAATAATAAAATAATAAAAATACAACATAATAAAATAATTCTCACGACGTTTCGGCCACAACACAAGCAGCCGTCCTCAGGTGAAGAACAGGTCTGTCGGAAAGACAGCGTCTGAATGGAAAGACAGCGTCATTCAGACGCTGTCTTTCCGACAGACCTGTTCAGCGTCTGAATGGAAAGACAGCGTCATTCAGACGCTGTTTTTCCGACAGACCTGTTCTTCACCTGAGGACGGCTGCTTGCGTTGTGGCCTCAGGTGAAGAACAGGTCTGTTAGAAAGACAGCGTCTGAATGGAAAGACAGCGTCATTCAGACACTGTCTTTCCGACAGACCTGTTCTTCACCTGAGGATGGCTGCTTGCGTTGTGGCCGAAACGTCGGAAGAATTATGTTATTATGTTTTATTTTATTATTTTATTATTTCCCTTCTACGTGACTTTACCGAAAGAACCAAGAAGATACTGATGACCAATCGTGACGTGGGCATGTGTTTGCAATGACCTCATGGTGTCCCTCCGCTTGCAGCACGTGCGAGTACGGCGGATGGTCCTGTTGGAGTTCGGAAGGCTGCGTTGACGACAGCGGACTATGCCCCCAAAACATGCAGTGGTCCCCATGCAAGTCCTCCTGCCCTGTCACCTGCGGCAACATGAACAACGTGAGCACGAAATCCCAGAGAAACGCCACACTCATTCCCGGAAGAAAACCACTCGTCCCCTATTTGTGTGTGTCTCTCTCTCTCTTTATCGCTGTGTCTCTCTCGCTCCATTTATGTCTATATGTCTTTCCATTTGTCCTTCTGTAATAATAATGATTTGTTTTTTCATAGCACCCTTTATGCCGAGGAATCTCAGACCACTTTACAATGGCTTACAACTCTTTCTGTACATGGCTGAAAAGCTTTTCATTTGATCTTGTTGGCTATTTATTTAGTATTTATGATTTGAGCGCAAAGTATATATTTTTATCCTGTTTCACTAGATAAACTTGCAAAAGGCCTTGTTACCCAATTCAGCTTGCGGCAGCAACAGTTTCATGCAATGCCACGTGTGATATAACTCCCTTGATTTAATAATGATAATCTTGCATTTATATGGCTCTCAAATACCTCAGCTAAGTCAAAGTGCCTTACATTTAATTTCAACATATTTTAAACGGCACCCCCCGTGGCAGCTGTCCATGTGGGCACAAGGTGACTCAGCACCTGGTCTGAAAATGTGCTTTCGTCTGACAGTAGGGGGTGATGATTGCTGCTGTGTGCAATTCTATTTGCGTAATTTGTGAGTCATTTTTCGAATTTGGCCAATTGGGACCCTGACACCAATAAATAATGATCAAGTCCTTTCAAATCGTGTCAGGGGATCTTTAACTTCCACTGTAAAGCAGATTAAACTATAACAATTTTTTACCAGATAAAGCCCACTGAGCTATATAGATTTTTTTAAAGAATCGGCCTGGCCACAAATGATCGCTGAATGAAGTGGCTTATCACGTTAAAGTTTATAGCAGCCAAATACAGTACTCTAAATGCATGTTTCTAAATGTGGAGGGGAAAAAAACGGAGGACCCAGAGAAAAATTCACGTGACGATTGGAAGAACATGCTAACTCCAAATATAGTCGTCAGAGTCGGGATCGGAATCGGAATCGAACCTACAACCTCCTGCATACCAGACGAGGGAGTTAATATCTCGCCACTACGGCGCCCCAAATGTATGGTTATTTATGGTTATTACACCCTCAATAATAACCAGACTAGCCGCTGGGCTCTAACTGCAAACATCTGCAAAAAGCTGCGAACTTGCTTCCCTTGAGCCATGTCACCTCGGTAGTGCATTCTAGTGCCGTGCTCTCGCCTTACCTATTCATATGTCTCTCTGTTCCTGTCTTCTTGTTTCTCTCCGTGTCTTTGTTTCTCTCAGGCTCTCTCTTTATGTCTCTCTCTCTGTGTATCTCCGCGTGTCTCTCTGCGTTGGTCTACTCGTCTCTGCATCTGTATACCTCCGTCACTTTCTGTGCGTGTGTCTGTGTTCATCATTGAAGCGGTTAGCGCACTGCGCTAAAAACCGAGTGACGCGAGTTCAATTCCTGTTCATGGCCAACACCAGTGACTATTATCTGAACCAGTCCTGGGCCTCCCCGAGTTTGACTCAGCCTCAAATGAGTATCTAGTGTGGTGTGTAAATATCGCCACTGGGGAAACAAAGGCGGTCGGGCGTGATGCTGGCCACCCACCCTCTCGTGTACCGTGCCGGTCATCATAGGTGCTCACTAACAGCACTTGCCCCAACAATCTTTATACGGGGGATTTTTGTATTTGTAGCTCACAAGATAGTTCAACTCTGTCGATCTTAAAAAGGCCTCGCGCTCCTACAGTTTGCAAGGTGATAAGCCTAAAATCAGCACATGTTGATGAGTGTCATGATATGCACTGCTGTGAAATGAATGTGCGCAGAGCTCTCAGGTTAAGGGAGGGGTCATGTGGGATAGTGACCACTAGAGGGCGTCGGATTACCTTGTCTGCACAATAAGATCACATTAAATACTGAACAATAGCCAGCAGGGGGTGATGGTGGTATTGCGGTGTCATTTGGGCTTCAATAGCATTTCAAGTTCAACTTCATTTCAAGTTCATTTATTAGGTATAGCCCTGTGTGCCGTTCGGCTCTTGAATCGGGTGCAACCGCAACAAACAAAAAACATGAACAAGAAAACATCTTAAAGTGACTATGTGACTAAGTGCAAAGAGAAAATCCAGGAAAAAAAAACAGCAACTCTTTAGTTCTTTTGGCAAAGTCACGTAGGTATAAAATAAAATATTTTATCTACGTGACTTTACCGAAAGAACCAAAAAGTATGGATTCCTGCAGTCACGAAAGCTTAAAATCAACCATGTATGCACTTGCTCAGCTTATTCAAATAAAACATTCCCCCTTGTATAAATTAATTGAGCAATTTACCTAAAACGGAATTCGCTTTTTTGTTGTTCAACAAATAGTTTCTGATAACAGGCAGTTGCTATCTGCATGCACAAACAAATGTTACATCGTGGGTTTACCTAAAGACATGTATGTGCCATAATTGGCAATAACAGCGTAAATGAGTTGCTAGCAGAATTGGCCAGCTGTAAATTGGCTGCCCGCATTCGCCCCAACAGGAGGTTTCAGGGTTGCCAAGTCTCATACATTCTACATGTTCAAGTGCTATGCACTTGTACAGTGCCACTGGAGCTATGCACTTTTAAATCTAGATTAAAATGTAATTTCTTTAAAACTGCTTTTTGTGTTTAGTTTGTTGTCCTTCCTCCGCACCTCGGATTAGCTTGGTTGGCTACGTACGGTGTGGAAGAAGTTCAACATACATCCATACATGCTCACACACCAAGCAACTACCGTGTCATGCTTTCATATAGAAACATACGCAACATCACAGGGAAAATCACCCAAAAATATTCACCAATAACCCCACCCCTTTGTCAAACTAATCTCACCAGTGCCAGCGTGTGTGAGTGAAACCGTTTGAATGGCACTTCTCTTCGCACTGAACGGTCAATCTATTGTGAGTGGCATCTCTGAAGCCTGACAGCCACGGGGTGTCTTGTTGGTCTTTTCCAGTATTCTCATCCCAATCCCACCTCATGCCATTCTGCCTCCCCCCGCACAGCCCAGCCTGTCCAACTGCATCACGGAGAAATGCGATGCTGGTTGCGAATGCTCGACGGGCCTGGTGTGGGACGGCTCTAAATGTGTGCAACCCGCCCGTTGCCCTTGCTATCACGGCGGACAAAGTTTCCAAACGGGACAAAGCATCACACTCGACTGCAACAACTGGTAAGGTGTCCACTAATAAATAGTACTAGTACGTTGGTTTTAAGTGGTTCTGCTGGATAGCTCTGGTGTGCTTTTATGCTGTACTTAAGTGTTGTTATGCATGAGGTCTGACGTTTAGCTCCACATGATGGGAACTTCTTCAGGCACTGAATTCATTGATAATAATCTAGAGTTTTTGTCAATCCAGTGCCAGATGAACGCCTCCCCATGCTGTGTAAGGAATGAGGGTTGAATGACCTTACTTCACCATGCTGGTCGTTGGGTGTTGGTAGAGAGGTGGGGGGAGGGAGGGGAGACCCAGAACCAAATAAGATATTGTTGGGCACTAATGTTAACCGTGGCCGGGAATGTAATTCATGGGTCATCACATTCATAGCACAGTCTGAGAACTACTGCAATATTGCTGTAGCCCATTTAAAATTGTTGCATTGAAAACTTTCTCAACCAACACTCCTAAACACAGACACTCAGTAACTGAGAAGCAGGAACATGTGGCAGTGTTTATATAAGAAGTCCATCATGGACTATATATTTGAGAATTAACCACTTTAAAGGGGAAAGCTATGATTCACAGTAGCATGGGTGTTGTAGGGATAGTGTCCTTGTAATGTGCTTGTTGGACAATGTCCCAGCAGCGAGTTCGATGTTAGGCAGTGGTTCAGCACATATACACACTCAATTAACTGCTGCATACCTTGAACTGACCATACCACCAGTCCTTGTCTCTTCTCAAGAAGGCAACATCTTCTAAATTCCTTTGATTAAAGAAATGTCCATCCGCATGAGTTTTGTAACTCTTTCCAACAGTTGTTCGTTGTTGAAAGTATGTTTTCCTCTGGCTTGCTTCACATTTTGGGTGACACTTTGATCACTTTTGCCAGACATCAATCGGGGGTTGGTCCCTCAGAACAACACAACTTATTTAGGCCAAATATTAATTATTACTGGATCATCTTTAATAAAGTGTTAGTGCCCCCACCCCTGTTATAAATTGACCGACGAGACAGACAGACAGAGCTAATGCATATTCACACTTTCATCATGAGATTGAAAGTGTTTACAAAAAGTACGCATTGATGATAACTGGACTTTTTGTTTTTTTTCTGCACTACAGCGTGTGCAATGGACAGGTTTGGGAGTGTGAGCACAAGCGCTGTCCAGGCGTGTGCACGGTGTACGGCGACCCGCATTACAGGACCTTCGATGGACGTGCCTATGACTTCCAGGGCAACTGCCAGTATGTGCTTGCACGGACAACCTACAGCCTGATAGACTACAGCAGTTTAAACTTGACCGACATGGGCGACGTGGACAACGACGGCTTCATCCTCACGGTCGAGAACGTGCCGTGCGGCAGCAGCGGTGTAACTTGCACCAAGAACATCGGCCTCAAGTACTGGCGTGCTCACAACGGCGATGTCTTCAAGATAGATCTGGTGCGGGGGAAAAATGTCGTGGACTCCACCGGCAATTTCAATATTCGCCGCGCAGGTCTCTACCTGTTCGTCGACACTCCCATCGGCGTGTCCATCCAGTGGGACTACAGCACGCGGCTCTACATCAGGCTTCACCCCAAATACATGGGTTTGGTACGTGAGCTGCCCGCACACACGGATGCGCTTTGCTCTTCATTGCATCGAGGGTCAGAAAACCCTTCATGTGTTTAGATTTGAAAGGATGGAAGCAAGCAAGAAAGTAAGTAGGGTTCTAAGTAGTGTTCCTGATATGTGTCGGTTGGAACCATCGTTTACCCAGCTTGAGTCTCATCTCTTCCAAGCACGACAGGAATTGGGGACTCTAAATTAGCTGTCTAGACGAATGTAGATATTAAAAGCAAATGGTACAATTCTATAACTAGCAAAGACAATAATTATATTTATTCTTAGCAATATCTATGGTGACGATTGCACTTTTATATTTGTTGTAATCATATTTGCATCTAATCCCACAGGTGGAAGGCTTGTGTGGAAACTTCAATGGTGATCAGAATGATGACTTTGTGACACCAGCTGCAGGACCACCTGAAGAGATGCCAAACATATTCGGTGACAGCTGGAAGGTGGGAAAAATAGACTTGTCTATTATATTCTACTCTATCCAACTGTAAATACTGTCCAAGTTTGGCAAAAAATGTCAGTCGATAAAATGTTGCCACAGACCCTTGCCACTACCAATGTCTTTCACTGTGCAGTTTGTTATTGCGTGTTGCATTTGATGAACTCAACAATTCTGTCTGAAATCCCAACCTCCTCCTACCCCTCGATTTATCAACCCCACAAACCCCCCCCTTACCCCCACACCTTCCGCCCCCTCCCCCCCCCTGCCGTTCTCCCCTACTGCGTGTCATGTGATGCAGGTGCACGCGTACTGCGCACCGGCCGTGGTCATCAACGACACGTGCCTGATGCACCCTCACCGGGCAGCGTGGTCGCAGCGCAAGTGCGGCGTGCTCCGCTCATCTCTGTTCGCCGACTGTCACGGCGTGGTCGCTGTGGCACCGTACGCTGACCGGTGCCTCTACGATGCGTGTGGCTGCGATAGCGGCGGTGACTGCGAGTGCCTGTGCACTGCCATTGCGGCATACGCCTACGAGTGCAGTGCAAACGGTGTGCCCATCGAGTGGAGGAGCGACGAACTCTGCCGTAAGTGAAGTGCCATTGGCTTCTAGATTGCCTGCAAAGCTGTGCCACTTGATTTTTGTTGTGATGTCGATGTTGGCGCGTGTGGAATTGTTGGACATGTCTCCAGACAGACCTCGGACGTGTACTTGATATAGTTTTCAAACAACCCTCATATTTATCTTGTGGTCACTTTTTGATCTGGCTTGTAAATGCTAAGGACTATTCACATAATCATCTATTTATTTTATAAGAGGCCTCCTACACACAAAGAGAATATCAGCACAACACAGCAATTAACTTTTTTTATTGTGGAAAAAATTGCCAGAATTGGGAGATATTTCTGTAGCAATCACAAGGCTACACTCCCAAACTTCCTCACAGTTTCATCTAACGAAAGTATTCTACCACAGGGGGGAATTTGTAATCTTATTATTTCTTGACCTAACCTGTATTCACTCAGTTAAGGTATTAGAAATTAAAATTACCAGATGCTAATCATATAGAATAATAATGGGAATTGGATTTCACACGAAACTTTTTGTTTGTATTTTTTTGCTAGTGTACATTTAATAGTGGTGAAGAAATTAATTGATTCATCAATTCATATTGATTCTTCTAGCTCGCTTATATATGCAATGAAAAGGAAGAATAAAAATGCAAAACTTTGTATTTGTTTATGTTGCATGCCATGTAGTCACCACTTTGTAAAAAAGGACCAAAATCATGACATTTTTATTTAATTGCGAGGTTGACTCATGTATTAATGCTGAAGAAAATGCTATTTGAATGCTGAAAAATAATGCCTTTTTTGTTTGTGTGTTTAATAGACTACTGATATATAATGTGATCATAGAAAATGTTAAATTAGGTCTGAGGTTTTTCATTAACCAAATAAAACAACGCACTTTGAAGCTGTTTGCATATCCCTTGTGACCATGTTCTCTCTTTCTCTCTCATGTTCCATCCTTAGCCATGCAATGCGGCCACTGCCCAATGGAGTACTCGGCTTGCACCTCAGCGTGTCCCAAGACATGCAGAAATGCCATGTTCTATAATGACATCCTGTCAAACTGTAAGGACAGCTGTGTGGAGGGCTGCGCTTGTCCCGATGGCTATGTAAGCATCCTGCATGAATTTAATAAACCTTAAAAGAGTTTTCTTTTCTGAACACCGCATAAATGAGCACACACGCCACACACCTGTAATCGAGCGCTTTAGAGGCAGGGGTCGGTGAATCACGCTGAACTGTGAATCTTTAAAACCTGCTGTGCTTGGAAGTGGCCATGAGATGGCAGAACAGAAAGTGTTTGTGAACGCAAACCTTAGAGTGGTTTAACATCATCGACTTGGTGGATTGTCTCTGGGTATTCCAGTTTCGTCCCATATGCTAAACACTCATAATCCTGATAACATTTTGACTTGGTGAGGTATACATATGGTTCTACATGTAACCATTCAATATCACAAATGTATTGTAAGGAAAATAATGGTATCCTGAATTGCAATTTTTGTAATTAATAATAACTCAAGTATTCAGTCATACAGGGTAGAAAATGGATTGTAAGTGGAATTATATTCACCTGCACATGGCATGCGTAGTATACATTGGAGTAGGCCGCAATGTCTTCCAGAATTATCCTTTGACTAAATCATTTGTAATGCGCCAGACCTCATCAAATCTCAGAAGCTAAGCAGTTTTGAGCCTGGATAGTGCTTGTATGGGTGACCTTCGTGTATGCAACGTTGTCAAAGTCGGCTGCAGAGCTGTGCTGTGCGGTGGGTAGTACAAAGAAAAGTATAAAAATCCATTGTTGTAGACTGTACTCCTCTGCGCCCACATCTGTGCTCTCATTAACCAACCCGCACTGACCAGCGCAGTGAAGTATGGTCATATAACCCGCACAACTCGCACGGTGTGGGGAGAGGCCCTCATCCAACAGTAGATCAGCAAAAAAGGCTGCTGTTGTCTTGTTTTTGTTCAATGCCTTACCTGGCAATGGCCTCGTTAGCAACCATAATTTGAACAACTTGAGTGTAAGAATGTACAACGAATGAAACCATTTGAGCAGTGTAGTTTATTTGTTTCTCTCCTTGTGAATGTCTCCGCGACACCAGGTTTTGGATGAGGCCGAGAAAAGCTGTGTCAAGGAGGACGAGTGCGTATTCTGTATAATTGTGGCTGGGATAAAATACAAGGAGGGTGCTGTGATACCATCGATGTCAGACAAGTGTCACACATGGTAAGATAACCCGATAAATGAAGATAAACATTTGTGTAGAGCTGCCGAATGTATTTCAAGATGTAATTGGTTGTAAATAAGACACTAATTAAATGAACAACTTTGCAGATGGTAACATCTCCTAGTATGCATGTGCATAGTCTTCACGACTTATCATTTACCCAATGTCAATGCACATGCCTATCTATTTTTGTCAAATAATTAGAATTGTTCTGTAGCTCATTAATTAAATACTTTTTGTGCTGTTTCATTTTAGTTAAAATTACAAACTTTTACAGAATAGGTATATAATACAACATAAGAGTATTTGTACATGACTGTATGGGCACTGTTTATATAAGCTATTGCCCAGTAAACATGCAATGTTTTATTCACTTAATCTTTTATTATGATTTTTCTATCTATGTGACTTTACCGAAAGAACCAAAGAATACGATAAAAATTTACACTTTGTGCCCAAATAGTAAATACTATATGATGATAAATAAATAGCCAACAAGATGAAATTTAAAAGGTTTAAACCGTGTATAGAAAGAGTTTAAGTCATTTAAAAATGTAGCATGCAAATTAAAAGTCTTAGGATTATCACACTTCCCATTTGGCTTGTGTATATGCTCAAAAAAATGCACATCCTTTCACAATGTAATTTCAGCACAGCATTACCCAATCACATTGTTGTGAAGCATATTTTTAAAACCATACTACGCAACATTCAAGAGTAGGTCATTGTGCATACATACTATGACTCTTGATAATACAACTTCTAATAGTTTAAGTGTGGCATATAACCCAGTGGTATCGCTACTTGAAGGTGTGCAACTGGTTTAAAGCTTTCGTGACTGCAGGGATTCATCTTCTTGGTTCTTTCGGTAAAGTCACGTAGAAGGGAAGTAATAAAATAATAAAAATAAAACATAATAAAATAATTCTCGCGACGTTTCGGCCGTCCTCAGGTGAGGACGGCTGCTTGCGTTGTGGCCGAAACGTCGTGAGAATTATTTTATTATGTTTTATTTTTATTATTTTATTACTTCCCTTCTACGTGACTTTACCGAAAGAACCAAGAAGGTGTGCAACTGCTCCAGGACCCATGGGCTGGAGAGGCCCAGGCATCATGCTACAAAGAGGGGAGAAATTGGGCAGGGGGCCCTGTTTAATTCCTTGCACCAGGGCCCATGCGAACCAGGCTACTATGTCACTGCAACTAAATAAGAAAAGTAATATGAGCTAATTGTGATGGTTTGTTTTTATCAATGTTACAGACAAGACTCTTGTTGCTATCAATTTAGGTCTGATATTATATACAGTAATTCATAAGACACTTACAATATGACCATACATGTTGTACTCTGTGTTTCAGTTACTGCTCCAAAGGACGCATCCACTGTTTAGGCCAGCCTTGTAAACCCACTACTATTGGTCCGACAGGGGAATTTAGTACTAAGTCACAAAGTACATATTCAGAATCAACCACCACAGGATATGAAGAAACTCCAACAACACCTGAAGAAATAACAACCACAGTATATGAGAGTACAACCACTCCAGAAACGCCAACTCCAGAAACACCAACTCCCGAAACACCAACTCCAGAAACACCAACTCCAGAAACACCAACTCCAGAAACACCAACTCCAGAAATCACCACTTCGGAAACCACCACCACCACTACAGAAACAACTACTCCAGAAATTACCACCACCACTCCAGAATCCCCCACTCCAGAAACACCAACTCCAGAAATCACCACTCTGGAAACTACCACCACCACTACAACAGAATCCACCACTCCAGAAACCCCCACTGTCAAAACCACCACCACTCCGGTAATCACCACTTTACAGACTCCTGAAAGTACTACGCCACCCAGAGAGGCAAGTATTTGATTGCAGAATCTAACATGTTTACGTTGAACTGAAGTTAAAATAAATATTTGTGCTTGTTCGAGACATCGATGATCATTTAAAATTGTTAATGGGCATTGTGAAAGTAGCTGAAAATAAAAAATAATTTGGTTTCTGTTAAATATGTAACAGGCGATTGTTTTGTACATCCTTCATCTCATTTGGACTTGGCCGATCATGTTAAATGGGGACGAAGCTGCATATTTTTCATGATGCCGAATTATAAGTAATTAACATTATGATCCTTGAAAATACAGTAGTTAACGTTTTATATATTTGAGTTTTGAAAAACACAGCTTTAACTTAATTATATGAATAGTCCATAAAGTATTCAGACGTATACCTTACATACTGAAAGTGTAAATACAAGTACGTATACATGTGCCATCCACTCCATGCCACCTAAAGCAATTCTTTTGATCACCAACGTAGACTTGGAATTATAACATGAGCGTTAAAAACAGATGAAAGAAGAAGGCTGACAATAGGAATCTGTATTTTTTTTATTGTCTGTTCACTTACATATGCGAGGTTTTTATGTCGGTGTTGATTATTTGGCATTCAGTTATAGCAGATTTTCTAACCAAACATTTGTCTTCCTGTACGTGTATCAGGTGTGTGCAGGTGGATACTGGACAGAGTGGATGAATAGTGGTTCACCATCAATTGGCAATGGTGGTGATTTTGAATCCCACACCGCATTACATCTAAAATACTCTTATTGTGACGAATCTGCTGTGTCTGGTGTTGAGTGCCGTGTAAGTGGTTTGAATGTACAGTGGTATGCTACCCATCAAGTTGGTGTGGTTTGCAGTAACAGCGGTCTTTCATGCCACAACGACGAGCAAATTAATTACCCACTCTGCTTTGACTATGAAGTACGATTTTGCTGTCGGTCGGTAATTACCGAGCAGTCAACAACTATTGCTACAACTTCTCCACCAACGACCCCACCACCAAGTACAACCCCAAAGTTGTTGCCCCCAGGGTGTACCAAGCATGGCTGGTCAGATTGGATGGATTCAGACTCACCCTTTACGGACAAGGAAGGTGACCTTGAGAGCTTCACAAACCTACGTCGATTTTACGTCTTCTGCGAATCACCTGTGACAATTCAGTGCCGCGTAAAGGACACCCCCCTGGCGTACGACGAAGCTGGACAATATGGTGTGACGTGTGATTTAATGTACGGTCTACATTGCTATAACAGACTGCAACCAGAACTTCAGTGCCTCAACTATGAAGTCAGAGTTTACTGTCACTGCCAGATCAGTAAGTACATACAATCACGTGGCCATGTTTGTTGCTTATCTTGAATTATCTTTCCAATTGATTTGAGTATTGGGATCCTTTTTTTTACTTTTGATTTCATAAGATGCCATGTCAATTGTCTTGAAATAGACTAAGTCTTCTATGTTTATGCACGCTTAATTCCATATTGAAAACTAATTGATTTAAAACAGATTTTTTTTTGTGTTTAGTTTGTTGTCCTTCCCCCGCACCTCCGATTATCAAGGTTGGCTGCGTACGATCCAAAATAAGTTCAACATGCATGTTTAAATAGGATAAAGTAGTATCAAGTGTTGTGCTTCATTGCACAAAACAGTTCATAGGGTTGTAATCGTTATGGCTTCCTTGCATGTATAGACCAACTTATAATAGTGCATAATTTCACTATTACACGTACAATGATGCATCGATTAAAATAGATTATTGCACTCAAGATGCACCAAAGTGAGTGTGTGACTGACAAAAGGACTGCAAAATAGAATTACTATAACTACATAAGTAATGGAACAGTTAATATTGACTGTGTGTGATCGTATAATCCCACTTGACAATATTTTATGTCTTTTCTAGCTCCCACACCATTTAAAACTGGGACAACGACGAAAGCACCAATAAGTAAGTTTACTTTGTACACTTTTGAAAAATAAAATTGTTATTTTTAGTTTGGTTACATATCTGAATTAATGTTTTATTCTTTTATTTTTCCAGCGGAAACCCATAAAAGCACTCATAAATCAACTCAAAAAAGTACTACATCACCTTGGGCTACACATCTTGATCTTACATACTCACTACCCGAATTTACACTGCCTCGTAAGTAATCTTCGATTCAAACCATATCGTTATTTGTAAATGAATGTTTATTTAGGCTCCCTCCGTATTTTAACAGTAATGTGCACAAGACAAGGCATTGTGAGTGGGAGGTCAAAATACTTGTTTTATTAGTGTGATGGGTTTTTGGTGGACCATACAATTCACCACTTTGGAAGAAAAGAAAGGTAATTGCTTTTAAAAGACAAGTATTTAAGCTCTGATTAATTGGTCAGCTGACACCTACAAAGAAAATGGAACACAAGCTTATTTTCACCTCAGAATATAAAGGTGCACGCACAATACTTTGGATCTCATGACAGGGTGGGGTAAACAAATTCGAATTTGGAAAATAGACCATCACAGAAAAGCTGTGTGGATGTAATAAAGTAAGGTTTGCCATGCGTGGGGCAAGTAATCGGGTAAAGGCTACTGACAGAAATCGAAATAGCACCTCGGGTTGGAAATCAAGGGGAAGACCTGAAGCCAAATGATGGGATACTGTAGAGGCAGAACTTGGAAGTTGTGGGATGGCGCAAAGGAGAGGGAGCAACACTGGCATTGGCTGTTGATCTCCTAATGATAATTTGTTTGGAAACAGTTGTGGAGATACTGCAAAGGAACCCACTTCTTTCGGCATTATGCAGATGTGCCAGAGTAAATATCTACACAACATATACTATTCCCCACCTCTAAAGTAATAAGGCAAGCATGGTACACCTTCTGTAATGTTACACCTTATATCATAAATATTCCTCCAGCGAATTTTACAATTGTGCCTACAGTATATAGGACTATTTGTGAAGAGGTATGAGGTGAATAATGAAGAGATTGTTTTAGAAATTGCAGATACCGTATTACCCTAAAAACCCAAACTATTTTCCTGCAACAAAATACAGAAGTTTAATTTATTTATAATTAGCATTTTCATGTTCTGTGTTTTTCAGCTGAAGAGACAACATTCAGCACTGCACACACTACAAAATCATCCAGCACTCATTCTACCACCAAGAAATTCTCTTCAGAAATCACAACGAAAATCCATACGAGTGAGCACTATGGATAACTCTACCAAATTGTTCAAGTGTTATAACAGTGGTTCTCAAAGTGTGGTCCCCAGACAACCGGTGGTCCTTGACGGTCCTCCAGGTGGTTCTGTGATGCAAACGGAGGTTGATCTGGACAATAATGACGTCGTTTATACCTTATGTTTTGGACATTAATTGACATTTTACTTATATTTAATTAAAAAATTAAGTTAGGTAAACTAGCCTGATTAACTAACCCTAACCCGAAGATCTAAATGAAATGCCCCACCCTACCCCCCTAAAAAAATCGCTACAGCTGCGTTACCAAAAAAACTTTTTATGTTCCGGTAATATTAATCATTTAGTATGAGTGAAATTTAGATAGAGAAGTGAATGCTTTGTGTCACCAGGGATGATGGGCTGGCTGGCTGGAGTGGTCCGCGGAAATGTTTGCATCGGCTGAGTGGTCCGCGAGCCAAAAAAGTTTGAAAAACAACTGCGTTATAACAACTATTTTCGAAAGTTAAATCTGGTACAAATGCTCTAATAAAGGAACTGCCATCTAAAAATCTAATAATGTGGGTTGCCACTGAAGCCTATGATTGTCCCTTGCATCCAGAACCAAAATAATGACAGGATATCTAAAGCACATGAATTAATCTATGCTTTATAGGCTATGCTGATAAAATGCACATTACTTTATTTATAAATGATGACAAAGCATTCGAGAGATTTTTTTAACTAAAGTACTTGAAATCAAGTGATTGAAACTTAATTGTAAGCTGTGAAATAAAATCAGAGGCGGTTCATTAATTTAACTTAAAAACTGCATTTATTTAGTTTCACGTTCAAAAATATAATCCTAATATCATGGTAAAATTTATTTCAGCTACTACCACAGCCTGAGGGTGCATTCTTTACCTTGTTTCACTGTAATCAATCTTTTGCTTAATGTATTGCGTGTTCTGAGAATAAAAGGCTAATGTCATGCACTTTCTTCAACTCAGCTTCCACATCTGTTTCTACAAGCACGTCAACTGAATCTACCACCCCAGAAGAGATTTACACAACTCCAAAGACTCAATCAACTACATGTAAGATATTTTTACTTCTCATAATCAGGTTTACCTCTGCTTACCTAATATTGAAACATTACAGATTATATTTATATTGTTCAAAAGTATTATCATGGAATGCCTAGAAGTGTACTGAAAGCTAAAAAAAAGTTCACGAATAGATGTTGCTACATTCATGTTTAATGCGCACAATACATAGAGCATTATATCTTAGTTTTGGTTTTCTCATTGCAGCTTGCTATTACATAATGCCCACCCCGAGGATTAAATATTCTTCTTCAAGTGATGAGCAAATATCACCAGATTCTGAAAGTTCTGAGCAGGATTCTCATGAATCATGGACTCCAGATAAAGATGACAAGTATGCCTTCCCCCCTCACAAACACCCACCTTAACATTTATATTTAATGATACTGTAAAATATCAATCATGAAAAATTGTTATTTACTTGTTTAAAAATTTTTCCCCAGATATCCTTACATAGAGTTCAATTTTACACCAGGAAATGAAGTCATTGGTGTACAAATCAAGGGAAAGATGGAAGAGTGGGTTACAAAATTCACAGTTTCCTATAGTGTTGATGGAACATTATGGATACCATTATACCAGGTAACATTTGTATAGACCCCATGATGTTACCACATGTTGCTTTTCACAATATTTTGCAACCATTCGTAACAATTTTAAATCACAATACAGTAGTGTTGGCTAACTTTTGTTCAACTGATTTTTTTCAGATATTTGAGGGAAACTCTGATGGAAATTCTGTGAAAATAATCAAGTTCAGTCCTCCTATTCCTAGCGATGCTGCTTATATCCGTATCTATCCAATTGACTGGAACAAGCACATCAAATTTTACGTCCAGCTTCTCCAAGACTGCCAGCCTGAGGGTAAATCCTTTACCTTGTTTCACTGTAATTATACTTTTGATTAATGTCTTGTGTGCTCTGGGTAATTGGTCATTGGCATAGGAATTTGCTTGCAGGCAAATATTGTCGAATGGTGAAATGCTCCCACTATTAAAGGTCATAATATTTATAGCACTGTCTCAAAACTACTTTAATGAAACAAATGATTTGGTGATGATGCATTTGCAGAGGTGCACAAGTACAATTAAAAACAAAAACTCAACACATTTGTCATAATATTTTTTATTTTAAGTCATTGTTATTGATGAATGAATTGAGATTTTTTTTTACTTTGAAAAAAGCATGTTTGAGAATGTGTGACTGAATATTTCATTTGAATAAAAAAACACAGTATTACATTCTTGTACTTCAAAAGGTACTATTTTATTTAGCATTCTATTCATTCACAAAGTCAAATTAATACATTACATTGCAATGAATGAATTACTTTTTGATTATGTAAATATTAAATTAAAAGGCACATTTGTTGCACTTTCTTCACATCAGCTTCCACATCCGTGCCTGTTTATACAAGCACACCACCCGAATCTACAACTACCCTGGCAGAAACCACAACTCCAAAAATTCAGACTACTACACGTAAGACATTTTGAGTACTCAACGTTTACACACTTACATAACATATGAACACTACGTGGTTTTACTCTGGTTCACAATGCATCACAAAATAGAGTGCAGTGAGATTGACTCTCCTTCAAAGAAAGTACATTTGCATCAAATACTTTGACACAATCATTGAGACGACTATTTAGATTGATGATATTAATAATAAAATGTTACATGTCCACAATACACAAGGGTATAAAATGTCAATTCAGTTTGTTTTAATTTTACACGCTTTTTTAACTAAAAATAAGAAATCTTGTAACTCAATTTTTACCCACTTCCCAATGTGCTATCGACTAAAAAATTGAAATACCTATGTCATACTGATGACAATATTATATTCTATCATAAAAAAAAATCCAAAACATATTTTTAAACATTTTACACGCTTTTATTTAACTTAGTCTGCGTGTTGTCGTATCCTCAAATCTTGTAACTCAATTTCAACCGTATTTCCAATGTCCTATCGACTGCAAACTTGGTATAGGTATGTCATACTGATGACAATACTATATTCTATCAATGAAAATTAATAATAAATATTTTGAAACTATATTTTTTACGGCTCTAATTATCCACACTCAACTCACGTAGCCTGTCAATCACCACGGTCCCTGACGTCACGGCAAGCCTCGGGGAGCCACGCCCAGGGGCGGGGCATGTGGAAGGAGGGGAGGGGCGACGAGGGGAGGGGGAGGGGCGATGAGGGGAGGGGCGATGAGGGGAGGGGCGATGAGGGGAGGGGCGATGAGGGGAGGGGCGATGTGAGAAGGGGGAGGGGCAGCTCGGACAGGACATTTCATTAACGCGCGTTTTTTTTTTAAGTATTTTAAAATATTTTTTTTCCATTGCAGCTTGCTATTACATAATGACCATCCCCACGGTAACATATTCCTCCTCAAGTGAAGAGCAAACATCACCAGAATCAGCAAGTTCTGAGCCAGACTCTCATGAATCCTGGACCCCGGACAAACATGACAAGTATGCCCTCAGAACCTCAAACACATCCACGTGAGGAGAAGTTTCACTTTATATTATAACGTGGTCGAATTGTCAACTTGAATAATGTTTTTTTTTACTGTTTTCCAGCAACCCCTTCATACAGTTCCAGTTTCCTTCAGGCACTGAGGTCATTGGAATCCAAGTCAAGGGAAAGAATGATGAGTGGGTTACCAAATTTACCGCGTCCTACAGTGTTGATGGAATCGTTTGGGTGCCGATAGACCAGGTAACACTTTTACAGGTCTCTAAAAGTAACGACATGTTCATTGTAAGAGTGTTGTAGATTACTCTTGTGTTTTTTCGGTAAAGTCATGTAGGTAAAAAATTAATAATAGAAAGAAAATTATATATAATAGAAATACAATTATAGGTTTTTTCGGTAAAGTCGCGTAGGAATAAATAAATAAATGAATAATAGAAATAAAATTATATATTTTGTGCATAGACATAATAATAGAAATAAAATTATATAATTTTATTTTTATTATTATCTGTTATTTATTATTTATTTTATAAAAAAAATGCAATTCCATTTATATTATTCATTATTATTTATATTTTTTACCTACGTGACTTTACCGAAAAACCTAAGAGTATGAATCCTTGCAGTCACGAAAGCTTCAAATCTAGAAGTTGTAGAATCATTAATAAGTTTCTAAAATCACAATGCAAGTATGCTGACAGGAGATTTTACACCATATTTACACTGATTGCTTGTTATTTTCAGATATTTGAAGGCAACTCCGATGGACACTCAGAGGCCATCATTTATTTCAAGCCATCTATCCCAAAAGATGCCGCTTATATCCGTCTCTATCCAATCGATTGGAACAATCACATCAGCGTACAGGCCTACCTTCTACAAGCCTGCCTGCGTGAGGATAAATGCTTTACCTCGTTTCACTCTTATCGTGCTTTTGCTTAATGTCTTGTGTGCTCTGCAAATTAAAAGGCTAATCTGACGCACTCTCTTCACATCAGCTATCACATCCGTGCCTCCAAGCACACCACCCGAATCTACGACTACCCCAAAAGAAACCACAACAAAAATTCACGTAACTCACAAGACTCATACTTCACGTAAGTGTACATTGTCGTGCTCTTTTCCCCTGTTTTTTTAGTCTTCCTCCAAATGTAAGTATTACATAATTACACTGCTCTTTCTAATATTTCTGGAAGTTATCGACTAGTTTTTGCACAACTCTAGTATTTTCTTTAGAATAGTTACACACCTCGACGTCTATTGAGCACTCAGTTCATCATCCACAGTTTTTACTTTGAAATATCAAGCTGTATTTGCTGAAAATTACGTTTCAAACTGGAGCCATGTGTAATTACTGCAGTTTTGGGAAGGTGCTGATTTTATCATCAATGATTACCACTTGTCAATAAAATTGTAATAACATAATTTTTCCATTTGTGAGATCATACATTGAAATCCATGATGCGATGACTCAATGAAACACTTATAAAATGCTAGTAACATTAAAACAAAGTTATTATCTGGGCTATATTACAACAATAATGATTATATTGTACTATATGTATCTAGTAGAGCATCAATGAGTCACACAACATTGTTTTAGGTGAGGACTTGATACGTATATTTGGTCATTTGATAGTAGCATATGGGAGGAAACTGGAGATCTGGAGAAACACGTGCATTTAACCCTCAAAACTCCATAGAGATTCAAAGTTCCATTGCAGAATTGTCATCTCTTGGCCACCCTGTAACACAAGCCCGCAACACCTTCTGATCTACATTAGTCACCATCCCAGTACTAAGCAGACTCACCACTGCTTAGCTTGGATGAAATGACAAGATCAGATGCATTCATGGTAATTGGTCATTGGCATAGGCATTTGCCTGCAGGTCTACATTGTCGAATGGAGAAATATTCCCACCATTAAAGGTCATAATATTTATAGCACTGTCTCAAAACTACTTTTATGAAACAAATGATTTGGTGATGATGCATTTGCAGAGGTGCACAAGTACAATTAAAAACAAAAACTCAACACATTTCTCATAAAAACAATATTTTAAGGCATTGTTATTGATGAATGAATTGTGATTTTTTTTATTTTTACTTTGAAGAAAGCATGTTTGAGAATGTGTGACTGAATATTTCATTTGAATAAAAAACACAGTATTACATTCTTGTACTTCATAAAGTACTATTTTAAATTTAGCATTCTATTCATTCACAAAGTAAAATTAGTACATTACATTTCAATTAAGGAATTACTTTTTGATTATGTAAATAATAAATTAAAAGGCTAATCTCATGCACTTTCTTCACATCAGCTTCCACATCCGTATCTGTTTCTACAAGCACACCACCCGAATCTACGACTACCCCGGCAGAAACCACAACTCCAAAGACTCAGACTACTACACGTAAGACTGTTGTACACATTTTGAGTACCTGAAGTTTACGCACTTTCATAAAATGTTAACGCGACATGGTTTTACTCTGGTTCACAATATATCATACAATAGAGTACAGTGAGATTGACCCTCCTTCAAATAAAGTATATTTATATCAAATACTTTGCCACAATCATTGAGACTACGACTTAAATGTATAATATTACTAATAAAATGTAACATGTTCACAATATACGAGGGTATGAAATGTCAATTCAGTTTATTTTTCTCATTGCAGCTTGCTATTACATAATGACCATCCCCACGGTAACATATTCCTCCTCAAGTGAAGAGCAAACATCACCAGAATCAGCAAGTTCTGAGCCAGACTCTCATGAATCCTGGACCCCGGACAAACATGACAAGTATGCCCTCAGAACCTCAAACACATCCACGTGAGGAGAAGTTTCACTTTATATTATAACGTGGTCGAATTGTCAACTTGAATAATGTTTTTTTTTACTGTTTTCCAGCAACCCCTTCATACAGTTTCAGTTTCCTTCAGGCACTGAGGTCATTGGAATCCAAGTCAAGGGAAAGAATGATGAGTGGGTTACCAAATTTACCGCGTCCTACAGTGTTGATGGAATCGTTTGGGTGCCGATAGACCAGGTAACACTTTTACAGGTCTCTAAAAGTAACGACATGTTCATTGTAAGAGTGTTGTAGATTACTCTTGTGTTTTTTCGGTAAAGTCATGTAGGTAAAAAATTAATAATAGAAAGAAAATTATATATAATAGAAATACAATTATAGGTTTTTTCGGTAAAGTCGCGTAGGAATAAATAAATAAATGAATAATAGAAATAAAATTATATATTTTGTGCATAGACATAATAATAGAAATAAAATTATATAATTTTATTTTTATTATTATCTGTTATTTATTATTTATTTTATAAAAAAAATGCAATTCCATTTATATTATTCATTATTATTTATATTTTTTACCTACGTGACTTTACCGAAAAACCTAAGAGTATGAATCCTTGCAGTCACGAAAGCTTCAAATCTAGAAGTTGTAGAATCATTAATAAGTTTCTAAAATCACAATGCAAGTATGCTGACAGGAGATTTTACACCATATTTACACTGATTGCTTGTTATTTTCAGATATTTGAAGGCAACTCCGATGGACACTCAGAGGCCATCATTTATTTCAAGCCATCTATCCCAAAAGATGCCGCTTATATCCGTCTCTATCCAATCGATTGGAACAATCACATCAGCGTACAGGCCTACCTTCTACAAGCCTGCCTGCGTGAGGATAAATGCTTTACCTCGTTTCACTCTTATCGTGCTTTTGCTTAATGTCTTGTGTGCTCTGCAAATTAAAAGGCTAATCTGACGCACTCTCTTCACATCAGCTATCACATCCGTGCCTCCAAGCACACCACCCGAATCTACGACTACCCCAAAAGAAACCACAACAAAAATTCACGTAACTCACAAGACTCATACTTCACGTAAGTGTACATTGTCGTGCTCTTTTCCCCTGTTTTTTTAGTCTTCCTCCAAATGTAAGTATTACATAATTACACTGCTCTTTCTAATATTTCTGGAAGTTATCGACTAGTTTTTGCACAACTCTAGTATTTTCTTTAGAATAGTTACACACCTCGACGTCTATTGAGCACTCAGTTCATCATCCACAGTTTTTACTTTGAAATATCAAGCTGTATTTGCTGAAAATTACGTTTCAAACTGGAGCCATGTGTAATTACTGCAGTTTTGGGAAGGTGCTGATTTTATCATCAATGATTACCACTTGTCAATAAAATTGTAATAACATAATTTTTCCATTTGTGAGATCATACATTGAAATCCATGATGCGATGACTCAATGAAACACTTATAAAATGCTAGTAACATTAAAACAAAGTTATTATCTGGGCTATATTACAACAATAATGATTATATTGTACTATATGTATCTAGTAGAGCATCAATGAGTCACACAACATTGTTTTAGGTGAGGACTTGATACGTATATTTGGTCATTTGATAGTAGCATATGGGAGGAAACTGGAGATCTGGAGAAACACGTGCATTTAACCCTCAAAACTCCATAGAGATTCAAAGTTCCATTGCAGAATTGTCATCTCTTGGCCACCCTGTAACACAAGCCCGCAACACCTTCTGATCTACATTAGTCACCATCCCAGTACTAAGCAGACTCACCACTGCTTAGCTTGGATGAAATGACAAGATCAGATGCATTCATGGTAATTGGTCATTGGCATAGGCATTTGCCTGCAGGTCTACATTGTCGAATGGAGAAATATTCCCACCATTAAAGGTCATAATATTTATAGCACTGTCTCAAAACTACTTTTATGAAACAAATGATTTGGTGATGATGCATTTGCAGAGGTGCACAAGTACAATTAAAAACAAAAACTCAACACATTTCTCATAAAAACAATATTTTAAGGCATTGTTATTGATGAATGAATTGTGATTTTTTTTATTTTTACTTTGAAGAAAGCATGTTTGAGAATGTGTGACTGAATATTTCATTTGAATAAAAAACACAGTATTACATTCTTGTACTTCATAAAGTACTATTTTAAATTTAGCATTCTATTCATTCACAAAGTAAAATTAGTACATTACATTTCAATTAAGGAATTACTTTTTGATTATGTAAATAATAAATTAAAAGGCTAATCTCATGCACTTTCTTCACATCAGCTTCCACATCCGTATCTGTTTCTACAAGCACACCACCCGAATCTACGACTACCCCGGCAGAAACCACAACTCCAAAGACTCAGACTACTACACGTAAGACTGTTGTACCCATTTTGAGTACCTGAAGTTTACGCACTTTCATAAAATGTTAACGCGACATGGTTTTACTCTGGTTCACAATATATCATACAATAGAGTACAGTGAGATTGACCCTCCTTCAAATAAAGTATATTTATATCAAATACTTTGCCACAATCATTGAGACTACGACTTAAATGTATAATATTACTAATAAAATGTAACATGTTCACAATATACGAGGGTATGAAATGTCAATTCAGTTTATTTTTCTCATTGCAGCTTGCTATTACATAATGACCATCCCCACGGTAACATATTCCTCCTCAAGTGATGAGCAAATATCACCAGAATCAGCAAGTTCTGAGCCAGACTCTCATGAATCCTGGACCCCGGACAAAGATGACAAGTATGCCTTCAGAACCTCAAACACATCCACATGAGGAAACGTTTCACTTTATATTATAAGGTGGTCGAATTGCAAACTTTAATAATGTTTTTTTTTTACTGTTTTCCAGCAACCCCTACATACAGTTTCAGTTTCCTTCAGACACGGAGGTCATTGGTTTCCAAATCAAGGGAAAGAATGATGAGTGGGTTACCAAATTTACAGCGTCCTACAGTGTTGATGGAATCATTTGGGTGCCGATAGACCAGGTAACACTTTTACAGGTCTCTAAAAGTAACGACATGTTCATTGTAAGAGTGTTGTAAATTCATATATTTTTACAATCACAATGCAAGTATGATGACAGGAGATTTTAAACCATATTTGCACTGACTGTTATTTTCAGATATTTGAAGGCAACTCCAATGGACACTCAGAGATCATCATTTATTTCAAGCCATCTATCCCAATTGATGCTGCTTTTATCCGTCTCTATCCAATCGACTGGCACAATCACATCAGCGTGCAGGCCTACCTTGTACAAGCCTGCCTGCGTGAGGATAAATGCTTTACCTCGTTTCACTCTTATCGTGCTTTTGCTTAATGTCTTGTGTGCTCTGCAAATAAAAAGGCTAATCTGTCGCACTCTCTTCACATCAGCTTCCACATCCGTGCCTCCAAGCACACCACCCAAATCTACGACTGCCCCAAAAGAAACCACAACAAAAATTCACGTAACTCACAAGACTCATACTCCACGTAAGTGTACATTATTGTGCTCTTTTCCAGTTTGTTTTATTGTTTATCTCAACTGAATGAGTTGATGAATGTGTTGAGTTTTACCTTGTAAAATTTTACATACAATTCCTTCATTCTCAAAGGAAAATTAGTCTATTACATGTTAATTAAATGCTGAAATAAATTTGCTATGCAGCATGTCAATCGGGATATGTCATACACAGTTTTTCTCAAAATATATTTCAATGCTGCCCAATGTGGGTCAAAATCTTTTCCGGGATAAACAATATTTTACACTTATTAAATAATGGAAATACCAACAACGTTTCCAGATATATTTAATACTCTAAGTTTGGGTTAACCTCCAGCTTACAACAGAGTACATTTCAAACAATAATGCTAATAAGATACATTTCCAACATAACTGACAACATTTATACATATTACGTTTGCTAAACTCGTTTCATAACAATAAAAATGGCTATTTATAAAATTGTTCATTCAATCTCAATTCCTAATTAGTAAATAAACATCAGTAATTTAGTTAAAATACTCAATTTGTTGTGCTCTTCAACATATTTTGAATATACATATTTTCTGCCTCATTGTTATAAATGTTATGTTTTCAATATATGCATTATGTAATTTAAATAGGGGAAAATTCTAGCATGGTAATTTCGCACTGTGCTATGAACTCTACCATTTGAGCTTGGCCATTGCAATCCCCTTCATCAACTTATACTGATCAGTATGGTTAAGTATGGTCAAACAACAACCAAAGCTGGTAGTCTGGGGGAGGCCTTCATTTATCTGTGAATTGACGAATGGCAGTAAATTATCATTACTTGATTATCTAAATAAAAGTATTGTGTTTTCAGCCTTTGATTGTATTCTTAATACTTAATTTTGTTGACAGCATCTACATCTACGGCAGTTTCTACAAGTTCCCCACGAGTGCCCACCACACCACCTCGATCTACTACAAAAAGTTATCAGATTACAACACGTGAGACAGTTTCTTTATTTTAAATTTGTATTCGTGTGTATTTTCTCACTATTAAAACAAATGTAACCACTATCAGCAGTCACATCAGAAGGCACATGCATACACGAGTAATAGCATGTGGGCGGGGGTGCCCTCTGGGTAGGCTTTCCTCGTTGAACAGGAGCAAGATAAGGTGCACCAGCTTCATTTTATAACCCAGGCATGGGATGGGGACTGGGGGTAAAGGGGACCAAAAAGAGGTAAAAAAAGAGAGTAACTGGAGGACCACATCCGCCCATTTCCCCTCCAGGATCAATCATCTTATAGGGTAGGCTGAGGATAGAGTAGGCCCTAGAGCCTACTCCCACCTCCACACCCTTCAACTATTTTGCATTTTAAATTTACCTTATAGTGCTATTCAGTGTCTGACGCTAGATGGGGTTATTGAGGAAGGGTGTCCAAACCGTCCCAAATTCCCGTTCCTTCCCTTTCAATTTGTAGCTGAGGTGCTCCATTACAGCCAGACCATGTAATAATCGGCTCCAGTGTTTCCATGAGGGAGGTTCATGATCTTTCCATTTGACTAAGATAGCTTTTCTCGCGACAACATTGAAAGTTTGCAGTAGGGTGTATTGTGGCTTGGTCACTCCCAATGGTTTCAGGCCCCAAGGGAAGGAGTCCAATGCGGGCATAATGTTTGCGCCACATATTCCATTGAAATATTTAGCAATGTCCTGGTGGAATTTAGCGATGTCCGGGCACAGCCAAAAGGCATGCAGGTAAGTCTGTATAGTTTCCCGTGGACACCTAGAGCAGTCTGGAGAGGTCGTCGAAAACCTCGCCCTCCTGTCATTCGTTTGATAAGTTCCGTGTATTCATTTAAATGGAGTGACCTTCAAAGGAAGTGATCTGGGGCCAGCAGCCAGGGAACTCCAGATTTGCGCCCAGTTTCGTGGCGGGATAGTATTTCCTGGTTTTTCATTCTGGGTGAAGGAGTTGATATGCCTCCGCTAATTTATGTTTTTCATTTCCTACCATTAGCCAAGTAACTATGGAGTGGGGGTTGCTGGTAAAATCTTTATATGGAGCCTTGGTGATAGCATCCCAGCTCTGTAGGATTTTCTCAATAATCTTTACTAATAAACTAACCTACAACAACTGGCAGTTGTGATCCTCCATTTTCTTACATGATGGGAACATTTTAATTTAGATTTTTTTTCTTTTCAATGCAGCATGTTCATATGCAATGGAGAACCCGAAAATTGAATTTTCATCCAGAAGTGAAGATGAAGGATCAGGAAGTTCTGAAGAATATTATGATGCACCATGGACTCCAGACAAGAATGATCAGTATGCATTACACGAGTTAAAACTTGAATATATTGCTGTTATGTTTTTTTAAATGTCATTGTGTTTTTTCATGTAATAGATTTTTTTGTATGTATAACATTGAATATGTTTTATTGTTCGGTACTTTGAGTGTGGGAAAAGCGCTGAATAAATAAAATACATTATTATATTTAATCAAAAGTACATGCACATATCCATAATAAATGTTTTTTTGGGCTGGTTGGAGTAAATATAAGTGTCATTAAATCCACCACCACCCGACACAGCCTATTAGTAAGGTTTGGCATGCAACCAAAATATTCCAATTAGTTACTAGTTTAGCACACCGGTGTGTTGGAGAATAAACCCACAACATTTACAATTCGAGTATGACGCTATGCCAGTAATTACAACCAGTCTCATCAGGCAACAGTCAGAATTGTGGAAAATCCTATTTCGGACTTATTTGTAATACACATATAGCTTATTAAGAAATGTCTGTCTTCACATAAAAATAGATTATTTCTTCCAGTCCATTGGACTGTTGGCCTTCTGCTCATGTTTTACAGCAGCATTTATTTAAGCAGGCAAACATTGAGCTAGTTGTGACCTTCTGGCTCGAGTCAGCAGAGTGGAACCTCTAAAACAATTGCTGATGTGTTATAAAATGTCAATGGCATGAACCATCTATCTAAACCATGGGACCATCAGTCCAAAACCTAAATATTGCATAAAAAACACATTACTTAATGTCATGTAGTATTAAGGTTATCATATAAATGAACAGGTAAGTGTTTCTGTCCTGATAAAATATATATTTGTCTTTGGTTGATGGGTCCCCTTGGAACATTTTTCATAAATTATACTTAAACAAATACAACTGGTTCAATCTCCTGGTGTCAGTTGCAACAATGCGGCAATGTTATTGAATCCCCTCACTTCAGTCTCCTCAACAGTATAAATGACTTTGTGTGTGGTGGTGTAAAAGTTCGGGTACTCCCACCTCGAATGTATAGCTAGCCTGGAAGAGTGGATAAATATTCCCTCTAGAGGAGTGCTGCTCAACCTTTTTTGGGCTACTGTGCCCCTTGTTACATTTTGTTTCAACCGAGTACCCCCTTTGCCGAACTAAACATGGTTCTGAGAAATGAACATAAATATAGTAACTGCAAGCGAATATGTTATGTTATGCATAACATACTTTGTTCAGGCTCGCTGGTTACTCTTTGAAACCACATTGTTTCTGATCAATGAGTTCAGAAAGGTTTTTTTTTACATCATTCTAGGTTACCATATTAATTTAAATTGTATCATAGTTATTTTAACGACACATTTATATATTTACACGATCTAACCCCCCCAAAAAACCTCTGTTATGGATGATATTGGTCACGAAAGCCTACATGTTAAACTGGACATTGCCGTGTACCCCCAGGGGTCTGCGTGCCCCCCCCCCCCCCCATTGAAAATCACTGCTCTAAAGGAGATCTCTGAAGATCTCACTCGTGGATGTCCTTTCGAGAACTGTGGCATAAGCAAGAAAATACAGGGCTACCTTTACCTTTAATCTTTAGAGATGGAATTGTGTCTGTTCATTTAGTTATAATAGTCGTGATGCTCCGACGACACACGATACGTTTTTATATGAGTATATACACACACAAGTATACTTTTTGTATCTTTGAACATTTTTTTAAAATGCATAAAAATGTTATATGGATTTTTACAGATCTCCTTACATACAATTTGAAATACCACCTGGAAGTGAAGTCGTTGGCATAAAAACACAGGGTCACCCAGAAGATGAAGAATGGGTTACAAAATACATTATTTCCTATAGCCATGATGGAGTTACATGGGTGACTCTGGACAAGGTAATTTCCTAATTTCTAGTATTATGCTCATATCATTCAAATAATCTGTAATATATTCAGTAATAAAATGATATAACAAACAATTTAGCCATATCTATTTGACACTTATATTGTATTTGGATAAAGGAATGACACAATGGTTCGTGCACTGTGCTATGAACCTGACAAGTTCGATTCCCGGATAAAATCAGTGGCAACTGATATTTGAACGTGTCTTAGGCCACCCCCTTCACCAGCCCGTACTGGCCAGCATCGTGATGTATGATGAAACAATCCACGTGACCTACAGAGCATGGGGGATTATTATCACAGTGGTGGATTTTGAAAGGAGTGTGACACATTATTATGATGAATTAATCACTGTATTCTGTTTATGTTTGCAGGTGTTTGAAGGCAATCATAACAATATTGCAGTGCATATTAACTACCTGGTTCCTTCAATTTCAAATTCCAAATATATCCGCATTATTCCAGTAGAATGGAAAAATGAAATTAGCTTGATTGCAGAAGTGCTTCTTGGGTGTACGGATCAAGGTAACATATTTTTTATATACAAAAATTTAATAAACATCATTATTTAAAAATGTACATATATATAAGCAAATATTACCATTTGCGTGCGATTGTAAAGAGTTCTGCAAGCAAACTATCACTGACGACATATTAGAACACTCAATACCTATTTAAACTTACAAAATTCAAACACGTAGAGTCCAGAGTAACAGTATATCCATTTCCTGAATAGTTACTTGAATGGACGGGTGGGCCAGTGATTCCTGAACTGGGCTATGAACTTTTTGATTTAAAGCTTTCGTGACTGCAGGGATTCATATTCTTGGTTCTTTCGGTAAAGGCACGTAGAAGGGAAATAATAAAATAATAAGAATATTAAACAATAAAAATTATCACGACGTTTCGACTGCAACACAAGCAATCATCATCAGGTGTGAAATCCACAGCAAGAAAAAAATGATTGCTTGTGTTGCAATCGAAACGTCGTGAGAATTTTTATTGTTTTATATTTTATTATTTCCCTTCTACGTGACTTTACCGAAATAACCAATACTATGGGCTATAAACCTTGCAATCTGAGTTCAATTCCTGGACACGGCTAACATTAGTGGGAAGTAATATCTGAACCCATCCTAGGCCTCCCTCCACAATCACGAATCGGCTCTAACAACCCTCAGGACCAACACAGATTGGGAGGCTTTCATCCAGCAGTGGATTGTCAAAGGGCTCTACTTTACATTATAATTTTGTTAATGGTTCGCATCTTACAGCTACAATCCGTAGCTGTGTCTACGTTTCCTCCATCAGCGTCAAAACACACGACCAAAATAAACTTCTCAAATCGAAGAAATCACAACTTAAAGCTTGAAAACAAGCACACATAAGACTGCAGATATCACTTACATTTTCTGGCGATAATGCGTTTCATAAATATATAACATGTAATTCTAAATTTCATAAATTGAATTATTTCATACAAATCCTTTTCACATATGCCTTGGTATAATTTTTTTCCAATAACCTCGTATTTTACGTTACTAATAATATACTGTAAACAAAACAAAAAACATAAGTTATGTAATTTAAGTTTAATATTATTTTCATGATTACCCTTTTACTCCTCCAGTCTCGCAAACACCAGAAGAATACTCAACTTACACCAGACACTGAAAACAACACAAATTGTTAATTTATATATTTGTAAACCTCATCATTGTCCATGCAGCATAATCACATATCAAATAAAAACACTAATTTGGTAAGCTTAGGCAATATTCATACTTGTCCACCCGTTATCAGTTCCTACCTTATTACAGACCAATTCAGACCATATTGGTCACACCGTGCCCTTATAAATCTCAAAGTTCATCCTACAAAGTTACATCATAAGGGAGAAACACAAACAAAGACAAAACATTGCCCGTATTGAAACGACTGTACGCCGTATAGACCTGAAAACTAAATTTCGCTGTATAAGAGTATGAGTAAACGGTATGGTTGACAGCTATGAATATTTGTTATGAGAATAGTGTTTTCCCCTTTTTTCTGGCAACAAAACTGAAACCTTTTTACAAAGGTTTTTTACAAAGGTTTTAGTTTGAGACGAGGCTCAAAAGAAAGCTGTCTCTGGTGTGGACCAATCAGTTTCAAGGACAATGCATATATTATCAGAGTATGTTTTTTGGTTGCACTCTGACCACAAGTATTGTGGATAATGCAGTCATAATTCCTTGTAAAAAGGTTTCGGTTTTGTTGCGAGAAAAAAGGGGAAAAACCTATTCTTATATTTTGCTACTGGCAAAGGAGGGCCCATGATGTAGATTCTCACCCCGAGCTCTCATTACTCTGATAGTGCATTGTCTTTGAGCTATACGCCTTTTGGCGTCCTCTGGTCTAACACCGTTTGAGACGAGGCTCAAAAGAAAGCTGTCTCTGGTGTGGACCAATCAGTTTCAAGGACAATGCATATGTTATCAGAGGATGTTTTTGTTTACATTCTGACCACAAGTATTGTGGTTAATGCAGACATTCCTTGTAAAAAGGTTTCAGTTTTCTTGCCAAAAAAAAGGGGAAAACCCTATTCTTATATTTTGGTACTGGCAAACGAGGTCCCATTTGTTGTTATAGCTAGCAAGATTCAAATGAAGTTAACAACTATTATATCCCATCTGATAAGTTATTTAGAAATGGTCTCAATCTATATATTTCAATTTTAAAAAGTGTACTTTACTATTTTCATTCATTCCTGCTGAAGATATTTCTGGGTATTAAAAAATTACTAATCTTGCATTCTTGTCCTTCTTACATTAGCTTCGACAACTGCACCGGTCTCGATAAGCAAACGAACAGGTTCTACGACTCCAGAAAAAAGCATGACAACAAAAGTTTACACTACTCCAGAAGGAACCACAAAAACAAAAATATACACCACAACAAAAGAACGTACAACGAAAGTTCACACGACTCCAAAAGCACCCACGACAACAAAGGTTTACACGACTACACGTAAGGCTTTTATACTTTTACCCAATCTCTGCATATTATGATAACTAATTGAGTGCAGTGGGATGTACTTAATGATATATATATAAATAAAACTCGAAAACTGTGCCACAATCATTGAAAGTCCTGTTATATGTTTAATATTATAGAAAATGTCATGTTATTCGGCATCCATGGGTAATGGGGGGGTGCCGGTAAATTAAATATTCTGGTTATCTCAGAGTTATAAAAAATGTGAGACTAATGGAATACTGATGTTTTGCAACAATTAGATGTTTTTTTCCTCACAGCGTTAATCCACAGAGCCTAAGAATGTGTTTAGTGCACCTATGAAATGTTGAAACAATGGAAAAAAGTGTTTATAAAGAACCATTCTTTTTTGTCACTGCAGCTTGTTCAACACCAATGAAAAATCCTGAGATTTCATATTCATCAGGAGATGTTCCTGAAACAGACAAACCATGGTCTCCAAGTAGTGATGACAAGTAAGATACAACGAAGAAAATCTCTTACACATACACCTGAACTCTATCATATTATATATTCATGCTATGCTGTAAGGTAGTACATAATATACCTTTAAAAACATTTATGTGCAGTAAAATCATGGTAATTTTCGTATTCTTGTCTGTGTTGTTCAGCTCCCCATTCATAGAAGTTAAAATACCTCCAGGAAGTACATTTGTCGGCGTAATAACCAAGGGTAATCCAGAGCAACCTCAGTGGGTTTCAAATTATGAAATTTCATACACCACCGATGGAATTCACTGGGTGGTAATTGACAAGGTAATATTTGCATATTACCCAACACATTATTTGAGCATATATTTCGTAATATCGTGAATTGAGTGATAATTGCCTTCATGAAATTTCTCATGGTTCTCTCCAACATGAACCACTTTCTCTTTTTTTGCATTAGATATTTGAAGGCAATCATGACAGCACCACGGAACAAACCAACTACGTGGTACCTTCAATCCCAGATCTTGTAGCCATACGCATCATACCGATAGAATGGATTGATGATGAAGTTAAGCATACAGATGAATCATATGAAAAAATAAGCATAATTGTAACAGTTCTGCTAGGTTGCAAAGTTCCGTGTAAGTATACACTGCTTATTTCATATTTCACTCACAAACCAATGTAGCAATTGAACGTGTTCCTTTATCCTTCATTGTTATAAAACAATAATTGGTAATATTATTTTCATTTGCACTTGCATATTTTCTAATTACATCCAACAAAACCAATTCATGAATACTCATACACTATTACCAATAATTACACTGCCATTAATAATATTGAGATCGTTATGAATACCGACAAAGTTTTCCTTATGAAATAGAATTGTCTGTAAATTACCTCTTTCTATGAAAATGGTTGAATTTATTGCCGTAATTATCAACAGTGTAAGGATAGTTTCTGCACCGTTTGTGTAACGTACTTTTTTTTCTCAACAGCAACAACAATACAAGTTTCAACAACTGAAACACCAACAACGCGGACTCCCACCCCTAAAGTGAAAACAACAACAAGCATTCAAACCACAACACGTAAGGCCATATAATTGCCTTCTTTATATTGGAAACTTTATGCTCTAAAATTGAAAACAACATAAGTCTTAAAGAGTTATCCTGAAATATTAACGTAAAAAAACTAACTTAACTACTTGTATTGATTTCTGCTTAAGATATTGCTCGGTATGAAAAAGGATTAACCAATCTTGCATTCTTCCACATATGTACAATGTACGATCATACTCTGTAATGCATGCCGCGTCATATACTTTTTACATGAAAACAAACATCCATGTCATAATTATTAAGAATCCTATTCAACGTCTCATATTATCAACAAAGGCTTTAAACGTGAATTTTGTCTGATTTTCATTGCAGCTTGCTATTACATAATGCCTATCCCGAAGATAACATACTCCTCCTCAAGTGATGAGCAAACATCGGCAAAATCAGCAAGTTCTGAGGCGGACTCTCATGAATCCTGGACCCCAAACAAACATGACAGGTGCGTCATATGCTCTTCGCAAATGCCCACATCAAGGATATGTTTAATTAAGACCATTACAAGAATCATCTGTACGTTTGCTGTCATTAATTCTTCCCTGTATTTTTTACAGCAACCCATATATACAATTCCAGTTCCCTCCAGGGAATTCAGTTATTGGTATACAAATCAAGGGAAAGGAAGAAAAGAACGAGTGGGTTACAAAATTCACAATTTCCTACAGTGTTGATGGAATTGTATGGATTCCGCTAAACAAGGTAATACTTTGACAGGTTTCAACGGGTCTTAACATGTTAATTGTGAGAGTTTTTAAGGAATAACATGTCATTTTACAATCACAATGCAAGTATGCTGACAGGATATTTTAAAGCATATTTGTAATGACTGCTTTTATTTTTCAGATATTTGATGGCAACTCTAAGGAACTCCAGGAAACCATAATTTTTTTCTTCCCATCTATCCCCTCCAATGCTGCTTATGTCCGTGTTTATCCTATTGAATATCATGGGCACATCAGCTTACTTGCTCAACTTCTACAAGGCTGTCAGCATGAGTGTAAATTACCTATTCCTTATTTTCTTTGTACTACTTTATTGTCAAATGTACTGCTTGGCATCAACAAGAAAATAACTCGCCTTGCATATTTTCCCTCATACCAATTAATGAATACACATACTCGATTACCAATAATTACACTGGCATTAATAATGTTGATGCTCTTATAAGGTCTTCCTTGCAAAGGAAAAATGTCTGTAAATTACCTCTTGGTTCAAAAAAAGTGCGGAATTCATTGCTACACTTATCAACCGCATGAGTATTTTCTGCATCGTACGCGTAACATCCATTTTTTTCCTTAACAGCAACAACAATAAAAGTTCATACAACAACTGAAACACCAACACCGCCCACTCCCACCCCTAAAGTGACAACAACAAGCATTCAAACCACAACACGTAAGGCCATATAATTTCCTTCTTTATATTGGAAACTTTCATTCGGTTTAATGCTCTAAAATTGAAAACAACATGAGTCTTAAAGAGTTATCCTGAAATATTCACGTAAAAAATTGACTTAACTACTTCTATTGATTTCTGCTTAAGATATTGCTCGGTATGAAAAATAATTAACCATTCTTGCATTCTTCCACTTATGTACAATGTATGATCATACTCTGTAATGCATGCCGCGTCATATACTTTTTACATGAAAACAAACATTCATGTCATAATTATTAAGAATCCTATTCAACGTCTCATATTGTCAACAAGGGCTTTAAACGTGAATTTAGTTTCATTTCCATTGCAGCTTGCTATTCCATAATGCCTATCCCGAAGATAACATACTCCTCCTCAAGTGATGAGCAAACATCGGCAAAATCATCAAGTTCTGAGGCGGACTCTCATGAATCCTGGACCCCAAACAAACATGACAGGTGCGCCTTATACTCTTGGCAAATGCCCACATCAAGGACATGTTTACTTAAGATCATTATAAGAATCATCTGTACGTTTGCTGACATTAATTCTTCTCTGTAATCTTTACAGCAACCCATACCTACAATTCCAGTTCCCTCCAGGGAATTCAGTTATTGGTATACTAATCAAGGGCAAGGAAGAAAAGAACGAGTGGGTTACAAAATTCACAATTTCCTACAGTGTTGATGGAATTGTATGGATTCCGTTAAACAAGGTAATACTTTGACAGGTTTCAACGGGTTTTAACATGTTCATTGTGAGAGTGTTGTGGAATCAAATATCATTTTTCAATCACAATGCAAGTATGCTGACAGGATATTTTAAAGCATATTTGTAATGACTGCTTTTAATTTTCAGATATTTGATGGCAACTCTAAGGAACACCAGGAAACCATCATCTTTTTCAGCCCATCTATCCCCTCCAATGCTGCTTATGTCCGTGTTTATCCTATTGAATATCATGAGCACATCAGCTTATTTGCTCAACTTCTACAAGGCTGTTACCCTGCGTGTAAATTACCTATTACTTATTTTCTTGTACTACTTTATTGTCAGATGTACTGCTTGGCATCAACAAGAAAATAACTCGCCTTGCATATTTTCCCTCATACCAATTAATGAATACACATACTCGATTGCCAACAATTACACTGGCATTAATAATGTTGACGCTCTTATAAGGTCTTCCTTACAAAGGAAAAATGTCTGTAAATTACCTCTTACTCGAAAAAAGTGCCGAATTTATTGTTATACTTATCAACCGCATGAGAATTTTCTGCATCATACGTGTAACATAAATGTTTTTTCTTAACAGCAACAACTGAAACACCAAAACCGCCCACTCCCACCTCTAAAGTGACAACAACAAGCATTCAAACCACAACACGTAAGGCCATATAATTGCCTTCTTTATATTGGAAACTTTAATTCGGTTTAATGCTCTAAAATTGAAAACAACATGAGTCTTAAATAGTTATCCTGACATATTCACGTAAAAAAACGTACTTAACTACTTCTATTGATTTCTGCTTAAGATATTGCTCGGTATGAAAAAGGACTAACCAATCTTGCATTCTTCCACTTATGTACAATGTATGATCATACTCTGTAATCCCTGCCGCGTCATATACTTTTTACATGAAAACAAACATTCATGTCATAATTATTAAGAATCCTATTCAACGTCTCATATTGTCAACAAGAGCTTTAAACGTGAATTTAGTTTCATTTCCATTGCAGCTTGCTATTCCATAATGCCTATCCCGAAGATAACATACTCCTCCTCAAGTGATGAGCAAACATCGGCAAAATCATCAAGTTCTGAGGCGGACTCTCATGAATCCTGGACCCCAAACAAACATGACAGGTGCGTCTTATACTCTTGGCAAATGCCCACATCAAGGACATGTTTACTTAAGATCATTATAAGAATCATCTGTACGTTTGCTGACATTAATTCTTCTCTGTCATTTTTACAGCAACCCATACCTACAATTCCAGTTCCCTCCAGGGAATTCAGTTATTGGTATACTAATCAAGGGCAAGGAAGAAAAGAACGAGTGGGTTACAAAATTCACAATTTCCTACAGTGTTGATGGAATTGTATGGATCCCGTTAAACAAGGTAATACTTTGACAGGTTTCAACGGGTCTTGTGTTGATTGTGAGAGTTTTTGTGGAATAACATGTCATTTTACAATCACAATGCAAGTATGCTGACAGGATATTTTAAAGCATATTTGTAATGACTGCTTTTATTTTTCAGATATTTGATGGCAACTCTAAGGAACACCAGGAAACCATAATTTTTTTCAACCCATCTATCCCCTCCAATGCTGCTTATATTCGTGTTTATCCAATTGAATATCATGAGCACATCAGCTTACTTGCTCAACTTCTACAAGGCTGCTACCCTGCGTGTAAATTACCTATTACTTATTTTCTTTGTACTACTTTATTGTCAAATGTACTGCTTGGCATCAACAAGAAAATAACTCGCCTTGCATATTTTCCCTCATACCAATTCATGAATACACATACTTGATTACCAATAATTACAATGGCATTAATAATGTTGATGCTCTTATAAGGTCTTCCTTACAAAGGAAAAATGTCTGTAAATTACCTCTTGCTCGAAAAAAGTGCCGAATTTATTGTTATACTTATCAACCGCATGAGAATTTTCTGCATCGTACGTGTAACATAAATGTTTTTTCTTAACAGCAACAACAATACAAGTTCATACAACAACTGAAACACCAAAACCGCCCACTCCCACCCCTAAAGTGACAACAACAAGCATTCAAACCACAACACGTAAGGCCATATAATTGCCTTTTTTATATTGGAAACTTTCATTCGGTTTAATGCTCTAAAATTGAAAACAACACAAGTCTTCAATAGTTATCCTGACATATTCACGTAAAAAAACGTACTTAACTACTTCTATTGATTTCTACTTAAGATATTGCTAGGTATGAAAAAGGATTAACCAATCTTGCATTCTTCCACTTATGTACAATGCACGATCATACTCTGTAATGCATGCCGCGTCACATACTTTTTACATGAAAACAAACATTCATGTCATAATTATTAAGAAATTATTGCTATACTTATCAACCGCATGAGTATTTTCTGCATCGTATGTGTAACGTAGTTTTTTTCCTTAACAGCAACAACAGAAACACCAACACCGCCCACTCCCACCCCTGCAGTGACAACAACAAGCATTAAAACCACAACACGTGAGGCCATATCATTTCCTTCTTTGTATTTTAGACCAATGTTGCTTTCATTTTGGAGTGATAAAACCTTTTCAAGTTTCCAATATTAATGTTAGAATATGAACGTTTCCAACATGAATATTATTATATGTATTTCCAGATCAGTGTTGATTTCATTTGTCAATTATAAAACGAATGGAGGCTTCCGAGATCAACGTTAGCATACTGTCATTACTAAATAACATTTAGCCACTCTCATTAGAACATTGAAACGCCATACCTTCACGGATTTGTATTGCATGACTGTGTTTAAAATGTGTGAGGCTAATGTAACACGGATGTTAGGCTACAATTCTAAGATTTATATTTTTCCTCACAGTGTTAATCCACAGAGCCTATGAATATGTTTAGTGCACCTATGAAATGTTGAAACAATGGAAAACAAGTGTTTATAAAGAACCATTCTTTTTTGTCACTGCAGCTTGTTCAATACCAATGGAAAATCCTGAGATTTCATATTCATCAGGAGATGTTCCTGGACCAGGCAAACCATGGTCTCCAAATAGTGATGACAAGTAAGATACAACGTAGAAAACCTCTTACACTTACGCCTGTACTCTATCATATTCTGTATTCATGCTATGCCGTAAGGAAGTATATAATATACCTTTAAAACACATTTGTGTGGATGCAATCATCGTAATTTCCGTATTCTTGTCTGTGTTGTTCAGCTCCCCATTCATAGAAGTAAAAATACCTCCAGGAAGTACATTTGTCGGCGTAATAACCGAGGGTAATCCAGAGCAACCTCAGTGGGTTTCAAAATATGAAATTTCATACACCACCGATGGAGTTCACTGGGTGGTAATTGACAAGGTAATCTTTGTATATCACCCAACACATTATTTGAGCACATATTTTGTCATATCGTGAATTGAGTGATAATTGCCTTTATGGAATTTCTCATGGTTCTCTCCAACATTAACCACTTTCTCTTTTATTGCATTAGGTATTTGAAGGCAATCATGACAGCACCACGGAACAAACCAACTACGTGGTACCTTCAATCCCAGATGTTATAGCCATACGCATCATACCCGTAGAATGGATTGATCATGGAGATAAGCATACAGATGAATCATATGAAAAAATAAGCATAATTGTAACAGTTCTGCTAGATTGCAAAGCTTCATGTAAGTACACACTGCTTATTTCATATTTCACTCACAAACCAACGTAGTAATTGAACGTGTTCCTTTTCATCCTTCATTGTTATTAAACAATCGATTCATTTGCATGTGCATATTTTCAAAATACATCCAACAAAACCATTTAATGAATACTCATACACTATTACCAATAATTACACTGCCATTAATAATATTGATGTTATGAATACCGACAAAGTATTCCTTATGAAAGAGAATTGTCTGTATATTACCTCTTGCTTTAAAAATGGTTGAATTTATTTCCATAATTATCAACAGTGTACGAATATTTTCTGCACCGCACGTGTAACGTACTTTTTTTTCCTTAACAGCAACAACCGAAACAACAACAACGCCCACTCCCACCCCTACAGTGCCAACAACAAGCATTCAAACCACAACACGTGAGGCCATATCATTTCCTTCTTTGTATTTTAGACCAATGTTGCTTTCATTTTGGAGTGATAAAACCTTTTCAAGTTTCCAATATTAATGTTAGAATATGAACGTTTCCAACATGAATATTATTATATGTATTTCCAGATCAGTGTTGATTTCATTTGTCAATTATAAAACGAATGGAGGCTTCCGAGATCAACGTTAGCATACTGTCATTAATAAATAACATTTAGCCACTCTCATTAGAACATTGAAACGCCATACCTTCACGGATTTGTATTGCATTACTGTGTTTAAAATGTGTGAGGCTAATGTAACACGGATGTTAGGCTACAATTCTAAGATTTATATTTTTCCTCACAGTGTTAATCCACAGAGCCTATGAATATGTTTAGTGCACCTATGAAATGTTGAAACAATGGAAAACAAGTGTTTATAAAGAACCATTCTTTTTTGTCACTTCAGCTTGTTCAATACCAATGGAAAATCCTGAGATTTCATATTCATCAGGAGATGTTCCTGGACCAGGCAAACCATGGTCTCCAAATAGTGATGACAAGTAAGATACAACGTAGAAAACCTCTTACACTTACACCTGTACTCTATCATATTCTGTATTCATGCTATGCCGTAAGGAAGTATATAATATACCTTTAAAACACATTTGTGTGGATGCAATCATGGTAATTTCCGTATTCTTGTCTGTGTTGTTCAGCTCCCCATTCATAGAAGTAAAAATACCTCCAGGAAGTACATTTGTCGGCGTAATAACCGAGGGTAATCCAGAGCAACCTCAGTGGGTTTCAAAATATGAAATTTCATACACCACCGATGGAGTTCACTGGGTGGTAATTGACAAGGTAATATTTGCATATCACCCAACACATTATTTGAGCACATATTTTGTCATATCGTGAATTGAGTGATAATTGCCTTTATGGAATTTCTCATGGTTCTCTCCAACATTAACCACTTTCTCTTTTATTGCATTAGGTATTTGAAGGCAATCATGACAGCACCACGGAACAAACCAACTACGTGGTACCTTCAATCCCAGATGTTATAGCCATACGCATCATACCCGTAGAATGGATTGATCATGGAGATAAGCATACAGATGAATCATATGAAAAAATAAGCATAATTGTAACAGTTCTGCTAGATTGCAAAGCTTCATGTAAGTACACACTGCTTATTTCATATTTCACTCACAAACCAACGTAGTAATTGAACGTGTTCCTTTTCATCCTTCATTGTTATTAAACAATCGATTCATTTGCATGTGCATATTTTCAAAATACATCCAACAAAACCATTTAATGAATACTCATACACTATTACCAATAATTACACTGCCATTAATAATATTGATGTTATGAATACCGACAAAGTATTCCTTATGAAAGAGAATTGTCTGTATATTACCTCTTGCTTTAAAAATGGTTGAATTTATTTCCATAATTATCAACAGTGTACGAATATTTTCTGCACCGCACGTGTAACGTACTTTTTTTTCCTTAACAGCAACAACCGAAACAACAACAACGCCCACTCCCACCCCTACAGTGCCAACAACAAGCATTCAAACCACAACACGTGAGGCCATATCATTTCCTTCTTTGTATTTTAGACCAATGTTGCTTTCATTTTGGAGTGATAAAACCTTTTCAAGTTTCCAATATTAATGTTAGAATATGAACGTTTCCAACATGAATATTATTATATGTATTTCCAGATCAGTGTTGATTTCATTTGTCAATTATAAAACGAATGGAGGCTTCCGAGATCAACGTTAGCATACTGTCATTAATAAATAACATTTAGCCACTCGCATTAGAACATTGAAACGCCATACCTTCACGGATTTGTATTGCATGACTGTGTTTAAAATGTGTGAGGCTAATGTAACACGGATGTTAGGCTACAATTCTAAGATTTATATTTTTCCTCACAGTGTTAATCCACAGAGCCTATGAATATGTTTAGTGCACCTATGAAATGTTGAAACAATGGAAAACAAGTGTTTATAAAGAACCATTCTTTTTTGTCACTTCAGCTTGTTCAATACCAATGGAAAATCCTGAGATTTCATATTCATCAGGAGATGTTCCTGGACCAGGCAAACCATGGTCTCCAAATAGTGATGACAAGTAAGATACAACGTAGAAAACCTCTTACACTTACACCTGTACTCTATCATATTCTGTATTCATGCTATGCCGTAAGGAAGTATATAATATACCTTTAAAACACATTTGTGTGGATGCAATCATGGTAATTTCCGTATTCTTGTCTGTGTTGTTCAGCTCCCCATTCATAGAAGTAAAAATACCTCCAGGAAGTACATTTGTCGGCGTAATAACCGAGGGTAATCCAGAGCAACCTCAGTGGGTTTCAAAATATGAAATTTCATACACCACCGATGGAGTTCACTGGGTGGTAATTGACAAGGTAATATTTGCATATCACCCAACACATTATTTGAGCACATATTTTGTCATATCGTGAATTGAGTGATAATTGCCTTTATGGAATTTCTCATGGTTCTCTCCAACATTAACCACTTTCTCTTTTATTGCATTAGGTATTTGAAGGCAATCATGACAGCACCACGGAACAAACCAACTACGTGGTACCTTCAATCCCAGATGTTATAGCCATACGCATCATACCCGTAGAATGGATTGATCATGGAGATAAGCATACAGATGAATCATATGAAAAAATAAGCATAATTGTAACAGTTCTGCTAGATTGCAAAGCTTCATGTAAGTACACACTGCTTATTTCATATTTCACTCACAAACCAACGTAGTAATTGAACGTGTTCCTTTTCATCCTTCATTGTTATTAAACAATCGATTCATTTGCATGTGCATATTTTCAAAATACATCCAACAAAACCATTTAATGAATACTCATACACTATTACCAATAATTACACTGCCATTAATAATATTGATGTTATGAATACCGACAAAGTATTCCTTATGAAAGAGAATTGTCTGTATATTACCTCTTGCTTTAAAAATGGTTGAATTTATTTCCATAATTATCAACAGTGTACGAATATTTTCTGCACCGCACGTGTAACGTACTTTTTTTTCCTTAACAGCAACAACCGAAACAACAACAACGCCCACTCCCACCCCTACAGTGCCAACAACAAGCATTCAAACCACAACACGTGAGGCCATATCATTTCCTTCTTTGTATTTTAGACCAATGTTGCTTTCATTTTGGAGTGATAAAACCTTTTCAAGTTTCCAATATTAATGTTAGAATATGAACGTTTCCAACATGAATATTATTATATGTATTTCCAGATCAGTGTTGATTTCATTTGTCAATTATAAAACGAATGGAGGCTTCCGAGATCAACGTTAGCATACTGTCATTAATAAATAACATTTAGCCACTCGCATTAGAACATTGAAACGCCATACCTTCACGGATTTGTATTGCATGACTGTGTTTAAAATGTGTGAGGCTAATGTAACACGGATGTTAGGCTACAATTCTAAGATTTATATTTTTCCTCACAGTGTTAATCCACAGAGCCTATGAATATGTTTAGTGCACCTATGAAATGTTGAAACAATGGAAAACAAGTGTTTATAAAGAACCATTCTTTTTTGTCACTTCAGCTTGTTCAATACCAATGGAAAATCCTGAGATTTCATATTCATCAGGAGATGTTCCTGGACCAGGCAAACCATGGTCTCCAAATAGTGATGACAAGTAAGATACAACGTAGAAAACCTCTTACACTTACACCTGTACTCTATCATATTCTGTATTCATGCTATGCTGTAAGGAAGTATATAATATACCTTTAAAACACATTTGTGTGGATGCAATCATGGTAATTTCCGTATTCTTGTCTGTGTTGTTCAGCTCCCCATTCATAGAAGTAAAAATACCTCCAGGAAGTACATTTGTCGGCGTAATAACTGAGGGTAATCCAGAGCAACCTCAGTGGGTTTCAAAATATGAAATTTCATACACCACCGATGGAGTTCACTGGGTGGTAATTGACAAGGTAATATTTGCATATCACCCAACACATTATTTGAGCACATATTTTGTCATATCGTGAATTGAGTGATAATTGCCTTTATGGAATTTCTCATGGTTCTCTCCAACATTAACCACTTTCTCTTTTATTGCATTAGGTATTTGAAGGCAATCATGACAGCACCACGGAACAAACCAACTACGTGGTACCTTCAATCCCAGATGTTATAGCCATACGCATCATACCCGTAGAATGGATTGATCATGGAGATAAGCATACAGATGAATCATATGAAAAAATAAGCATAATTGTAACAGTTCTGCTAGATTGCAAAGCTTCATGTAAGTACACACTGCTTATTTCATATTTCACTCACAAACCAATGTAGTAATTGAACGTGTTCCTTTTCATCCTTCATTGTTATTAAACAATCGATTCATTTGCATGTGCATATTTTCAAAATACATCCAACAAAACCATTTAATGAATACTCATACACTATTACCAATAATTACACTGCCATTAATAATATTGATGTTATGAATACCGACAAAGTATTCCTTATGAAAGAGAATTGTCTGTATATTACCTCTTGCTTTAAAAATGGTTAAATTTATTTCCGTAATTATCAACAGTGTACGGATATTTTCTGCACCGCACGTGTAACGTACTTTTTTTTCCTTAACAGCAACAACTGAAACAACAACACCGACAACAACAAGCATTCAAACCACAACACGTAAGGCCATATAATTGCCTTCTTTATATTGGAAACCTTAATTCGGTTTAATCCTCCACATAGTCACGTAAAAAAATGTACTTAGCTACTTCTATTGACTTCTAATTAAGATATTGCTTAGTATGAAAAAGGATTAACCATTCTTGCATTATAATAGGTTTTTTACCCTTTTTTCTGGCAACAAAACTGACACTTTTTTACAAGGAATCATGTTTACATTAACCACAATACCTGCAGTAAAAATGCAAGCAAAAAACACGCTCTGATAATGTATGCACTGTCCTTGAAATTGTTTGCATTTTGATTGCAGGTATTGTGGTTAATGTGAACATGATTCCTTGTAAAATGGTTTCAGTTTTGTTGCCAGAAAAAAGGGTAAAAAACCTATTATTAAATTTTGCTTCTGGCAAAGGAGGTCTCATGATGTAAACATTCTTGCACATTTGTACAATGTATGATCATACTCTTGTAATGCATGCCGCGTCATTTTCTTTTTACATGAAAAGAACATTCATGCCATAATCATTAATAATCCTATTCAATGACTCATCTTGCCAACAAGGGCTTTAAACGTAAATTTTGTTTGATTTTCGTTGCAGCTTGCTATTACATAATGCCTATCCCGAAGATAAAATACTCCTCCTCAAGTGATGAGCAAACATCGGCAAATTCAGCAAGTTCTGAGGTGGATTCTCATGAATCCTGGACCCCAAACAAACATGACAGGTGTGCCTTATACTCTTCGCAAATGCCCACATCAAGGACATGTTTATTTAACATCATTTTAAGAATCATCTTTATGTTTGCTGACATTAATTCTAACCTGTATTTTTTCCAGCAACCCATACTTACAATTCGAGTTCCCTCCAGGGAATACAGTTATTGGTATACAAATCAAGGGCAAGGAAGAAAAGAACGAGTGGGTTACAAAATTCACAATTTCCTACAGTGTTGATGGAATTGTATGGATTCCGCTAAACAAGGTAATACTTTGACCGGTTTCAACGGGTTAATTGTGAGAGTGGTGTGGAATAACATATCACAATGCAAGTATGCTGACAGGATATTTTAAAGCATATTTGTAATGACTGCTTTTATTTTTCAGATATTTGATGGCAACTCTAAGGAACACTCGGAAACCATCATCTTTTTCGACCAATCTATCCCCTCCAATGCTGCTTATGTCCGTGTTTATCCTATTGAATATCATGAGCACATCAGCTTACTTGCTCAACTTCTACAAGACTGTCATAAAAAGAGTAAATTACCTATTCCTCATTTTCTTTGTACTACTTTATTGTCAAATGTACTGCTTGGCATCAACAAGAAAATAACTCGCCTTGCATATTTTCCCTCATACCAATTAATGAATACACATACTCGATTACCAATAATTACACTGGCATTAATAATGTTGACGCTCTTATAAGGTCTTCCTTGCAAAGGAAAAATGTCTGTAAATTACCTCTTGCTCTAAAAAAGTGCCGAAATTATTGCTATACTTATCAACCGCATGAGTATTTTCTGCATCGTACGTGTAACATAAATGTTTTTCATTAACAGCAACAACTGAAATACCAACAACGCCCACTCCTACAGTGCCAACAACAAGCATTCAAACCACAACACGTGAGGCCATATCATTTCCTTCTTTGTATTTTAGACCAATGTTGCTTTCATTTTGGAGTGATACAACCTTTTCAAGTTTCCAATATTAATGTTAGAATATAATCGTTTCCAACATGAATATTATGATATGTATTTCCAGATAAGTGTTTATTTTATTTGTCAATTATATAACGAATGGAGGCTTCCGAGATCAACGTTAGCATACTGTCATTAATAAATAACATTTAGCCACTCTCAATAGAACATTGAATCGCCATACCTTCACGGATTTGTATTGCTTGACTGTGTTTAAAATGTGTGAGGCTAATGTAACACGGATGTTAGGCTACAATTCTAAGATTTATATTTTTCCTCACAGTGTTAATCCACAGAGCCTATGAATATGTTTAGTGCACCTATGAAATGTTGAAACAATGGAAAACAAGTGTTTATAAAGAACCATTCTTTTTTGTCACTGCAGCTTGTTCAATACCAATGGAAAATCCTGAGATTTCATATTCATCAGGAGATGTTCCTGGACCAGGCAAACCATGGTCTCCAAATAGTGATGACAAGTAAGATACAACGTAGAAAACCTCTTACACTTACGCCTGTACTCTATCATATTCTGTATTCATGCTATGCTGTAAGGTAGTATATAATATACCTTTAAAAAACATTTGTGTGCATAAAATCATTGTAATTTTCTTATTCTCGTCTGTGTTATTCAGCTCCCCATTCATAGAAGTAAAAATACCTCCAGGAAGTACATTTGTCGGCGTAATAACCGAGGGTAATCCAGAGCAACCTCAGTGGGTTTCAAAATATGAAATTTCATACACCACCGATGGAGTTCACTGGGTGGTAATTGACAAGGTAATATTTGCATATCACCCAACACATTATTTGAGCACATATTTTGTCATATCGTGAATTGAGTGATAATTGCCTTTATGGAATTTCTCATGGTTCTCTCCAACATTAACCACTTTCTCTTTTATTGCATTAGGTATTTGAAGGCAATCATGACAGCACCACGGAACAAACCAACTACGTGGTACCTTCAATCCCAGATGTTATAGCCATACGCATCATACCCGTAGAATGGATTGATCATGGAGATAAGCATACAGATGAATCATATGAAAAAATAAGCATAATTGTAACAGTTCTGCTAGATTGCAAAGCTTCATGTAAGTACACACTGCTTATTTCATATTTCACTCACAAACCAACGTAGTAATTGAACGTGTTCCTTTTCATCCTTCATTGTTATTAAACAATCGATTCATTTGCATGTGCATATTTTCAAAATACATCCAACAAAACCATTTAATGAATACTCATACACTATTACCAATAATTACACTGCCATTAATAATATTGATGTTATGAATACCGACAAAGTATTCCTTATGAAAGAGAATTGTCTGTATATTACCTCTTGCTTTAAAAATGGTTGAATTTATTTCCATAATTATCAACAGTGCACGAATATTTTCTGCACCGCACGTGTAACGTACTTTTTTTTCCTTAACAGCAACAACTGAAACAACAACAACGCCCACTCCCACCCCTACAGTGCCAACAACAAGCATTCAAACCACAACACGTGAGGCCATATCATTTCCTTCTTTGTATTTTAGACCAATGTTGCTTTCATTTTGGAGTGATACAACCTTTTCAAGTTTCCAATATTAATGTTAGAATATAATCGTTTCCAACATGAATATTATGATATGTATTTCCAGATAAGTGTTTATTTTATTTGTCAATTATATAACGAATGGAGGCTTCCGAGATCAACGTTAGCATACTGTCATTAATAAATAACATTTAGCCACTCTCAATAGAACATTGAATCGCCATACCTTCACGGATTTGTATTGCTTGACTGTGTTTAAAATGTGTGAGGCTAATGTAACACGGATGTTAGGCTACAATTCTAAGATTTATATTTTTCCTCACAGTGTTAATCCACAGAGCCTATGAATATGTTTAGTGCACCTATGAAATGTTGAAACAATGGAAAACAAGTGTTTATAAAGAACCATTCTTTTTTGTCACTGCAGCTTGTTCAATACCAATGGAAAATCCTGAGATTTCATATTCATCAGGAGATGTTCCTGGACCAGGCAAACCATGGTCTCCAAATAGTGATGACAAGTAAGATACAACGTAGAAAACCTCTTACACTTACGCCTGTACTCTATCATATTCTGTATTCATGCTATGCTGTAAGGTAGTATATAATATACCTTTAAAAAACATTTGTGTGCATAAAATCATGGTAATTTTCTTATTCTCGTCTGTGTTATTCAGCTCCCCATTCATAGAAGTAAAAATACCTCCAGGAAGTACATTTGTCGGCGTAATAACCGAGGGTAATCCAGAGCAACCTCAGTGGGTTTCAAAATATGAAATTTCATACACCACCGATGGAGTGCACTGGGTGGTAATTGACAAGGTAATATTTGCATATCACCCAACACATTATTTGAGCACATATTTTGTCATATCGTGAATTGAGTGATAATTGCCTTTATGGAATTTCTCATGGTTCTCTCCAACATTAACCACTTTCTCTTTTATTGCATTAGGTATTTGAAGGCAATCATGACAGCACCACGGAACAAACCAACTACGTGGTACCTTCAATCCCAGATGTTATAGCCATACGCATCATACCCGTAGAATGGATTGATCATGGAGATAAGCATACAGATGAATCATATGAAAAAATAAGCATAATTGTAACAGTTCTGCTAGATTGCAAAGCGTCATGTAAGTACACACTGCTTATTTCATATTTCACTCACAAACCAACGTAGTAATTGAACGTGTTCCTTTTCATCCTTCATTGTTATTAAACAATCGATTCATTTGCATGTGCATATTTTCAAAATACATCCAACAAAACCATTTAATGAATACTCATACACTATTACCAATAATTACACTGCCATTAATAATATTGATGTTATGAATACCGACAAAGTATTCCTTATGAAAGAGAATTGTCTGTATATTACCTCTTGCTTTAAAAATGGTTGAATTTATTTCCATAATTATCAACAGTGCACGAATATTTTCTGCACCGCACGTGTAACGTACTTTTTTTTCCTTAACAGCAACAACTGAAACAACAACAACGCCCACTCCCACCCCTACAGTGCCAACAACAAGCATTCAAACCACAACACGTGAGGCCATATCATTTCCTTCTTTGTATTTTAGACCAATGTTGCTTTCATTTTGGAGTGATAAAACCTTTTCAAGTTTCCAATATTAATGTTAGAATATGAACGTTTCCAACATGAATATTATTATATGTATTTCCAGATCAGTGTTGATTTCATTTGTCAATTATAAAACGAATGGAGGCTTCCGAGATCAACGTTAGCATACTGTCATTAATAAATAACATTTAGCCACTCTCATTAGAACATTGAAACGCCATACCTTCACGGATTTGTATTGCATTACTGTGTTTAAAATGTGTGAGGCTAATGTAACACGGATGTTAGGCTACAATTCTAAGATTTATATTTTTCCTCACAGTGTTAATCCACAGAGCCTATGAATATGTTTAGTGCACCTATGAAATGTTGAAACAATGGAAAACAAGTGTTTATAAAGAACCATTCTTTTTTGTCACTTCAGCTTGTTCAATACCAATGGAAAATCCTGAGATTTCATATTCATCAGGAGATGTTCCTGGACCAGGCAAACCATGGTCTCCAAATAGTGATGACAAGTAAGATACAACGTAGAAAACCTCTTACACTTACACCTGTACTCTATCATATTCTGTATTCATGCTATGCCGTAAGGAAGTATATAATATACCTTTAAAACACATTTGTGTGGATGCAATCATGGTAATTTCCGTATTCTTGTCTGTGTTGTTCAGCTCCCCATTCATAGAAGTAAAAATACCTCCAGGAAGTACATTTGTCGGCGTAATAACCGAGGGTAATCCAGAGCAACCTCAGTGGGTTTCAAAATATGAAATTTCATACACCACCGATGGAGTTCACTGGGTGGTAATTGACAAGGTAATATTTGCATATCACCCAACACATTATTTGAGCACATATTTTGTCATATCGTGAATTGAGTGATAATTGCCTTTATGGAATTTCTCATGGTTCTCTCCAACATTAACCACTTTCTCTTTTATTGCATTAGGTATTTGAAGGCAATCATGACAGCACCACGGAACAAACCAACTACGTGGTACCTTCAATCCCAGATGTTATAGCCATACGCATCATACCCGTAGAATGGATTGATCATGGAGATAAGCATACAGATGAATCATATGAAAAAATAAGCATAATTGTAACAGTTCTGCTAGATTGCAAAGCTTCATGTAAGTACACACTGCTTATTTCATATTTCACTCACAAACCAACGTAGTAATTGAACGTGTTCCTTTTCATCCTTCATTGTTATTAAACAATCGATTCATTTGCATGTGCATATTTTCAAAATACATCCAACAAAACCATTTAATGAATACTCATACACTATTACCAATAATTACACTGCCATTAATAATATTGATGTTATGAATACCGACAAAGTATTCCTTATGAAAGAGAATTGTCTGTATATTACCTCTTGCTTTAAAAATGGTTGAATTTATTTCCATAATTATCAACAGTGTACGAATATTTTCTGCACCGCACGTGTAACGTACTTTTTTTTCCTTAACAGCAACAACCGAAACAACAACAACGCCCACTCCCACCCCTACAGTGCCAACAACAAGCATTCAAACCACAACACGTGAGGCCATATCATTTCCTTCTTTGTATTTTAGACCAATGTTGCTTTCATTTTGGAGTGATAAAACCTTTTCAAGTTTCCAATATTAATGTTAGAATATGAACGTTTCCAACATGAATATTATTATATGTATTTCCAGATCAGTGTTGATTTCATTTGTCAATTATAAAACGAATGGAGGCTTCCGAGATCAACGTTAGCATACTGTCATTAATAAATAACATTTAGCCACTCGCATTAGAACATTGAAACGCCATACCTTCACGGATTTGTATTGCATGACTGTGTTTAAAATGTGTGAGGCTAATGTAACACGGATGTTAGGCTACAATTCTAAGATTTATATTTTTCCTCACAGTGTTAATCCACAGAGCCTATGAATATGTTTAGTGCACCTATGAAATGTTGAAACAATGGAAAACAAGTGTTTATAAAGAAGCATTCTTTGTTGTCACTGCAGCTTGTTCAATACCAATGGAAAATCCTGAGATTTCATATTCATCAGGAGATGTTCCTGGACCAGGCAAACCATGGTCTCCAAGTAGCGATGACAAGTAAGATACAACGTAGAAAACCGCTTACACTTACGCCTGTACTCTATCATATTCTTTATTCATGCTATGCCGTAAGGATAATATACCTTTAAAACATCTGTGTGCAATAAAATCATAGTCATTTTCGTATTCTTGTCTGTGTTGTTCAGCTCCCCATTCATAGAAGTAAAAATACCTCCAGGAAGTACATTTGTCGGCGTAATAACCGAGGGTAATCCAGAGCAACCTCAGTGGGTTTCAAAATATAATATTTCTTACACCACCGATGGAGTTCACTGGGTGGTAATTGACAAGGTAATCTTTGTATATCACCCAACACATTATTTGAGCACATATTTTGTCATATCGTGAATTGAGTGATAATTGCCTTCATGGAATTTCTCATGGTTCTCTCCAACATTAACCACTTTCTCTTTTATTGCATTAGGTATTTGAAGGCAATCATGACAGCACCACGGAACACACCAACTACGTGGTACCTTCAATCCCAGATGCTGTTGCCATACGCATCATACCAGTAGAATGGATTGATCATGGAGTTACGTATACAAATGAATCATATGAAAAAATAAGCATAATTGTAACAGTTCTGCTAGATTGCAAAGCTTCATGTAAGTACACACTGCTTATTTCATATTTCACTCACAAACCAATGTAGCAATTGAACGTGTTCCTTTTTATCCTTCATTGTTATAAAACAATAATTGTTAAAACTCTATTCATTTGCACGTGCATATTTTCAAAATACATCCAACAAAACCATTTCATGAATACTCATACACTATTACCAATAATTACAATGCCATAAATTATATTGATGTCGTTATGAATACCGACAAAGTATTCCTTATGAAAGAGAATTGTCTGTATATTACCTCTTGCTTTAAAAATGGTTCAATTTATTTCCGTAATTATCAACAGTGTACGGATATTTTCTGCACCGAACGTGTAACGTACTTTTTTTTCCTTAACAGCAACAACTGAAACAACAACACCGACCACAACAAGCATTCAAACCACAACACGTAAGGCCATATAATTGCCTTCTTTATATTGGAAACCTTAATTCAGTTTAACCCTCCAAATTGAAAGCAACATAAGTTTAAAAAAGTTATCCTGAAATATTCACGTAAAAAAACGTACTTAACTATAGATTTCTGCTTAGGATATTGCTCGGTATGAAAAAGGATTAACCATTCTTGCATTATAATAGGCTTTTTACCCTTTTTTCTGGCAACAAAACTGACACCTTTTTACAAGGAATCATGTTTACATTAACCACAATACCTGCAGTCAAAATGCAAACAATTTCAAGGACAGTGCATACATTATCAGGGTGTGTTTTTTGTTTGCATTTTGACTGCAGGTATTGTGGTAAAATGTAAACATGATTCCTTGTAAAAAGGTGTCAGTTTTGTTGCCAGAAAAAAGGGTAAAAACCCTATTATGATATTTTGCTTCTGGCAAAGGAGGTCTCATGATGTAAACATTCTTGCACATATGTACAATGTATGATCATACTCTGTAATGCATGCCGCGTCATTTTCTTTTTACATGAAAAGAACATTCATGCCATAATCATTTAGAAACCTATTCAATGACTCATCGTCAACAAGGGATTTAAACGTAATTTTTTTTTGATTTTCGTTGCAGCTTGCTATTACATAATGCCTATCCCAAAGATAAAATACTCTTCCTCAAGTGATGAGCAAACATCAGCAAATTCAGCAAGTTCTGAGGTGGACTCTCATGAATCCTGGACCCCAAACAAACATGACAGGTGTGCCTGAAACTCTTCGCAAATGCCCACATCAAGGACATGTTTTCTTAAGATCATTATAAGAATCATCTGTACGTTTGCTGACATTAATTCTTCTCTGTATTTTTTCCAGCAACCCATACTTACAATTCGAGTTCACTCCAGGGAATACAGTTATTGGTATACAAATCAAGGGCAAGGAAGAAAAGAACGAGTGGGTTACAAAATTCACAATTTCCTACAGTGTTGATGGAATTGTATGGATTCCGCTAAACAAGGTAATACTTTGACCGGTTTCAACGGGTTAATTGTGAGAGTGTTGTGGAATAACATATCACAATGCAAGTATGCTGACAGGATATTTTAAAGCATATTTGTAATGACTGCTTTTATTTTTCAGATATTTGATGGCAACTCTAAGGAACACAAGGAAACCATAATCTTTTTCGACCAATCTATCCCCTCCAATGCTGCTTATGTCCGTGTTTATCCTATTGAATATCATGGGCACATCAGCTTACTTGCTCAACTTCTACAAGACTGTCAGCACAAGAGTAAATTACCTATTCCTTATTTTCTTTGTACTACTTTATTGTCAAATGTACTGCTTGGCATCAACAAGAAAATAACTCGTCTTGCATATTTTCCCTCATACTAATTGATGAATACACATACTCGATTACCAATAATTACACTGGCATTAATAAAGTTGATGCTCTTATAAGGTCTTGCTTGCAAAGGAAAAATGTCTGTAAATCACCTCTTGCTCTAAAAAAGTACCGAATTTATTGCTATACATATCAACCGCATGAGTATTTTCTGCATCGTACGTGTAACATAACTGTTTTTCCTTAACAGCAACAACTGAAGCACCAACAACGCCCACTCCCACCCCTACAGTGAAAACAACAACAACCACAACACGTAAGGCCATATAATTGCATTCTTTATATTGGAAACCTTAATTCGGTTGAATCCTCCAAATTTAAAGCAACATAAGTCTTTTCAAAATACATCCAACAAAACCATTTCATAAATACTCATACACTATTACCAATAATTACACTGCCATTACTAATATCGATGTCGTTATGAATACCGACAAAGTATTCCTTGTGAAAGAGAATTGTCTGTATATTACCTCTTGCTTTAAAAATGGTTGAATTTATTTCCATAATTATCAACAGTGTACGGATATTTTCTGCACCGCACGTGTAACGTACTTTATTTTTCCTTAACAGCAACAACAACACCGACAACAACAAGCATTCAAACCACAACACGTAAGGCCATATAATTGCCTTCTTTATATTGGAAACTTTAATTCGGTTTAATCCTCCAAATTGAAAGCAATATAAGTCTTAAAGAGTTATCCTGAAATATTCACGTAAAAAAACGTACTTAACTACTTCTATTGATTTCTGCTTAAGATATTGCTCGGTATGAAAAAGGATTAACCATTATTGCATTATAATAGGTTTTTTACCCTTCTTTTCTGGCAACAAAACTGACACCTTTTTACAAGGAATCATGTTTACATTAACCACAATACCTGCAGTCAAAATGCAAACAAAAAACACACCCTGATAATGTATGCACTGTCCTTGAAATTGTTTGCATTTTGACTGCAGGTATTATGGTTAATGTAAACATGATTCCTTGTAAAAAGGTGTCAGGTTTGTTGCCAGAAAAAAGGGTAAAAAACCTATTATGATATTTTGCTTCTGGCAAAGGAGGTCTCATGATGTAAACATTCTTGCACATATGTACAATGTATGATCATACTCTGTAATGCATGCCGCGTCATTTTCTTTTTACATGGAAAAAACATTCATGCCATAATCATTTAGAAACCTATTCAATGACTCATCGTCAACAAGGGATTTAAACGTAAATTTTGTTTGATTTTCGTTGCAGCTTGCTATTACATAATGCCTATCCCGAAGATAAAATACTCTTCCTCAAGTGATGAGCAAACATCAGCAAATTCAGCAAGTTCTGAGGTGGATTCTCATGAATCCTGGACCCCAAACAAACATGACAGGTGCGTCTTATACTCTTCGCAAATGCCCACATCAAGGACATGTTTACTTAAGATCATTATAAGAATCATCTGTACGTTTGCTGACATTAATTCTTCTCTGTATTTTTTCCAGCAACCCATACTTACAATTCGAGTTCACTCCAGGGAATACAGTTATTGGTATACAAATCAAGGGCAAGGAAGAAAAGAACGAGTGGGTTACAAAATTCACAATTTCCTACAGTGTTGATGGAATTGTATGGATTCCGCTAAATAAGGTAATACTTTGACCGGTTTCAACGGGTTAATTGTGAGAGTGTTGTGGAATAACATATCACAATGCAAGTATGCTGACAGGATATTTTAAAGCATATTTGTAATGACTGCTTTTATTTTTCAGATATTTGATGGCAACTCTAAGGAACACAAGGAAACCATCATCTTTTTCGACCAATCTATCCCCTCCAATGCTGCTTATGTTCGTGTTTATCCTGTTGAATATCATGGGCACATCAGCTTATTTGCTCAACTTCTACAAGACTGTCTGAATAAGAGTAAATTACCTATTCCTTATTTTCTTTGTACTACTTTATTGTCAAATGTACTGCTTGGCATCAACAAGAAAATAACTCGTCTTGCATATTTTCCCTCATACTAGTTAATTAATACACATACTCGATTACCAATAATTACACTGGCATTAATAATGTTGACGCTCTTATAAGGTCTCCCTTGCAAAGGAAAAATGTCTGTAAATCACCTCTTGCTCTAAAAAGGTGCCGAATTTATTGCTATACATATCAACCGCATGAGTATTTTCTGCATCGTACGTGTAACATAACTGTTTTTCCTTAACAGCAACAACTGAAGCACCAACAACGCCCACTCCCACCCCTACAGTGAAAACAACAACAACCACAACACGTAAGGCCATATAATTGCCTTCTTTATATTGGAAACCTTAATTTGGTTGAATCCTCCAAATTGAAAGCAACATAAGTCTTTTCAAAATACATCGAACAAAACCATTTCATAAGTACTCATACACTATTACCAATAATTACACTGCCATTAATAATATCGATGTCGTTATGAATACCGACAAAGTATTCCTTGTGAAAGAGAATTGTCTGTATATTACCTCTTGCTTTAAAAATGGTTGAATTTATTTCCATAATTATCAACAGTGTACGGATATTTTCTGCACCGCACGTGTAACATACTTTATTTTTCCTTAACAGCAACAACTGAAACAACAACACCGACAACAACAAGCATTCAAACCACAACACGTAAGGCCATATAATTGCCTTCTTTATATTGGAAACCTTAATTCGGTTCAATCCTCCAAATTGAAAGCAACATAAGTCTTTTCAAAATACATCCAACAAAACCATTTCATAAATACTCATACACTATTACCAATAATTACACTGCCATTACTAATATCGATGTCGTTATGAATACCGACAAAGTATTCCTTGTGAAAGACAATTGTCTGTATATTACCTCTTGCTTTAAAAATGGTTGAATTTATTTCCATAATTATCAACAGTGTACGGATATTTTCTGCACCGCACGTGTAACGTACTTTATTTTTCCTTAACAGCAACAACAACTGAAACAACAACACCGACAACAACAAGCATTCAAACCACAACACGTAAGGCCATATAATTGCCTTCTTTATATTGGAAACTTTAATTCGGTTTAATCCTCCAAATTGAAAGCAATATAAGTCTTAAAGAGGTATCCTGAAATATTCACGTAAAAAAACGTACTTAACTACTTCTATTGATTTCTGCTTAAGATATTGCTCGGTATGAAAAGGATTAACCATTATTGCATTATAATAGGTTTTTTACCCTTTTTTTCTGGCAACAAAACTGACACCTTTTTACAAGGAATCATGTTTACATTAACCACAATACCTGCAGTCAAAATGCAAACAAAAAACACACCCTGATAATGTATGCACTGTCCTTGAAATTGTTTGCATTTTGACTGCAGGTATTATGGTTAATGTAAACATGATTCCTTGTAAAAAGGTGTCAGTTTTGTTGCCAGAAAAAAGGGTAAAAAACCTATTATGATATTTTGCTTCTGGCAAAGGAGGTCTCATGATGTAAACATTCTTGCACATATGTACAATGTAAGATCATACTCTGTAATGCATGCCGCGTCATTTTCTTTTTACATAAAAAAACATTCATGCCATAATCATTTAGAATCCTATTCAATGACTCATCGTCAACAAGGGCTTTAAACGTAAATTTTGTTTGATTTTCGTTTCAGCTTGCTATTACATAATGCCTATCCCGAAGATAAAATACTCTTCCTCAAGTGATGAGCAAACATCAGCAAATTCAGCAAGTTCTGAGGTGGATTCTCATGAATCCTGGACCCCAAACAAACATGACAGGTGTGCCTTATACTCTTCGCAAATGCCCACATCAAGGACATGTTTACTTAAGATTATTATAAGAATCATCTGTACGTTTGCTGACATTAATTCTTCTCTGTATTTTTTCCAGCAACCCATACTTACAATTCGAGTTCACTCCAGGGAATACAGTTATTGGTATACAAATCAAGGGCAAGGAAGAAAAGAACGAGTGGGTTACAAAATTCACAATTTCCTACAGTGTTGATGGAATTGTATGGACTCCGCTAAACAAGGTAATACTTTGACCGGTTTCAACGGGTTAATTGTGAGAGTGTTGTGGAATAACATATCACAATGCAAGTATGCTGACAGGATATTTTAGAGCATATTTGTAATGACTGCTTTTATTTTTCAGATATTTGATGGCAACTCTGAGGAACACAAGGAAACCATCATCTTTTTCGACCAATCTATCCCCTCCAATGCTGCTTATGTCCGTGTTTATCCTGTTGAATATCATGGGCACATCAGCTTATTTGCTCAACTTCTACAAGACTGTCTGAATAAGAGTAAATTACCTATTCTTTATCTTCTGTGTACTACTTTATTGTCAAATGCACTGCTTGGCATCAACAAGAAAATAACTCGTCTTGCATATTTTCCCTCATACTAGTTAATTAATACACATCCTCGATTACCAATAATTACACTGGCATTAATAATGTTGACGCTCTTATAAGGTCTTCCTTGCAAAGGAAAAATGTCTGTAAATCACCTCTTGCTCTAAAAAGGTGCCGAAGTTATTGCTATACATATCAACCGCATGAGTATTTTCTGCATCGTACGTGTAACATAACTGTTTTTCCTTAACAGCAACAACTGAAGCACCAACAACGCCCACTCCCACCCCTACAGTGAAAACAACAACAACCACAACACGTAAGGCCATATAATTGCCTTCTTTATATTGGACACCTTAATTCGGTTAAATCCTCCAAATTGAAAGCAACATAAGTCTTTTCAAAATACATCCAACAAAACCATTTCATAAGTACTCATACACTATTACCAATAATTACACTGCCATTAATAATATCGATGTCGTTATGAATACCGACAAAGTATTCCTTGTGAAAGAGAATTGTCTGTATATTACCTCTTGCTTTAAAAATGGTTGAATTTATTTCCATAATTATCAACAGTGTACGGATATTTTCTGCACCGCACGTGTAACGTACTTTATTTTTCCTTAACAGCAACAACTGAAACAACAACACCGACAACAACAAGCATTCAAACCACAACACGTAAGGCCATATAATTGCCTTCTTTATATTGGACACCTTAATTCGGTTAAATCCTCCAAATTGAAAGCAACATAAGTCTTTTCAAAATACATCCAACAAAACCATTTCATAAATACTCATACACTATTACCAATAATTACACTGCCATTACTAATATCGATGTCGTTATGAATACCGACAAAGTATTCCTTGTGAAAGAGAATTGTCTGTATATTACCTCTTGCTTTAAAAATGGTTGAATTTATTTCCATAATTATCAACAGTGTACGGATATTTTCTGCACCGCACGTGTAACGTACTTTATTTTTCCTTAACAGCAACAACTGAAACAACAACACCGACAACAACAAGCATTCAAACCACAACACGTAAGGCCATATAATTGCCTTCTTTATATTGGAAACCTTAATTCGGTTCAATCCTCCAAATTGAAAGCAACATAAGTCTTTTCAAAATACATCCAACAAAACCATTTCATAAATACTCATACACTATTACCAATAATTACACTGCCATTACTAATATCGATGTCGTTATGAATACCGACAAAGTATTCCTTGTGAAAGACAATTGTCTGTATATTACCTCTTGCTTTAAAAATGGTTGAATTTATTTCCATAATTATCAACAGTGTACGGATATTTTCTGCACCGCACGTGTAACGTACTTTATTTTTCCTTAACAGCAACAACAACTGAAACAACAACACCGACAACAACAAGCATTCAAACCACAACACGTAAGGCCATATAATTGCCTTCTTTATATTGGAAACTTTAATTCGGTTTAATCCTCCAAATTGAAAGCAATATAAGTCTTAAAGAGGTATCCTGAAATATTCACGTAAAAAAACGTACTTAACTACTTCTATTGATTTCTGCTTAAGATATTGCTCGGTATGAAAAAGGATTAACCATTATTGCATTATAATAGGTTTTTTACCCTTTTTTTCTGGCAACAAAACTGACACCTTTTTACAAGGAATCATGTTTACATTAACCACAATACCTGCAGTCAAAATGCAAACAAAAAACACACCCTGATAATGTATGCACTGTCCTTGAAATTGTTTGCATTTTGACTGCAGGTATTATGGTTAATGTTAACATGATTCCTTGTAAAAAGGTGTCAGTTTTGTTGCCAGAAAAAAGGGTAAAAAACCTATTATGATATTTTGCTTCTGGCAAAGGAGGTCTCATGATGTAAACATTCTTGCACATATGTACAATGTAAGATCATACTCTGTAATGCATGCCGCGTCATTTTCTTTTTACATAAAAAAACATTCATGCCATAATCATTTAGAATCCTATTCAATGACTCATCGTCAACAAGGGCTTTAAACGTAAATTTTGTTTGATTTTCGTTTCAGCTTGCTATTACATAATGCCTATCCCGAAGATAAAATACTCTTCCTCAAGTGATGAGCAAACATCAGCAAATTCAGCAAGTTCTGAGGTGGATTCTCATGAATCCTGGACCCCAAACAAACATGACAGGTGTGCCTTATACTCTTCGCAAATGCCCACATCAAGGACATGTTTACTTAAGATCATTATAAGAATCATCTGTACGTTTGCTGACATTAATTCTTCTCTGTATTTTTTCCAGCAACCCATACTTACAATTCGAGTTCACTCCAGGGAATACAGTTATTGGTATACAAATCAAGGGCAAGGAAGAAAAGAACGAGTGGGTTACAAAATTCACAATTTCCTACAGTGTTGATGGAATTGTATGGACTCCGCTAAACAAGGTAATACTTTGACCGGTTTCAACGGGTTAATTGTGAGAGTGTTGTGGAATAACATATCACAATGCAAGTATGCTGACAGGATATTTTAGAGCATATTTGTAATGACTGCTTTTATTTTTCAGATATTTGATGGCAACTCTGAGGAACACAAGGAAACCATCATCTTTTTCGACCAATCTATCCCCTCCAATGCTGCTTATGTCCGTGTTTATCCTGTTGAATATCATGGGCACATCAGCTTATTTGCTCAACTTCTACAAGACTGTCTGAATAAGAGTAAATTACCTATTCTTTATCTTCTGTGTACTACTTTATTGTCAAATGCACTGCTTGGCATCAACAAGAAAATAACTCGTCTTGCATATTTTCCCTCATACTAGTTAATTAATACACATACTCGATTACCAATAATTACACTGGCATTAATAATGTTGACGCTCTTATAAGGTCTTCCTTGCAAAGGAAAAATGTCTGTAAATCACCTCTTGCTCTAAAAAGGTGCCGAAGTTATTGCTATACATATCAACCGCATGAGTATTTTCTGCATCGTACGTGTAACATAACTGTTTTTCCTTAACAGCAACAACTGAAGCACCAACAACGCCCACTCCCACCCCTACAGTGAAAACAACAACAACCACAACACGTAAGGCCATATAATTGCCTTCTTTATATTGGACACCTTAATTCGGTTAAATCCTCCAAATTGAAAGCAACATAAGTCTTTTCAAAATACATCCAACAAAACCATTTCATAAGTACTCATACACTATTACCAATAATTACACTGCCATTAATAATATCGATGTCGTTATGAATACCGACAAAGTATTCCTTGTGAAAGACAATTGTCTGTATATTACCTCTTGCTTTAAAAATGGTTGAATTTATTTCCATAATTATCAACAGTGTACGGATATTTTCTGCACCGCACGTGTAACGTACTTTATTTTTCCTTAACAGCAACAACTGAAACAACAACACCGACAACAACAAGCATTCAAACCACAACACGTAAGGCCATATAATTGCCTTCTTTATATTGGAAACCTTAATTCGGTTCAATCCTCCAAATTGAAAGCAACATAAGTCTTTTCAAAATACATCCAACAAAACCATTTCATAAATACTCATACACTATTACCAATAATTACACTGCCATTACTAATATCGATGTCGTTATGAATACCGACAAAGTATTCCTTGTGAAAGACAATTGTCTGTATATTACCTCTTGCTTTAAAAATGGTTGAATTTATTTCCATAATTATCAACAGTGTACGGATATTTTCTGCACCGCACGTGTAACGTACTTTATTTTTCCTTAACAGCAACAACAACTGAAACAACAACACCGACAACAACAAGCATTCAAACCACAACACGTAAGGCCATATAATTGCCTTCTTTATATTGGAAACTTTAATTCGGTTTAATCCTCCAAATTGAAAGCAATATAAGTCTTAAAGAGGTATCCTGAAATATTCACGTAAAAAAACGTACTTAACTACTTCTATTGATTTCTGCTTAAGATATTGCTCGGTATGAAAAAGGATTAACCATTATTGCATTATAATAGGTTTTTTACCCTTTTTTTCTGGCAACAAAACTGACACCTTTTTACAAGGAATCATGTTTACATTAACCACAATACCTGCAGTCAAAATGCAAACAAAAAACACACCCTGATAATGTATGCACTGTCCTTGAAATTGTTTGCATTTTGACTGCAGGTATTATGGTTAATGTAAACATGATTCCTTGTAAAAAGGTGTCAGTTTTGTTGCCAGAAAAAAGGGTAAAAAACCTATCATGATATTTTGCTTCTAGGCAAAGGAGGTCTCATGATGTAAACATTCTTGCACATATGTACAATGTATGATCATACTCTGTAATGCATGCCGCGTCATTTTCTTTTTACATGAAAAAAACATTCATGCCATAATCATTTAGAATCCTATTCAATGACTCATCGTCAACAAGGGATTTAAACGTAAATTTTGTTTGATTTTCGTTGCAGCTTGCTATTACATAATGCCTATCCCGAAGATAAAATACTCTTCCTCAAGTGATGAGCAAACATCAGCAAATTCAGCAAGTTCTGAGGTGGATTCTCATGAATCCTGGACCCCAAACAAACATGACAGGTGTGCCTTATACTCTTCGCAAATGCCCACATCAAGGACATGTTTACTTAAGATCATTATAAGAATCATCTGTACGTTTGCTGACATTAATTCTTCTCTGTATTTTTTCCAGCAACCCATACTTACAATTCGAGTTCACTCCAGGGAATACAGTTATTGGTATACAAATCAAGGGCAAGGAAGAAAAGAACGAGTGGGTTACAAAATTCACAATTTCCTACAGTGTTGATGGAATTGTATGGACTTCCGCTAAACAAGGTAATACTTTGACCGGTTTCAACGGGTTAATTGTGAGAGTGTTGTGGAATAACATATCACAATGCAAGTATGCTGACAGGATATTTTAAAGCATATTTGTAATGACTGCTTTTATTTTTCAGATATTTGATGGCAACTCTGAGGAACACAAGGAAACCATCATCTTTTTCGACCAATCTATCCCCTCCAATGCTGCTTATGTCCGTGTTTATCCTGTTGAATATCATGGGCACATCAGCTTATTTGCTCAACTTCTACAAGACTGTCTGAATAAGAGTAAATTACCTATTCTTATCTTCTGTGTACTACTTTATTGTCAAATGCACTGCTTGGCATCAACAAGAAAATAACTCGTCTTGCATATTTTCCCTCATACTAGTTAATTAATACACATACTCGATTACCAATAATTACACTGGCATTAATAATGTTGACGCTCTTATAAGGTCTTCCTTGCAAAGGAAAAATGTCTGTAAATCACCTCTTGCTCTAAAAAGGTGCCGAAGTTATTGCTATACATATCAACCGCATGAGTATTTTCTGCATCGTACGTGTAACATAACTGTTTTTCCTTAACAGCAACAACTGAAGCACCAACAACGCCCACTCCCACCCCTACAGTGAAAACAACAACAACCACAACACGTAAGGCCATATAATTGCCTTCTTTATATTGGACACCTTAATTCGGTTAAATCCTCCAAATTGAAAGCAACATAAGTCTTTTCAAAATACATCCAACAAAACCATTTCATAAGTACTCATACACTATTACCAATAATTACACTGCCATTAATAATATCGATGTCGTTATGAATACCGACAAAGTATTCCTTGTGAAAGAGAATTGTCTGTATATTACCTCTTGCTTTAAAAATGGTTGAATTTATTTCCATAATTATCAACAGTGTACGGATATTTTCTGCACCGCACGTGTAACGTACTTTATTTTTCCTTAACAGCAACAACAACTGAAACACCAACACCGACAACAACAAGCATTCAAACCACAACACGTAAGGCCATATAATTGCCATCTTTATATTGGAAACTTTAATTCGGTTTAATCCTCCAAATTGAAAGCAATATAAGTCTTAAAGAGTTATCCTGAAATATTCACGTAAAAAAACGTACTTAACTACTTCTATTGATTTCTGCTTAAGATATTGCTCGGTATGAAAAAGGATTAACCATTATTGCATTATAATAGGTTTTTTACCCTTTTTTCTGGCAACAAAACTGACACCTTTTTACAAGGAATCATGTTTACATTAACCACAATACCTGCAGTCAAAATGCAAACAAAAAACACACCCTGATAATGTATGCACTGTCCTTGAAATTGTTTGCATTTTGACTGCAGGTATTGTGGTTAATGTAAACACGATTCCTTGTAAAAAGGTGTCAGTTTTGTTGCCAGAAAAAAGGGTAAAAAACCTATCATGATATTTTGCTTCTAGCAAAGGAGGTCTTATGATGTAAACATTCTTGCACATTTGTACAATGTATGATCATACTCTGTAATGCATGCCGCGCAATTTTCTTTTTACATGAAAAGAACATTCATGCCATAATCATTTAGAAACCTATTCAATGACTCATCGTCAACAAGGAATTTAAACGTAAATTTTGATTGATTTTCGTTGCAGCTTGCTATTACATAATGCCTATCCCAAAGATAAAATACTCTTCCTCAAGTGATGAGCAAACATCAGCAAATTCAGCAAGTTCTGAGGTGGACTCTCATGAATCCTGGACCCCAAACAAACATGACAGGTGTGCCTGAAACTCTTCGCAAATGCCCACATCAAGGACATGTTTTCTTAAGATCATTATAAGAATCATCTGTACGTTTGCTGACATTAATTCTTCTCTGTATTTTTTCCAGCAACCCATACTTACAATTCGAGTTCACTCCAGGGAATACAGTTATTGGTATACAAATCAAGGGCAAGGAAGAAAAGAACGAGTGGGTTACAAAATTCACAATTTCCTACAGTGTTGATGGAATTGTATGGATTCCGCTAAACAAGGTAATACTTTGACCGGTTTCAACTGGTTAATTGTGAGAGTGTTGTGGAATAACATATCACAATGCAAGTATGCTGACAGGATATTTTAAAGCATATTTGTAATGACTGCTTTTATTTTTCAGATATTTGATGGCAACTCCGAGGAACACAAGGAAACCATCATCTTTTTCGACCAATCTATCCCCTCCAATGCTGCTTATGTTCGTGTTTATCCTGTTGAATATCATGGGCACATCAGCTTATTTGCTCAACTTCTACAAGACTGTCTGAATAAGAGTAAATTACCTATTCCTTATTTTCTTTGTACTACTTTATTGTCAAATGTACTGCTTGGCATCAACAAGAAAATAACTCGTCTTGCATATTTTCCCTCATACTAGTTAATTAATACACATACTCGATTACCAATAATTACACTGGCATTAATAATGTTGACGCTCTGATAAGGTCTTCCTTGCAAAGGAAAAATGTCTGTAAATCACCTCTTGCTCTAAAAAGGTGCCGAAGTTATTGCTATACATATCAACCGCATGAGTATTTTCTGCATCGTACGTGTAACATAACTGTTTTTCCTTAACAGCAACAACTGAAGCACCAACAACGCCCACTCCCACCCCTACAGTGAAAACAACAACAACCACAACACGTAAGGCCATATAATTGCCTTCTTTATATTGGACACCTTAATTCGGTTAAATCCTCCAAATTGAAAGCAACATAAGTCTTTTCAAAATACATCCAACAAAACCATTTCATAAGTACTCATACACTATTACCAATAATTACACTGCCATTAATAATATCGATGTCGTTATGAATACCGACAAAGTATTCCTTGTGAAAGAGAATTGTCTGTATATTACCTCTTGCTTTAAAAATGGTTGAATTTATTTCCATAATTATCAACAGTGTACGGATATTTTCTGCACCGCACGTGTAACGTACTTTATTTTTCCTTAACAGCAACAACTGAAACAACAACACCGACAACAACAAGCATTCAAACCACAACACGTAAGGCCATATAATTGCCTTCTTTATATTGGAAACCTTAATTCGGTTCAATCCTCCAAATTGAAAGCAACATAAGTCTTTTCAAAATACATCCAACAAAACCATTTCATAAATACTCATACACTATTACCAATAATTACACTGCCATTACTAATATCGATGTCGTTATGAATACCGACAAAGTATTCCTTGTGAAAGACAATTGTCTGTATATTACCTCTTGCTTTAAAAATGGTTGAATTTATTTCCATAATTATCAACAGTGTACGGATATTTTCTGCACCGCACGTGTAACGTACTTTATTTTTCCTTAACAGCAACAACAACTGAAACAACAACACCGACAACAACAAGCATTCAAACCACAACACGTAAGGCCATATAATTGCCTTCTTTATATTGGAAACTTTAATTCGGTTTAATCCTCCAAATTGAAAGCAATATAAGTCTTAAAGAGGTATCCTGAAATATTCACGTAAAAAAACGTACTTAACTACTTCTATTGATTTCTGCTTAAGATATTGCTCGGTATGAAAAAGGATTAACCATTATTGCATTATAATAGGTTTTTTACCCTTTTTTTCTGGCAACAAAACTGACACCTTTTTACAAGGAATCATGTTTACATTAACCACAATACCTGCAGTCAAAATGCAAACAAAAAACACACCCTGATAATGTATGCACTGTCCTTGAAATTGTTTGCATTTTGACTGCAGGTATTATGGTTAATGTTAACATGATTCCTTGTAAAAAGGTGTCAGTTTTGTTGCCAGAAAAAAGGGTAAAAAACCTATTATGATATTTTGCTTCTGGCAAAGGAGGTCTCATGATGTAAACATTCTTGCACATATGTACAATGTAAGATCATACTCTGTAATGCATGCCGCGTCATTTTCTTTTTACATGAAAAAAACATTCATGCCATAATCATTTAGAAATCCTATTCAATGACTCATCGTCAACAAGGGATTTAAACGTAAATTTTGTTTGATTTTCGTTGCAGCTTGCTATTACATAATGCCTATCCCGAAGATAAAATACTCTTCCTCAAGTGATGAGCAAACATCGGCAAATTCAGCAAGTTCTGAGGTGGATTCTCATGAATCCTGGACCCCAAACAAACATGACAGGTGTGCCTTATACTCTTCGCAAATGCCCACATCAAGGACATGTTTACTTAAGATCATTATAAGAATCATCTGTACGTTTGCTGACATTAATTCTTCTCTGTATTTTTTCCAGCAACCCATACTTACAATTCGAGTTCACTCCAGGGAATACAGTTATTGGTATACAAATCAAGGGCAAGGAAGAAAAGAACGAGTGGGTTACAAAATTCACAATTTCCTACAGTGTTGATGGAATTGTATGGATTCCGCTAAACAAGGTAATACTTTGACCGGTTTCAACGGGTTAATTGTGAGAGTGTTGTGGAATAACATATCACAATGCAAGTATGCTGACAGGATATTTTAAAGCATATTTGTAATGACTGCTTTTATTTTTCAGATATTTGATGGCAACTCCGAGGAACACAAGGAAACCATCATCTTTTTCGACCAATCTATCCCCTCCGATGCTGCTTATGTTCGTGTTTATCCTGTTGAATATCATGGGCACATCAGCTTACTTGCTCAACTTCTACAAGACTGTCTGAATAAGAGTAAATTAACTATTCCTTATTTTCTTTGTACTACTTTATTGTCAAATGTACTGCTTGGCATCAACAAGAAAACAACTCGTCTTGCATATTTTCCCTCATACTAATTAATTAATACACATACTCGATTACCAATAATTACACTGGCATTAATAATGTTGACGCTCTTATAAGGTCTTCCTTGCAAAGGAAAAATGTCTGTAAATCACCTCTTGCTCTAAAAAGGTGCCGAAGTTATTGCTATACATATCAACCGCATGAGTATTTTCTGCATCGTACGTGTAACATAACTGTTTTTCCTTAACAGCAACAACTGAAGCACCAACAACGCCCACTCCCACCCCTACAGTGAAAACAACAACAACCACAACACGTAAGGCCATATAATTGCCTTCTTTATATTGGAAACCTTAATTCGGTTGAATCCTCCAAATTGAAAGCAACATAAGTCTTTTCAAAATACATCCAACAAAACCATTTCATAAGTACTCATACACTATTACCAATAATTACACTGCCATTAATAATATCGATGTCGTTATGAATACCGACAAAGTATTCCTTGTGAAAGAGAATTGTCTGTATATTACCTCTTGCTTTAAAAATGGTTGAATTTATTTCCATAATTATCAACAGTGTACGGATATTTTCTGCACCGCACGTGTAACGTACTTTATTTTTCCTTAACAGCAACAACAACTGAAACAACAACACCGACAACAACAAGCATTCAAACCACAACACGTAAGGCCATATAATTGCCATTCTTTATATTGGAAACTTTAATTCGGTTTAATCCTCCAAATTGAAAGCAATATAAGTCTTAAAGAGTTATCCTGAAATATTCACGTAAAAAAACGTACTTAACTACTTCTATTGATTTCTGCTTAAGATATTGCTCGGTATGAAAAAGGATTAACCATTATTGCATTATAATAGGTTTTTTACCCTTTTTTCTGGCAACAAAACTGACACCTTTTTACAAGGAATCATGTTTACATTAACCACAATACCTGCAGTCAAAATGCAAACAAAAAACACACCCTGATAATGTATGCACTGTCCTTGAAATTGTTTGCATTTTGACTGCAGGTATTGTGGTTAATGTAAACATGATTCCTTGTAAAAAGGTGTCAGTTTTGTTGCCAGAAAAAAGGGTAAAAAACCTATCATGATATTTTGCTTCTAGCAAAGGAGGTCTTATGATGTAAACATTCTTGCACATTTGTACAATGTATGATCATACTCTGTAATGCATGCCGCGCAATTTTCTTTTTACATGAAAAGAACATTCATGCCATAATCATTTAGAAACCTATTCAATGACTCATCGTCAACAAGGGATTTAAACGTAAATTTTGATTGATTTTCGTTGCAGCTTGCTATTACATAATGCCTATCCCAAAGATAAAATACTCTTCCTCAAGTGATGAGCAAACATCAGCAAATTCAGCAAGTTCTGAGGTGGACTCTCATGAATCCTGGACCCCAAACAAACATGACAGGTGTGCCTGAAACTCTTCGCAAATGCCCACATCAAGGACATGTTTTCTTAAGATCATTATAAGAATCATCTGTACGTTTGCTGACATTAATTCTTCTCTGTATTTTTTCCAGCAACCCATACTTACAATTCGAGTTCACTCCAGGGAATACAGTTATTGGTATACAAATCAAGGGCAAGGAAGAAAAGAACGAGTGGGTTACAAAATTCACAATTTCCTACAGTGTTGATGGAATTGTATGGATTCCGCTAAACAAGGTAATACTTTGACCGGTTTCAACTGGTTAATTGTGAGAGTGTTGTGGAATAACATATCACAATGCAAGTATGCTGACAGGATATTTTAAAGCATATTTGTAATGACTGCTTTTATTTTTCAGATATTTGATGGCAACTCCGAGGAACACAAGGAAACCATCATCTTTTTCGACCAATCTATCCCCTCCGATGCTGCTTATGTTCGTGTTTATCCTGTTGAATATCATGGGCACATCAGCTTACTTGCTCAACTTCTACAAGACTGTCTGAATAAGAGTAAATTACCTATTCCTTATTTTCTTTGTACTACTTTATTGTCAAATGTACTGCTTGGCATCAACAAGAAAATAACTCGTCTTGCATATTTTCCCTCATACTAGTTAATTAATACACATACTCGATTACCAATAATTACACTGGCATTAATAATGTTGACGCTCTGATAAGGTCTTCCTTGCAAAGGAAAAATGTCTGTAAATCACCTCTTGCTCTAAAAAGGTGCCGAATTTATTGCTATACATATCAACCGCATGAGTATTTTCTGCATCGTACGTGTAACATAACTGTTTTTCCTTAACAGCAACAACTGAAGCACCAACAACGCCCACTCCTACCCCTACAGTGAAAACAACAACAACCACAACACGTAAGGCCATATAATTGCCTTCTTTATATTGGAAACCTTAATTTGGTTGAATCCTCCAAATTGAAAGCAACATAAGTCTTTTCAAAATACATCCAACAAAACCATTTCATAAGTACTCATACACTATTACCAATAATTACACTGCCATTAATAATATCGATGTCGTTATGAATACCGACAAAGTATTCCTTGTGAAAGAGAATTGTCTGTATATTACCTCTTGCTTTAAAAATGGTTGAATTTATTTCCATAATTATCAACAGTGTACGGATATTTTCTGCACCGCACGTGTAACGTACTTTATTTTTCCTTAACAGCAACAACAACTGAAACAACAACACCGACAACAACAAGCATTCAAACCACAACACGTAAGGCCATATAATTGCCTTCTTTATATTGGAAACTTTAATTCGGTTTAATCCTCCAAATTGAAAGCAATATAAGTCTTAAAGAGTTATCCTGAAATATTCACGTAAAAAAACGTACTTAACTACTTCTATTGATTTCTGCTTAAGATATTGCTCGGTATGAAAAAGGATTAACCATTATTGCATTATAATAGGTTTTTTACCCTTTTTTCTGGCAACAAAACTGACACCTTTTTACAAGGAATCATGTTTACATTTTACCACAATATCCTGCAGTCAAAATGCAAACAAAAAACACACCCTGATAATGTATGCACTGTCCTTGAAATTGTTTGCATTTTGACTGCAGGTATTGTGGTTAATGTAAACATGATTCCTTGTAAAAAGGTGTCAGTTTTGTTGCCAGAAAAAAGGGTAAAAAACCTATCATGATATTTTGCTTCTAGCAAAGGAGGTCTTATGATGTAAACATTCTTGCACATTTGTACAATGTATGATCATACTCTGTAATGCATGCCGCGTCATTTTCTTTTTACATGAAAAAAACATTCATGCCATAATCATTTAGAAACCTATTCAATGACTCATCGTCAACAAGGGATTTAAACGTAAATTTTGTTTGATTTTCGTTGCAGCTTGCTATTACATAATGCCTATCCCAAAGATAAAATACTCTTCCTCAAGTGATGAGCAAACATCAGCAAATTCAGCAAGTTCTGAGGTGGACTCTCATGAATCCTGGACCCCAAACAAACATGACAGGTGTGCCTGAAACTCTTCGCAAATGCCCACATCAAGGACATGTTTTTCTTAAGATCATTATAAGAATCATCTGTACGTTTGCTGACATTAATTCTTCTCTGTATTTTTTCCAGCAACCCATACTTACAATTCGAGTTCACTCCAGGGAATACAGTTATTGGTATACAAATCAAGGGCAAGGAAGAAAAGAACGAGTGGGTTACAAAATTCACAATTTCCTACAGTGTTGATGGAATTGTATGGATTCCGCTAAACAAGGTAATACTTTGACCGGTTTCAACTGGTTAATTGTGAGAGTGTTGTGGTATAACATATCACAATGCAAGTATGCTGACAGGATATTTTAAAGCATATTTGTAATGACTGCTTTTATTTTTCAGATATTTGATGGCAACTCCGAGGAACACAAGGAAACCATCATCTTTTTCGACCAATCTATCCCCTCCGATGCTGCTTATGTTCGTGTTTATCCTGTTGAATATCATGGGCACATCAGCTTACTTGCTCAACTTCTACAAGACTGTCTGAATAAGAGTAAATTACCTATTCCTTATTTTCTTTGTACTACTTTATTGTCAAATGTACTGCTTGGCATCAACAAGAAAATAACTCGTCTTGCATATTTTCCCTCATACTAGTTAATTAATACACATACTCGATTACCAATAATTACACTGGCATTAATAATGTTGACGCTCTGATAAGGTCTTCCTTGCAAAGGAAAAATGTCTGTAAATCACCTCTTGCTCTAAAAAGGTGCCGAATTTATTGCTATACATATCAACCGCATGAGTATTTTCTGCATCGTACGTGTAACATAACTGTTTTTCCTTAACAGCAACAACTGAAGCACCAACAACGCCCACTCCCTACCCCTACAGTGAAAACAACAACAACCACAACACGTAAGGCCATATAATTGCCTTCTTTATATTGGAAACCTTAATTCGGTTGAATCCTCCAAATTGAAAGCAACATAAGTCTTTTCAAAATACATCCAACAAAACCATTTCATAAGTACTCATACACTATTACCAATAATTACACTGCCATTAATAATATCGATGTCGTTATGAATACCGACAAAGTATTCCTTGTGAAAGAGAATTGTCTGTATATTACCTCTTGCTTTAAAAATGGTTGAATTTATTTCCATAATTATCAACAGTGTACGGATATTTTCTGCACCGCACGTGTAACGTACTTTATTTTTCCTTAACAGCAACAACTGAAACAACAACACCGACAACAACAAGCATTCAAACCACAACACGTAAGGCCATATAATTGCCTTCTTTATATTGGAAACCTTAATTCGGTTCAATCCTCCAAATTGAAAGCAACATAAGTCTTTTCAAAATACATCCAACAAAACCATTTCATAAATACTCATACACTATTACCAATAATTACACTGCCATTAATAATATCGATGTCGTTATGAATACCGACAAAGTATTCCTTGTGAAAGAGAATTGTCTGTATATTACCTCTTGCTTTAAAAATGGTTGAATTTATTTCCATAATTATCAACAGTGTACGGATATTTTCTGCACCGCACGTGTAACGTACTTTATTTTTCCTTAACAGCAACAACTGAAACAACAACACCGACAACAACAAGCATTCAAACCACAACACGTAAGGCCATATAATTGCCTTCTTTATATTGGAAACCTTAATTCGGTTCAATCCTCCAAATTGAAAGCAACATAAGTCTTTTCAAAATACATCCAACAAAACCATTTCATAAATACTCATACACTATTACCAATAATTACACTGCCATTACTAATATCGATGTCGTTATGAATACCGACAAAGTATTCCTTGTGAAAGACAATTGTCTGTATATTACCTCTTGCTTTAAAAATGGTTGAATTTATTTCCATAATTATCAACAGTGTACGGATATTTTCTGCACCGCACGTGTAACGTACTTTATTTTTCCTTAACAGCAACAACAACTGAAACAACAACACCGACAACAACAAGCATTCAAACCACAACACGTAAGGCCATATAATTGCCTTCTTTATATTGGAAACTTTAATTCGGTTTAATCCTCCAAATTGAAAGCAATATAAGTCTTAAAGAGGTATCCTGAAATATTCACGTAAAAAAACGTACTTAACTACTTCTATTGATTTCTGCTTAAGATATTGCTCGGTATGAAAAAGGATTAACCATTCTTGCATTATAATAGGTTTTTTACCCTTTTTTCTGGCAACAAAACTGACACCTTTTTACAAGGAATCATTTTTACATTAACCACAATACCTGCAGTCAAAATGCAAACAAAAAACACACCCTGATAATGTATGCACTGTCCTTGAAATTGTTTGCATTTTGACTGCAGGTATTGTGGTTAATGTAAACATGATTCCTTGTAAAAAGGTGTCAGTTTTGTTGCCAGAAAAAAGGGTAAAAAACCTATCATGATATTTTGCTTCTAGCAAAGGAGGTCTTATGATGTAAACATTCTTGCACATTTGTACAATGTATGATCATACTCTGTAATGCATGCCACGTCATTTTCTTTTTACATGAAAAAAACATTCATGCCATAATCATTTAGAAACCTATTCAATGACTCATCGTCAACAAGGGATTTAAACGTAAATTTTGTTTGATTTTCGTTGCAGCTTGCTATTACATAATGCCTATCCCGAAGATAAAATACTCTTCCTCAAGTGATGAGCAAACATCGGCAAATTCAGCAAGTTCTGAGGTGGATTCTCATGAATCCTGGACCCCAAACAAACATGACAGGTGTGCCTTATACTCTTCGCAAATGCCCACATCAAGGACATGTTTACTTAAGATCATTATAAGAATCATCTGTACGTTTGCTGACATTAATTCTTCTCTGTATTTTTTCCAGCAACCCATACTTACAATTCGAGTTCACTCCAGGGAATACAGTTATTGGTATACAAATCAAGGGCAAGGAAGAAAAGAACGAGTGGGTTACAAAATTCACAATTTCCTACAGTGTTGATGGAATTGTATGGATTCCGCTAAACAAGGTAATACTTTGACCGGTTTCAACGGGTTAATTGTGAGAGTGTTGTGGAATAACATATCACAATGCAAGTATGCTGACAGGATATTTTAAAGCATATTTGTAATGACTGCTTTTATTTTTCAGATATTTGATGGCAACTCCGAGGAACACAAGGAAACCATCATCTTTTTCGACCAATCTATCCCCTCCGATGCTGCTTATGTTCGTGTTTATCCTGTTGAATATCATGGGCACATCAGCTTACTTGCTCAACTTCTACAAGACTGTCTGAATAAGAGTAAATTAACTATTCCTTATTTTCTTTGTACTACTTTATTGTCAAATGTACTGCTTGGCATCAACAAGAAAACAACTCGTCTTGCATATTTTCCCTCATACTAATTAATTAATACACATACTCGATTACCAATAATTACACTGGCATTAATAATGTTGACGCTCTTATAAGGTCTTCCTTGCAAAGGAAAAATGTCTGTAAATCACCTCTTGCTCTAAAAAAGTGCCGAATTTATTGCTATACATATCAACCGCATGAGTATTTTCTGCATCGTACGTGTAACATAACTGTTTTTCCTTAACAGCAACAACTGAAGCACCAACAACGCCCACTCCCACCCCTACAGTGAAAACAACAACAACCACAACACGTAAGGCCATATAATTGCCTTCTTTATATTGGAAACCTTAATTCGGTTGAATCCTCCAAATTGAAAGCAACATAAGTCTTTTCAAAATACATCCAACAAAACCATTTCATAAGTACTCATACACTATTACCAATAATTACACTGCCATTAATAATATCGATGTCGTTATGAATACCGACAAAGTATTCCTTGTGAAAGAGAATTGTCTGTATATTACCTCTTGCTTTAAAAATGGTTGAATTTATTTCCATAATTATCAACAGTGTACGGATATTTTCTGCACCGCACGTGTAACGTACTTTATTTTTCCTTAACAGCAACAACAACTGAAACAACAACACCGACAACAACAAGCATTCAAACCACAACACGTAAGGCCATATAATTGCCTTCTTTATATTGGAAACTTTAATTCGGTTTAATCCTCCAAATTGAAAGCAATATAAGTCTTAAAGAGTTATCCTGAAATATTCACGTAAAAAAACGTACTTAACTACTTCTATTGATTTCTGCTTAAGATATTGCTCGGTATGAAAAAGGATTAACCATTCTTGCATTATAATAGGTTTTTTACCCTTTTTTCTGGCAACAAAACTGACACCTTTTTACAAGGAATCATTTTTACATTAACCACAATACCTGCAGTCAAAATGCAAACAAAAAACACACCCTGATAATGTATGCACTGTCCTTGAAATTGTTTGCATTTTGACTGCAGGTATTGTGGTTAATGTAAACATGATTCCTTGTAAAAAGGTGTCAGTTTTGTTGCCAGAAAAAAGGGTAAAAAACCTATCATGATATTTTGCTTCTAGCAAAGGAGGTCTTATGATGTAAACATTCTTGCACATTTGTACAATGTATGATCATACTCTGTAATGCATGCCGCGTCATTTTCTTTTTACATGAAAAAACATTCATGCCATAATCATTTAGAAACCTATTCAATGACTCATCGTCAACAAGGGATTTAAACGTAAATTTTGATTTGATTTTCGTTGCAGCTTGCTATTACATAATGCCTATCCCAAAGATAAAATACTCTTCCTCAAGTGATGAGCAAACATCAGCAAATTCAGCAAGTTCTGAGGTGGACTCTCATGAATCCTGGACCCCAAACAAACATGACAGGTGTGCCTGAAACTCTTCGCAAATGCCCACATCAAGGACATGTTTTCTTAAGATCATTATAAGAATCATCTGTACGTTTGCTGACATTAATTCTTCTCTGTATTTTTTCCAGCAACCCATACTTACAATTCGAGTTCACTCCAGGGAATACAGTTATTGGTATACAAATCAAGGGCAAGGAAGAAAAGAACGAGTGGGTTACAAAATTCACAATTTCCTACAGTGTTGATGGAATTGTATGGATTCCGCTAAACAAGGTAATACTTTGACCGGTTTCAACTGGTTAATTGTGAGAGTGTTGTGGTATAACATATCACAATGCAAGTATGCTGACAGGATATTTTAAAGCATATTTGTAATGACTGCTTTTATTTTTCAGATATTTGATGGCAACTCCGAGGAACACAAGGAAACCATCATCTTTTTCGACCAATCTATCCCCTCCGATGCTGCTTATGTTCGTGTTTATCCTGTTGAATATCATGGGCACATCAGCTTACTTGCTCAACTTCTACAAGACTGTCTGAATAAGAGTAAATTACCTATTCCTTATTTTCTTTGTACTACTTTATTGTAAAATGTACTGCTTGGCATCAACAAGAAAATAACTCGTCTTGCATATTTTCCCTCATACTAGTTAATTAATACACATACTCGATTACCAATAATTACACTGGCATTAATAATGTTGACGCTCTTATAAGGTCTTCCTTGCAAAGGAAAAATGTCTGTAAATCACCTCTTGCTCTAAAAAAGTGCCGAATTTATTGCTATACATATCAACCGCATGAGTATTTTCTGTATCGTACGTGTAACATAACTGTTTTTCCTTAACAGCAACAACTGAAACACCAACAACTCCCACTCCCACCCCTACAGTGAAAACAACAACAACCACAACACGTAAGGCCATATAATTGCCTTCTTTATATTGGAAACCTTAATTCGGTTGAATCCTCCAAATTGAAAGCAACATAAGTCTTTTCAAAATACATCCAACAAAACCATTTCATAAGTACTCATACACTATTACCAATAATTACACTGCCATTAATAATATCGATGTCGTTATGAATACCGACAAAGTATTCCTTGTGAAAGAGAATTGTCTGTATATTACCTCTTGCTTTAAAAATGGTTGAATTTATTTCCATAATTATCAACAGTGTACGGATATTTTCTGCACCGCACGTGTAACGTACTTTATTTTTCCTTAACAGCAACAACAACTGAAACAACAACACCGACAACAACAAGCATTCAAACCACAACACGTAAGGCCATATAATTGCCTTCTTTATATTGGAAACTTTAATTCGGTTTAATCCTCCAAATTGAAAGCAATATAAGTCTTAAAGAGTTATCCTGAAATATTCACGTAAAAAAACGTACTTAACTACTTCTATTGATTTCTGCTTAAGATATTGCTCGGTATGAAAAAGGATTAACCATTATTGCATTATAATAGGTTTTTTACCCTTTTTTCTGGCAACAAAACTGACACCTTTTTACAAGGAATCATGTTTACATTTTACCACAATATCTGCAGTCAAAATGCAAACAAAAAACACACCCTGATAATGTATGCACTGTCCTTGAAATTGTTTGCATTTTGACTGCAGGTATTGTGGTTAATGTAAACATGATTCCTTGTAAAAAGGTGTCAGTTTTGTTGCCAGAAAAAAGGGTAAAAAACCTATCATGATATTTTGCTTCTAGCAAAGGAGGTCTTATGATGTAAACATTCTTGCACATTTGTACAATGTATGATCATACTCTGTAATGCATGCCGCGTCATTTTCTTTTTACATGAAAAAAACATTCATGCCATAATCATTTAGAAACCTATTCAATGACTCATCGTCAACAAGGGATTTAAACGTAAATTTTGTTTGATTTTCGTTGCAGCTTGCTATTACATAATGCCTATCCCGAAGATAAAATACTCTTCCTCAAGTGATGAGCAAACATCGGCAAATTCAGCAAGTTCTGAGGTGGATTCTCATGAATCCTGGACCCCAAACAAACATGACAGGTGTGTCTGAAACTCTTCGCAAATGCCCACATCAAGGACATGTTTACTTAAGATCATTATAAGAATCATCTGTACGTTTGCTGACATTAATTCTTCTCTGTATTTTTTCCAGCAACCCATACTTACAATTCGAGTTCACTCCAGGGAATACAGTTATTGGTATACAAATCAAGGGCAAGGAAGAAAAGAACGAGTGGGTTACAAAATTCACAATTTCCTACAGTGTTGATGGAATTGTATGGATTCCGCTAAACAAGGTAATACTTTGACCGGTTTCAACTGGTTAATTGTGAGAGTGTTGTGGAATAACATATCACAATGCAAGTATGCTGACAGGATATTTTAAAGCATATTTGTAATGACTGCTTTTATTTTTCAGATATTTGATGGCAACTCCGAGGAACACAAGGAAACCATCATCTTTTTCGACCAATCTATCCCCTCCAATGCTGCTTATGTTCGTGTTTATCCTGTTGAATATCATGGGCACATCAGCTTACTTGCTCAACTTCTACAAGACTGTCTGAATAAGAGTAAATTACCTATTCCTTATTTTCTTTGTACTACTTTATTGTAAAATGTACTGCTTGGCATCAACAAGAAAATAACTCGTCTTGCATATTTTCCCTCATACTAGTTAATTAATACACATACTCGATTACCAATAATTACACTGGCATTAATAATGTTGACGCTCTGATAAGGTCTTCCTTGCAAAGGAAAAATGTCTGTAAATCACCTCTTGCTCTAAAAAGGTGCCGAATTTATTGCTATACATATCAACCGCATGAGTATTTTCTGCATCGTACGTGTAACATAACTGTTTTTCCTTAACAGCAACAACTGAAGCACCAACAACGCCCACTCCTACCCCTACAGTGAAAACAACAACAACCACAACACGTAAGGCCATATAATTGCCTTCTTTATATTGGAAACCTTAATTCGGTTAAATCCTCCAAATTGAAAGCAACATAAGTCTTTTCAAAATACATCCAACAAAACCATTTCATAAGTACTCATACACTATTACCAATAATTACACTGCCATTAATAATATCGATGTCGTTATGAATACCGACAAAGTATTCCTTGTGAAAGAGAATTGTCTGTATATACCTCTTGCTTTAAAATGGTTGAATTTATTTCCATAATTATCAACAGTGTACGGATATTTTCTGCACCGCACGTGTAACGTACTTATTTTTCCTTAACAGCAACAACTGAAACAACAACACCGACAACAACAAGCATTCAAACCACAACACGTAAGGCCATATAATTGCCTTCTTATATTGGAAACCTTAATTCGGTTCAATCCTCCAAATTGAAAGCAACATAAGTCTTTTCAAAATACATCCAACAAAACCATTTCATAAATACTCATACACTATTACCAATAATTACACTGCCATTAATAATATCGATGTCGTTATGAATACCGACAAAGTATTCCTTGTGAAAGAGAATTGTCTGTATATTACCTCTGCTTTAAAAATGGTTGAATTTATTTCCATAATTATCAACAGTGTACGGAATTTTCTGCACCGCACGTGTAACGTACTTTATTTTTCCTTAACAGCAACAACTGAAACAACAACACCGACAACAACAAGCATTCAAACACAACAGTAAGGCCATAAATTGCCTTCTTTATATTGGAAACCTTAATTCGGTTCAATCCTCCAAATTGAAAGCAACATAAGTCTTTTCAAAATACATCCAACAAACCATTTCATAAATACTCATACACTATTACCAATAATTACACTGCCATTACTAATATCGATGTCGTTATGAATACCGACAAAGTATTCCTTGTGAAAGACAATTGTCTGTATATTACCTCTTGCTTTAAAATGGTTGAATTATTTCCATAATTATCAACAGTGTACGGATTTTCTGCACGCACGTGTAACGTACTTTTTTTTCCTTAACAGCAACAACTACAACACCGACAACAACAAGCATTCAAACCACAACACGTAAGGCCATATAATTGCCTTCTTTATATTGGAAACTTTAATTCGGTTTAATCCTCCAAATTGAAAGCAATATAAGTCTTAAAGAGTTATCCTGAAATATTCACGTAAAAAAACGTACTTAACTACTTCTATTGATTTCTGCTTAAGATATTGCTCGGTATGAAAAAGGATTAACCATTATTGCATTATAATAGGTTTTTTACCCTTTTTTCTGGCAACAAAACTGACACCTTTTTACAAGGAATCATGTTTACATTTAACCACAATATCCTGCAGTCAAAATGCAAACAAAAAACACACCCTGATAATGTATGCACTGTCCTTGAAATTGTTTGCATTTTGACTGCAGGTATTGTGGTTAATGTAAACATGATTCCTTGTAAAAAGGTGTCAGTTTTGTTGCCAGAAAAAAGGGTAAAAAACCTATCATGATATTTTGCTTCTAGCAAAGGAGGTCTTATGATGTAAACATTCTTGCACATTTGTACAATGTATGATCATACTCTGTAATGCATGCCGCGTCATTTTCTTTTTACATGAAAAAAACATTCATGCCATAATCATTTAGAAACCTATTCAATGACTCATCGTCAACAAGGGATTTAAACGTAAATTTTGTTTGATTTTCGTTGCAGCTTGCTATTACATAATGCCTATCCCGAAGATAAAATACTCTTCCTCAAGTGATGAGCAAACATCGGCAAATTCAGCAAGTTCTGAGGTGGATTCTCATGAATCCTGGACCCCAAACAAACATGACAGGTGTGTCTGAAACTCTTCGCAAATGCCCACATCAAGGACATGTTTACTTAAGATCATTATAAGAATCATCTGTACGTTTGCTGACATTAATTCTTCTCTGTATTTTTTCCAGCAACCCATACTTACAATTCGAGTTCACTCCAGGGAATACAGTTATTGGTATACAAATCAAGGGCAAGGAAGAAAAGAACGAGTGGGTTACAAAATTCACAATTTCCTACAGTGTTGATGGAATTGTATGGATTTCCGCTAAACAAGGTAATACTTTGACCGGTTTCAACGGGTTAATTGTGAGAGTGTTGTGGAATAACATATCACAATGCAAGTATGCTGACAGGATATTTTAAAGCATATTTGTATGACTGCTTTATTTTTCAGATATTTGATGGCAACTCTAAGGAACACAAGGAAACCATCATCTTTTCGACCAATCTATCCCCTCCGATGCTGCTTATGTCCGTGTTTATGCCTGTTGATATCATGGGCACATCAGCTTACTTGCTCAACTTCTACAAGACTGTCTGAATAAGAGTAAATTACCTATCCTTATTTTCTTTGTACTACTTAATTGTAAATGTACTGCTTGGCATCAACAGAAATACACTCGTCTGCATATTCCCATACTAGTTAATTAATACAACATACCGATACCAATAATAACACTGGCATTAATAATGTTGACGCTCTTATAGGTCTTCCTTGCAAAGGAAAATGTCT